GCAGTTTATGACAAACGTGTCCAGAACACCCATCCAGTGTGTAAGGAATCCTAAGGGAATATTGTTCTGCATAGCTGTCCTGAATTATTATGAATTCATGCAGGAGCATTCTAAAATCTTCACTTTCAAATATAGCCAGTAGTGAATACCTTCAACGTCCGTTTTTTATCCGTGAAAATCAAATATTAGGGTCCCTAGTCGAACAACCTATGTGCTCACAGTGACTTAATTTAGAGAGCTTTAAGTTCTAAGTGTAGGCAACGAAGTGGCGGCATTCAAGCAGTTACCAACGTTTGTGCACAAAGTTAAATGTAAGATGAAGTTGTTGACAAAACATGGAAAAATTCAAGCTACTTTTTTATCCAAAACGGCGTGTGTGATGATTCATATGCGTAAACATTCGAGTTAACAACAATCGCGTCTGAACACAGACTGCCTGAGTGTGTCAGAATATTGGACAGTATAAAACAACGCTCTATAAACTTCAATAATTCCAAAAACGATAACGGTTAATAGCATCCGTACGGTGGCGTTAAGGGCGTAAAATTTGGTACAGGAGACGCAGAAGATTTACCGCGAAAAAATTCATGTACAAGTTAAAGTAATTGTTCTTGAAAGGTGCTTTTCAAACGGATACAGACATTCGAAAAACTCACTCAAGAAAATTACTTCTGTCAGCTCAATTAGCCCCGAGGATGGGAAATAAACTAGGAAGTGATAATTCTTAAAGAACCACGAATACCAAACGTTCCAGAAACAAACAGAGAACGTGACTTTAAATTAGCCCTATGTAACAGATGTGATCGACTCACAAAGTGACAAATTAAATGCAGCCATCCCAAGGGAAAACAGCCATTAAACAGTGGCCGGTGAACAAAGTTAAAAACAGTCATTAGAAACGTGATAAAATCAGGGAGTTTGTTTTAAATCATAATCTGTAAATAAGGTGGTAATGATAGTTTCAATCAAACATCATAGGGAGAACTAATATTCGAAGATTTAGACACCAGTAAAGAAAACATAACATACAACAGAACTAAAGAGGGAGCAATCAATAAGAAATACATAGTTGGAGGTATTCTCTCTATATTCCCACACGGACGTGCCAAAAAGAATTTTACACTGGTGTCCGGATTCTCTACATGAAATACATACTTTCGTGGCTCTTCTAAATCACTACTCCATGTCATGGAGTTTGTAAGATTGACAGCAGAACGCCTTCACTCTCCTCCTTACAATAAAATGTCACGAAATAGTCAAGTTTCTCCTCAGACTCATGTTTATATATACGCACATCTCGAGTTCTCTTTCGAACGACCGAGTTGATAAGGATTGAGGTCGCCGTAAATAGTAACAAGTTCTCCAACTCAACCAATCCACATGCGTAGCCTCATTCTCAATTTCACATTAAGGTGAAGCACTCGTATTGTATTCACTATAACTCACTAACCACTACTATGAAGTCGGAAATCTGCCCATACTACTACAATGTCGTCGCACGAACGAAATTTTTCTACTAGTCTTAACGCCGACGTTAGCAGTGCAACCAACTGAACCACTATCTATGAAAAAAAAATCCGCAAATCGTAAGAATTAATATATAAAGTGATATGATGCTTCATGCCGTATAAGACAAAAAGACTCATTTTTTGCATCGCTGTCATTGCTGGGGCATCATCATCCCACCCGTATGATCTTTCCAACCCTATTTCTTTTGACTCTTTGTCGAGATGCACTGCACCAGTGGAGCCCAACATCCGTATATTTACACTGACCAGTTAGTTGTGGTGTCCTGATAGATTTGTAGAATTATAGTCTACATCGCTATTAGTAGTGTTATAATAATAGACCTAATCCTAAAATTGTAGATATTGTAGATGTGACTACTGAATCTATAAGACCTTACGTGGAAGTCTTATCATTGTCTACACTTACTATTCCTATCTATTTAACCGCCAATATATGATAGAGAACACATGTAGGCTGAAGATAGAACAATGTATTGAATGTGAATAAAAGAGATACGTTGCACAAGAATGACCACATCTGCATAGCTGAGCCATGAACTGAATTTTCCCGCGTTATCAGTTGTTAACCTTCTCTCCATGTCAGCTTATGAATATAAATTATTTCAGCAATTGCATTCTCGGCTTTAAAGGTCGTGTGGTTACGTCCAATGCTAAGGCAATTATAGAGTTCCCTGCTGTCTTCGAGATCATCTACTTCAGAGGTTGTGATATGGACATCATTTGGAGTTTCTACTTCCGTTTTGGTGAAATGGGTGGATCTTATAATTGTAAGCCTAAGGAAACTTCACTGATCCCTACCCATGTCATCCTTTAGGTCACACCATTTTTGTGTTAAACGACTAATCAGTGACCGCTCGGCTATCTAGCAAGCATCGTCAAGGATAAGGACGACAAACAGTGATCAATCATTTGTGTGCTATGGACTAGCCCATTCAGCAGTTTTTGCTCTTTATGTGTCTGCTATTTGTTCTTACCGAGAAATTTCCTTAGTAATGTCACGCTCATCTCACACACCTAGCAAAGCAACCACAGAATACAGATACCACATAAAAGTGATGTTTGTTAGGTATTGACTGCAAGTTTTAACTTCGATATAAGCCAGGTTATAACATTCCGACACAACTCGAGTTTACTTCGTCCAGTGACATAAGTCAATGAGACTGGTGATCCACAGAATACCATCCATCAGGAACAGTAACGTCATGATTATCAGTATTTAGACAGAAAACGAAAACAGCCCTGTGCTTCTAAAGGGACTTGTAGAGAAACAAATGTCTAGAAAAACCACCAAGCCCTTGTTAAGCATTATCTATTTCCATCTGTGATAACATTTCTTTTAACAAATTTTATTCCTACTTCAATTTGTGAAGTGGTTCATCTAGCCACTATCAATCGTTCAGATCTTCACTTTTAAAGTAGTCTTTGAGGTTTAAGTATGTCAGTATTGAGTGTTTGCTATGCAACTCGTCTTTTTAGCTGATGCGACAGTGTCATTATGACTATAAAGATTTGAACAAAGGAACTGGTCTTGCCATGAAATCAAAGGTCTGTCCGTACACAGTTGTACTCTACTTCGATGATGTATGGTCATAAAGTCATAGGTTATGGTGAAGGTAATCAAATATTTGGTCAGATATGTCAGTGGATTACGTAAACTTATGTGTTGACGACATTGTTTGAAGATAACGAACAAGTCTAGAAATCAATACTCTTTGATGTTGCTCATATTGTTCTCCAAGTCGAACCAGAAAAACCGTCCAGAGGTTGAGGTTTAGAGATTGATTATAAAAAGAATGAGCTAGTGCACATTGTACTCACCAGTGGTGACAGTTATACTACCAGTGGTACACCTCGTTCATGAATATAAGAACAAAAAGATCCAGTAGTAATTTACAGTAATGACAAGAAAGCAACTATGAATTTCAGTGCGGAAGTTGAGAAGGTTCTCTAAAATTATGGTTACTCTATCGAGCATTCAACTGCTTTGATGTAGGTATGTTCCGGATATTTTATCTCGCGTAGAATGGTAAATTCAGAAGGACACTCCTTATTTTATCAAGGACACTGAAGCCAAAAAAATGCCAATGTGTGACCTGTTGAAGCACAAACTAAGGTCACAGTCGAAAAATGGACACAGGCTACCCCCTCTATTCTTGAAAGCAGAAGATAGGAAGGATTCAGACTGTTACCAACTAGTGGGATTATTCACAATGTAAACGGTAATGAAAAGATAGGTCAATGACCAGCGAAAGGAACGCGTGAAAATAGGCAACACCCTCCACGAAGCATAACACTTATTAAGGAAATATAGGTCCTTCCCGACCAGTGGTCTTAAAGTGTGGGACACCTGGACAAATACTGGTCCATATTTAAAATTGATTGTTGACTAGTTTCACCTGTATCCGATCCTTCTCACTGAAGATCAAATCCTATCAATCGAGTTTCGGTGTGACCATTGGCCAAGGTGGCTCGAAGTCGCGTGCACTGTACTGAGATGTAAGATAGTGGTTGTAAGTGGTTGATAGGAAACACGGCCAAGGTCTCGTGCCGTTTGAGACCCGTGTGCATGTAATTGAAGCTCTCTAGAGGATTTAACTAGGGAAATGTAAATACACCTTAGTCCTACAGAGCGTCACTCGTGACCGAATAGCTAGGTAGTAAAGTAATTGATTGTGAAGTCGGGTGACATCAGATCGGGTTCACTGAAAATCACACAACATATTAAGTACCGCAAATCACCTCAGTACGAGGACCTTATCAGAACATTCCACCCATGCTCCTCGAGGCAACTTGGGAAGAATCGCACATGGAAAAGCATAGTCTGAAGTAAGTTTCTAATTTTTATCGTTAAGAGTTGCCCCTATTCGAAGTACTCTGCAATCAGAAGTGACCACAGTTCACTCAGTGGATAGCTTCAGGAGGAGATTTGATAGACAAGGATTATCGTCTTCAGTTTGAACTCTCTGTCCTTGATTAATGTCTCGTAACTTATCTACTATAATCATCATCACGTATCGTTAACTTATTCCTACCTCACTTATCATCATTTATATTTTCTTTTTATTCTCACGCTTAAGTCTGCTTACAATTTCCGCAACAATATTTAATCAACTTATTTATTTATTTACCTCCTGAAGCAACTGTCTTTTCTTGACATTCTATTTTTCTCTTCAACATTCTTCGCATCACTTCCGATTGATTCCTGGGCTGGAGAAGTGATAATTTTTTGTTAAAAAAACTGTACTGTCTTGGAAGAAATGCTTAAAATTAAGTAACGAGATATACAACTCGCAAATCACGGCCATACTGAATAGAATTAATGCAACTGAGTGGCTAAACTACAAAAAAACCCGTTAGCGTACTAAAACAGTAAGAATCAGGCGAAAAAAATACAATTGGTTTATCTAAGCTGATAACAAGTACATTGGATACATATTGGAACTATTTGAAATTGCTCAGACCTCGCGGCTTGATTGAGTCTAGTTTCCGCAACGCATTTGGATTTCGCGCTACCTGTGTCCAGTGTTGATTGTCAGATTATCGTTATCTCACAGCCGCATTGTTGCTTATTATTTTTTTACCCTCATTGATGGTCAGTATTTCTTATTTCTCCGAGTTGCTAGTGATTCAACATATATTTGAGTTAGTTATACAACTAGGAGCTCGATTAAGCTTTGTTCTCATGGCAGATTGTCCCAACACAAGCTCCCAACTTTGGGGAGCTTTGGGGAACTTCCTCAAATTCAGGGGAAATTTTGGGGTTTTTGTGCCATTTCCCTAAAATTGGGAGCTTAGGATCTAGACATATACCCACAAGACAAGTTGCTCATGTCGTAAGGTGTCGTTGAAAAGGTCTAGGTTTTCAAGCTAATGGATGTGCTTTTGTAGACTACTAGAGCTTTACTGCAAAAACCAGTATTTTACCACCCGACAATACAAAGTACTCTCGTTGGTACGTTTCAATCCATCATAATTGACGCCTAATACCTATCAAGCAATAAACTTTCAGAACTGTGTGCTTAAAATATTCAACTACCTTGGATCATACATTATTTATGGAATGATACTTCGAGTCTACTTGGATTAAGCCTTATTTTCTCCGTGGCTGTTTGCCCAAGTTACCATGGTGCTATATATTGATAATTTGGAACATGATTAAAGTGTTTTCTCTGTCTTTTAAAAGTAGTGATTCATGATCACTATGATCAAGAAAATCTAGTTTACCAAGTCGGTTTTTTGTGTGTATATTTCAACGACTCGCACATTACTTTCGGAGGCTGGGAATAATGAAGTAATCAGAATATCCAGTTTAAAACATGAAACCGATATATAAAAAATACTTGTGGCATTCGTTGGTTTGCCATTACTCCCTGATTAGAGCGACTTAAAACGTTATTGAACATAGCTGTAAACGGGAACCATTTATCAACAGTTTAGTTAATTAACTCAAAAGGCGAAGATATATTGAGTCTGTTTTAGACAATATTTGTAGTGTTGCTCTTTCCCGTAAAACTCATGCTCAGTATACTGAGTGCACTAACTTTTGCTTACGTAATGAGTTACGTTAGCTAATAAGTTGCAGTGGCAACCCCACACCTCAACATCATATTATTAAAATAGGTGTATAATTCCTCATGGATAATTTTCCAGATAGATTACGGCATTTCGGTTAGAAATCGAAGTTTTAAAAATGTTATTCGCTACCAGCTCATCAAAAATTTTGAAGATTCGTTTACGTAACTGCTTTTCTTCCTTTGACTAAACCCTTGCTGGATAGCTTCTTAGAAGCAGTTTAGTTATTTGTTATAGTTCAAATTTAGACCAGCGAATTGTTGTTGTTAGACTGTTTCATATAAAGATAAAGTTTTAGTGAAAGTAAGCATTCATTGTTAGATTATTCAGTAATTCTTACCTAATAAACAAAACGTTCTCCATAACCTGTTGTTAAGTTTGCGAGTTTTAGTAAGTGTATTTTTTGTCTTTTTAAACTAGCTCGGTATCCATCCCGCTAAAGATCCAAGTAATTGATGTGCAAACAGGAATTAATACGTCTGAGTAGTGTAATAAAAAGACGAAAATCATCATAACTACATGTATTGGGCCAATATATCATTTAATTCTTAGCACTATCCTAACTTATAAAATTGAATTAATAGGTCCTTTCTGTTTTTGTCAATATATCTAATTCGGTAATAGGAAACCATCCGCCACATTGAGACTGCACTATGTCCCTTCACATTTAGATTTCCTGACAGGATAGCTTTTAATTTCAGGAAGCATTAAGTCACACAAATGTACTAGTTCAATAAGTTCAAAAATTAGTCACTGAACCCCTATGTATGATAAAAATGCTAAGTTTGTACGTACAACTACGAGACCCTAATTTAACCTATTTATTGGTTATATTCAAGTCTTGTTAACCTTATCAAATTACTTTTGGGAGTTTTCCTCCAACTGTCCGAGGAAACTAAAGAAAAGCTTGGTACTTAATTTGATGTATATATAGTTTTCTCCTGTTTGTGCAAATCTTAGTCTGAAAATCCAATTAGCGAACCTAACATTAGGCGTGATTAAAAAATCTAAAACTAAAGTAATTATCATTAAGACGAAACAAGTGTATATACTTTATATCAGGAGACTATAATATTATTCTATCTTCACCCGGTTTATTCTAGGCGTTCTTGATATAAACTATGTACACTTGTTTTATTTCAGTGATTAATGTTTTAGTTCTAGGTTGTAAGCAGTTGTAGAAAATCCACAAAATAAGTATTTATTTGAACACATAAATATTGGTACAAGGGAGCACCAGATACATATGCGAAATAAGTAAACTCATGTTATTCCGCTGCGATATTTGTTCTTCCTTTATTCAATTCCACTGTTCTTGTTACATTTGTTCATCTCAAAGCAATGGAAAAGGTTTACGATTTTAAATTTTGTGTGAAGCATTTCTTATTATCATGCTTCATTGAGTTTTTATGTGTAACTGTTATGTCCGGATAAGCATTTTTAACACAGACATTGGTACAAGGAGGTACCAAATACATATGCGCCACACAGATCTCAGTTGATTTGTATGAGGGCTGTGATACTGCCCGGGTGCCCAAACCGAAGCAGGAGGTGCCCAAACCGAAGCAGGCCGGATAAGCATAATGAATGGTAACTTTTGGGATCAATTTATGGACGAATACTATGCGTACATTTTTATCGTATAATTGTTAAATAACTAAACTATCCATATTCATGCCCCTCTTATTATGAGCTTTATTTTGACTTATGAACCATTATTTTACGATTTACCATTCTTGAATTATGCCCTGTCCATTAATTACTACCTCCCACACTCACAGTCACATTTGGCTAAATCTTGTATAAATATTATTTTCCATGTTATGGTACGATGTATTTATTAATTATTTTTAACACATATATATTGGTAAAAGGAGGCACCAAATACATATGCGCTACTCAAGTCACTTGATTTGTGTATAGGCTGTGATACTGCGCGGGTTCCCAGACCGAAGCAGGTGGTTTTCTTAGGGGGCCACACCCGGAGCCTTCGACCTGAAGGTCTGATCCACAAGGCAGTGGAGCGTCGTGAGGAGATGCAGCCCCATCGTAGCCGCTGACCAACGATTGGTTCATACTCCATTTGTTCCTTCAGGATACTGGAGCGCATGTGCACCATTGGTTTGAAATCAGTGTTTTCTAACTCGCCTAGGTGGACTCTCTATGTCCACCAACCCGGTTTAAGCGCCAGACGTTCGCTTTTTGTCCTCTCAATTTCGTAAACAACATCCCCGCCACGAGAAGGCAGAGTCGGACTTCCCTGGCAGAGGTTATATACGCGTAGTCATATGAGAGCATTTCGAGAGGGAGAGCGGACTCTCCCCACACTCGGCCGTATTAGGGCATTTGGGGGCTGTCTGGTTGGTATATAAACCCAGTATGCTTGAAATAAATGATTCATATCTCAGAGTCTGAGGTTGGCGTTCTAGACGTAACTAACTGTTCTAGGCAGGAGGCAGGACCGATAAGTACTCTAGACTACTCGCTCGGGTTTTAGGCGTCGTTGGTCCAATCGATAATTCACTTCTCTCTAATTGGCGGTATCATTACGTTATACATTAACAGGGCACAAGGTCACAAGTTATAACGGTAACATTAAACAATAATGAAGTTCCTAACTAGCATTTTATATCATTTTTTAAACTAATATGAATTAATTAAACTTAACTCATCCAAAGGATTTTGTTTATGATTCGTCATTTTTCACATTATTTTGGCCCCCAAATGCCCTGGTACGGCCGAGAGTGGGGAGAGTCCGCTCTCCCTCTCGAAATGCTCTCACATGGCCATGCGTATATAGCTTCTGCCAGGGAAGTCCTACTCACTGCCTTCTCGTGGCGAGGGTGTTGTTTGCAAAAATGAGAGGACGAAAAGCGAATGTCCGGCGCTATAACTGGACCCCAAACGAATGGTGCACATGGGCTCCAGTATCCTGTGGGAACAAATGACGTATGAACCAATCGTTGGTCACCGGCTACGATGGGACTGCATCTCCTCACGATGCTCCACTGCCTTGTGGGTCAGACGTTCAGGTCGAAGGCTCGGGGTGTGGCCCCCTAAGAAAACCACCTGCTTCGGTTTGGGCACCCGGGCAGTATCACAGCCCTCACACAAATCAATTGAGATTCGTGTGGCGCATATGTACTTGGTGCCTCCCTGTACCTATACTTATGTGTTAAAATAAATAAAATAAATACATTATTTTGTTTATACTAGAATGAACAAATATGAGTAAGATTTGTACAATGCCTTACATATGGCTTCTGGAAAAAATCGAAACAGTTGTACTCATAAACATATCTTTAGGGCTTTGTATCTCTTCAGACACTAGGTTATTTCTCTGAAGTACATACTGGGAAGTGTTCTAACTGTTTATATTGTTTTTTGGCTTGACGGTTTAGTTAATTTATAAATTTTGCAGTGACTGAGTACACATTGCGAACCATAATACCGAAGATGTTTTGATCACACAAAACACTCTTTGTAATAGCTATAGCTCCAAACAACTACTCCTTTTCAATAACTAGTTTTATGAATCAAATAAGTAAATTTCTACTTTTAAAAGCGTAACTACTTAACTATCCTTGATATAAAATTCACGGTATGTAATATTGATGCGAGTGTAGATACCTAAATTTCCACGAAAAACATTCAGTCCCACCTATTTCTCCGCGCATCAAATTCTAGTATTATAGTCTGACATGGTAATTGAATTCTTTCTGTTCGACGTGACTGTCTAAATGTTTGTAGGTGTAGTTAAAAACGTTTATTTTAACACTTTCTTAATTCTCAATCAAAACCACTCAGGATGTCGTCAACTTTTTGCAGGATCTTCAGGGTGTAATTTTAGTGTTTCTGTAGTTTTTTTTTCATTTTACTCAAGGCTAAAACACGTATCATAGGGTGTTTTTGAATAATATTTATTTATTATTAACTTGTGATAGGATACAGTGAAGTATATTTTGGTTACTGGTGGGGTTATCAGCGGGATCGGCAAAGGTATTATCTCTAGCAGCATCGGGACTATCTTGAAAGCATACGGATGGAATGTTACGTGCATCAAAATTGATCCTTATTTAAACATCGATGCTGGTACCTTCTCCCCCTTTGAACATGGAGAGGTGTACGTTCTGGATGATGGAAGTGAAGTTGACCTTGATCTGGGAAATTATGAAAGATTTTTGAATATAACATTGACCAAAGATAATAACATTACAACGGGTAAAATTTATCAGAAAGTAATCGAAAAAGAACGTCGTGGAGATTACCTTGGGAAAACAGTACAAGTAAGAATGCTTCATCAAATCTTTTGACTTATATGTATGTGTATATTTTATACTACCATTATCTTCCTCTAAAACCTAATCATTTTAACACTTTATCCCCGTTATTTTCCTCTCAATTCCTGTTTGCTGTTCAGTTTAGCTTATTCCTTTTATGTCTAGGTGTGGCGATATCAATCATTGCAAACATGCTAATTTCTAATTTTATCAGTTCAAATGGCTATCTGTCTGGTGACTTTTTGATGTTAAATGGATTGTTTAGTTGAATTGACCTGTGTTTTCGGATATGAATATCATTCACAACACGAGACTATGTGTCATAAATAAGTTTGTTGTATTTCGAGTTAAATAACATGAAATCTATTTATTTAGTATATTTTAAGTCGTTATAATCCACTGTTTTTTTCGTAGGTTGTCCCGCACATCACAGACGCTATTATTGAGTGGGTCACAAATGTTTCTCGAATTCCAGTAGATGAAAGTGGTTCAACCCCAGAGGTATGCATCATTGAACTTGGTGGTACGATCGGCGATATTGAATCTATGCCATATGTTGAGGCCTTCAGACAAATGCTTTTTCGAGTGGGAAGTGTCAATTTTTGTTGCGTGCATGTCAGTCTAGTACCTCAGCTTCAGTCTGTCGGAGAACCTAAAACCAAACCTACCCAAGTTAGTTTCTATTTATTCCCTAGTGGGTTGGTGTCTGACGAAATCTCAGCACGGATTCGAAAAGCTCGTTTGGCCTTTGCCAACTTACGTCATCTATGGCGAAGGCGAGATATCCGTCTATCAATTAAGGGACGAGTATACTGCGCGGCAGTTCGTTCCGTCCTTCTATACGGCTGCGAAACATGGCCTTTAAGAGTAGAAGATATTCGTAAGTTACTAGTATTTGACCACAGGTGCCTTAGAAATATTGCGGGTATCTGCTGGGATCACCGGGTAAGTAATAGTGAGGTTAGATGTAGGGTACTAGGGAATGATGGTAAATCAGTTGATGAGGTTATGAATCTTCATCGACTGAGATGGTTGGGCCACGTGTTGCGTATGCCTGAACACCGATTACCACGACGCGCAATGCTGACTAGTGCAGGGGATAATTGGAAGAAAGTTAGGGGCGACCAAACCAAAACGTGGCATCAGTGCTTGAAGTCACTAACTTCTGGTCTGAGCCATGTTGGGAGATTCAGACTGCCTGGTTGGGGTCCGCGTGACTATCGTAACCAATGGTTGGAGACTCTTGGTGACATGGCTCAGAATCGATCACAATGGCGTCGGTGTATACACTCTCTGTCTTCCTTAAATTAAGAGATTAAAATCGCTTCATATCTGTCTAGGAACTAATTCTTTCTTCCTTTACTATCTCCTTATACACAATCTTTCTTCTATATATTACCACCACTGAATTAACTACTCCTATGAATCCGGTGTTCATCTTGTTGTGCTAATGCGGTATGGCAACTTGGACCGATGCATATACGTGCCTGGTCCTACGTCGCAGCTTAGCTTAGTATAGTATTGTTCCAATTTTATAAACATGCATCATATATATGTGGTAGATCACATATCGGAGACATTGGGTTTTAAACCGTTTTACACATGATTTCATCCATATTTTCGTTAGGACAGATAACAATATGTGTAGCCTTAATTATCTAGTTTATTTGCGTATTATGAACCAGTTCCAAGACCTAAGAACTGCGAGTTCGACCTGTTTAACATCGTATGCCATCGCATGTTCAGGTAAATTTCTCTTGTGGTAGTGAATTTCGGTATTGTTCTGAGGATATTTCTGGTTATTAAAATGAATAATAGATAATTAATCGGTATACGATGCAGAAAATTGCAACTAACTCATCCACCAGATACGTGATTATGAGCCACACTAAGTGTGAGAGCTGATGGTACAACTACCCGGCTGCCCATACCAAATTATATGGGGCAGGGTCTAGACTTAAGACTCAGCTACCGAAAGTCTGACGTCTTAACCATCATGTAACTGCGCAACTAATAAACATTCACAGGTCTGAATTATTGACAATCTTGAACCGGCATCAGATGATAACATACCTGATTAGCAAGGGTTTTCTTTCTAAAAATTGACGCTTTTAAACAGTGTTTTTACGCAGAAGTGAACATAACCACATGTTATTTAACAAGCGATTGGACTCATGAACCAATAAAATTAAAACCTAACTATCAAGCTTGATTCTTGGAAATCAAAACCAGATGATTAGGGACATTCTTAAACCAACAAGCTCACTTCAATCAATTTTATGCAAACCAAAGAATAAAGTGACTACAGAAAAGTTAAACATCATCTATAAAATAAATTACTCTAGCTATCAGAAACATTGCATCAACCAAACTGGCCGTCCTCTTCATCACCATATTCATGAACAATTAGTTGTCACAAATAACGCCATGTCTTCTTTCGTACCAATATGGATATGCGTTCGGCTATAGAAATGCTCCTATCATAGACGGAAAGAGTAGATAAAGGATCAGGTAACTTTTAGAGTTTTGGCGCCCAGGTCAATCAGGAATCGATGAAGATATTGAAATGGATCCAATTTCTCAACCGATTGGGAAAACCATACATAACCATAAGACCAAGAACTAAACCAAGATGGAAGACAATCAAAGCAAATGTCCAAACAATGAAAAGACCTCTATTGACAACAACCAATCAGACAATCTTCACAAAAAAGCTGTTAGTCAAATATAGAGAAATTTCAGTAACTCACTTCTATCTGAAGTTTGTGTAAAAGATATTCTCTGGAGAGATGAAAAATGCTTCATAAATAAATTTCAACTCAAAGAACTTAGCTCCACCGAAATTTTTTTCAGTGTAAGCTCTAGTTGTAGCCTCGTAGTTAAACAACTCACCTCTGAAGCTGGTTTGTGTGTCCGGATCCAAGATTGCCTACTTTAGTTTAAGCAACCAAATAGTTTAATTTGACCCTCTTATTAAACATATAACTGAATGTCAAATGCATGATCTTTCAGTCAGTGATCTTCAGTGCTGTTAGAGGTATGAGGGCAGTTATCAGTTCCCAGTTGCCCACATCGTGTAAGGGTTCTTCTAGATGTAACCCGAATAGGAAATTGGGTTAGAGGTGGCCTTAGTGACGCGAGAACGTAACCGCAGTGCCCAAGGGACGACTGCTTGAGATCGGTCACACACGACCTTTTTGTGAGTAGTTTTCGTGTTAGCTCAGTACTTGTTGGGACCTTACCTCCGGAGACGGAAATCTGTGGGATAAGGTGAGGTGTACATTTTCAGGGTCGACTTTCTCTAACCCCACTCTCTCTTGTAGGAAAACAGCATCGATGTAATGCTAGTTGCCTGAAGGAAACACCTTACTGCCATCACAGCTCCGTACAGTCAGCAGTATAACTTCGCCCTCGGACCTTAGGTTGGCTGCTTTTAGTCTTACCGCTCTTCAACAGACCTGCCTGGCATGGTAGGACCTTGAGAAACGATTGTTCCAGCCAGTATAGCTCGATTGGTTCATTACGATAGGCGAGCCCGACCACCACGTCGAGGTAGCAGCAATGGGGGGGGGTATGATCTTTACTAAGTTGCATCAACAGCAAATAATTTCCAGGCTCACAGTTATGACGGATAATGCAGTTAATAAAAATGAGTGGGAACTGTCAAGGTAGATATTTACTCGAAGATTATTTTCTCTGCATATAATAAAAAATTTTTAATCTTTTCTTTTCAGCTGTTTTATTCATTTAACGGCATTGAGGTATTTATTTCCACGGAGATTTACTTTTTTTAATGGATATATTAAAATCTCTCCGTAACCTATACTTATTGGTTTGCTGTTATAGGTGAACGTTGTCGATTTATTATTTTTTTTGGTACTGCATATATTTTACTTTTAACCGTTAACAGTCTCAAATACAAACTTGAAAATAAACGCAGTACGTTTTTCCTTACCCTATTCTCTATCAACAGAATGTAGCTTTTCTAATTTGAATTTTTTCAAGCTGTTTTTTAATTGCATCTGTCCAGTTCACTAAACTGTACTCCTAAGTATGAGGAAAGTGGTATCATTCGTTCTTACGGACTATAGTAATACCAAATATTTACTACATGTAGTTCTATTTATATTTTAGTTGCAAATGAATGGTATTTAACCGTTCACCTGTTAAAGTCCATACCTTTCTATTTTACTGCCTATCTAATGAAAACACTTCGATTTATAATGACCAGTGATTAATGAATCTATTCTACTGGTGGTTTTCATTGTTAACTAATGTAATCTAAATAGCTTTTTTCTTACTAAGCATCACTAGTTGTTCCACTTATGCACTGCTGAAGATATTCAAAGTAAAGTGGAATAACTTTCCTACACTCCGTAATTTTGAATGTATTTTTTTCATTGATGTCAATCTGTCATAAGATATCTTACACCAAACAACTAATAATCAAATCCCCTGAGGTCCAGGTATAAGTATATAGTATATAGCTACGCTATCGTATATTGTACATTTTCTGTCGAAATTAAACTGTATGAGAAAATTAAATTTGTTTGATTTCACGCAATTTTAAATGACATCCAACCTATACATTTATTTACAAATTTTCTTATGGGTTACACCGATAATTCATCTTGAATTCAACAACGTTATGTGGTAGAGTTGTACGTTAGAAAGATTGTTCGTATAAATATTTATGATACAGATAACGTAAGATTAGTTAGATTAGCAAGCGATTATTAATTCGAAGTTGGTAATTGAGATAAATTCTAATTGTTCAAATATGTTGCTACATTATGTACTTCAAATCCTACTTTATTAGTTTACGTGGAAGAAATTTCTTACTTGTCTATTTATTACGTTTTAGTAAGCTAAAAACGTTTTCAAACAGAATCATTGATTTCTTAGTGGATATTGCAAACTATTTTTTAACCTATAATTTTCTCTCCTTTGTATCGAATTTATTGGCAAGCGTACGTGAACTACGTGCCTGCGGCTTACATCCTGACCTTCTTATGTGTCGTTGTAGTTCACCGCTACCTTCTAGTGTCATCAAAAAAATCAGCCTATTTAGTCAAGTTGCCGTAGAACGTGTAAGTAATTCATAATATTTTTGAAAATTCTTTTCCTACTTAACCAGAGTTTCTTACTACGAATCATTTTCTTCTACTTACTAATATTTTCTAGATTACCCGAAAAAACTACAATGACTACGAAATCCTGGTTCACAATTCACTTTGCTTAAAACTCTCCCCGCGTTCATATGAAGATTTGTTTTTTTTCAAGTTGTCTTGCAATTACTTTTAGTCTAGGTAATATACCATTGATAGTAGCATTAGTAACACTAATCCATTCCTAAAAATTAGTTTGTAATAAGTCTGAGAGATATGTGACTAGATCCACGTCTGTAAAAGTAAAGTTAATAGGATTAAAACGGGATGAAAACAATGATTAAAGCAGAATACTATAGCTTCTTTATTATATTTTCACAGACGCTCTTCAGCTGCTCACTTGTATTGAAAGATAAAATACTGTTACTGTCGTTTATAAACATTGACTACAGAAAAAACCCATTTAAAACAATTTTAAACAGTATGGTTTGTCTGACTAAATATTATAGTTTTTTATTGAGTGTGAATTACATGTGTTATAGAATGTTCAAAGTACTTATTATTATATTACTTCCATGCACCAATTTGTGGTCGTTATTGTTTCTTTTCGTTTTACACACATCTTACATTATTTATCTCTTCCCATTCTCATTATTATTGTGTGACGCATATGTATTCGGTTCCCCCTCGTACCAATATTTATGTGTTCTCCAAGTTCGCACTTATTGGTTCTTCTACTTTATACTTCATTGATAATATTTTTGTTTTTTAAGTTCGTAAGGAATCAACAATTGCTTCAGTATTTTACTTACTAATTCTTTATTGCTAAAATAATTAGTAAGTGATATCATTTCTTTTTCAAACACGTTCTGTAATATCGTGGCATTAAGACAAGTGAAACTTATTCTATAATGTTTTTATGTATCTCTAAAATGTAAATTAACACCAATAGCATAGTAATAGGAAGTACCAATCATCAGTCAGAAGAAATGAGTATAAAACACACATTCCGAATGTTGATTAGAGGTGTAAAGAAAATCTATAATTGTGAATAGCAGCCATAGTCATATAAAAAGAGTATAATTGTTTATTAAGTAAATATAAACTACATCACAGTCTGAGTGATAGATATTTAAAGATAACACTGGATTGGTCACTTTTTATACGTTTCACGCAGTAAAAATGAATCTCCAATATTCTTGTACTCAATGTTTTTTTTTAATGAGCCGATGGAACACTGTACGTTGTGTGGGTTCTATAAAAGCGGTCACTATCTAAGCTGAATATACTGAAAAATATCATATTGATTTGGTTGGCCGACTTCACACATATATCTTAAACTTCGTTTTGACTATTATATGGTTATTTTACTATAAATGTATTGTTATCTCGCTTTAAATGTGATTGTTTAGCTAAAAAAAATTTATATTATCATTTTGTAAAACAGGTTATTGTTTCCTTAGATGTTAGTGATTTATATGAAGTGCCTTTACGATTAAATGATCAAAATTTATGCTCAATTCTACTGGAGCATTTCCAATTGAATCCTAAACTACACATTGAATATCCAATTCTTGGGAAATGGAGAGCATTGACTCGTCAAATGGAGCTGGCATCGGAAATTGTCCATATAGCTATAGTTGGAAAATATACCAAACTTAGTGACGCTTATTTGTCATTATTGAAGGTAATTTAATGTGCTATTTTCTACTGCTTTTTTTAAATGTCATGCATATGCTAACAAAACTCAGGTCAGGGGAATTACGTGTCGAATTGAAATCCTCAAATGACTTAGTTCTGTTGAGTAACGACTAACAAAGTAGTCTACTAATCACCGTCAGCAACAATGCAGACATGTTTTGATTGGATTTTAACCCCTCTAAATGCAAAATGTTATTTCAAAACTGGTCTATATCAACGTTCAAACCGTTGATGGAAATTGAAGTTGTCATGGGCGTCGACAACTTCACTTCAAGGTCTCATTAGTCTAGGTTTGTTGGTGCTCTGACCAAACTATGGCACGAAATCGGGAAGCTCTGTTAACTTTATATATTTTGAGGCGTAGACGAGATGTTCATCTGCTAACTACGGGGTGAGTATACCGATCAACATTTCGCTTTGTTTTAATTTGTGGCTGTATAATGTGGCCTTCAAAATAGAGAATATACATCAGTTAGTTGTATCTGGTCATAAGTACCTCTGAAACGTTGTTCGTGTATGTTTGGGCTACCGAGTGAGCAATGATGATTTTAGGCGCAGGGTACTAGTTAAGAATGGGGAATCGGTCGGTGAGATAGCGAATCTTCATCGACTGAAATGATCGGAATATGTATTATTTGCGCTGAACCACCTACCTTGACGTGGAATTTCGGATGTAATAGAATTAGGTTAAAAGAAAACAGGAAGCGGCCTAACCAAGGCGTGACATTATTCATTGAAGTCATTGGTTGTTGAATTGGATGATATAAGTGCAGACTAACTCCCCTCCTGATTACCGGAACCAACGGTTTGAGGCTTTAGGTGACATGGCTCGCAATTGTTCAGTGATGCTGATGCGTTCACTTTTTATCCCTCTTTCAAAACTATTTTGTCCTCTAATTTCGTTAATAATTTCTTTTTATATCACATTTCTCTATCCTTAATCGTTTTTACTACTGTTCATAATACTACTAATATTTGTACTAATATTATATTTCCCTCATTGATTTCTCACTATATCGTTGTAGCTATGTAACTGAAATCGATACCAGGTTCTATGTTGCTCAGGTCTAATTAACTAAAAACCGATTATATTAGTCTTTACTTCATTACATGCCATAGTTCATTCGTTTCCAGTAACTTTGCTATCGGAAAGCTCAGCTTTTTTATGCAGTTTTGCTTGAATTTTCTACTTTCCAGCAACTATATTTTGGTAAAATCCCTGTGTCAATATGTTAATAAAGTAATTTGAGGGATCGAATTTGAAATAATCTACAACTGTTTGTGCTCCTGATATTTGGTTAACTAAATTAGATAGTAAGAGCTGGTAAACTACTAAAAACTGATACATGGGTACATGCAATTAGGAATATGAGTTTCCACCTCTTCAGGTAAATGCTCTTGTTTAAATAGCTCTTCTACACTAACGTCGAATTTACTATACATTCTTGGTTTGTCGTGTGAATTTCCCTTGAGGTTGACCAATAACCGGCAACGAAATGTCTTGCATAAAATCTCGAGGTCAGTCAATCCAGATCTCATTGAAATAGATGTAAAATTCCTGAATTCTGTATTCAAGAAAAAAAACAGTGTAGTACGTCAAAGATCTACCGTATTCAAGTCTTAAGTTTTTTTCTTTCATTTGATTAAATTGTTAAATGTTGAGTGCGACGCTAATCACTAGATAATATGGGTTGATACAGTTTTCACGTATGAAATTTAAGCTACTGACTTTTTGTGTTAGTAAGGTCGTTAAATTAATAAGCAATCAACAACTTATCTTGCGCAACCGTAGTACTCATCAATTTAATGAAAATAAACTTTTGCTTAAAAATGAAAACAAAGTAAATGTAAACATTTTATATAAAAATTATATTTGAAACAATCTCAGCGATTGAAATTTAAATAAATCCATCGTTTCGTCCAGCTAAATTGTCTGGATTTCTTCAGTGTAATAATCAAGATCATCAAAGAAATATATAGCGTTTTAACAGTCAAATCAGATCAAATCTATACTGTGTTAATCCAACCATATTTGGATATTGATTTTAGTAAATAGGATAGCATGAATCAGTTCAATGGGAATCATGTGAAAAGTTCACGATGTGGAAATAAATGACAAACGAATTATCTATATGTGTAAGATCGAGTTATTAATGAATGATATTCGGTTTTAATATGCTTTTATGTGAAGGAAAAATAAAAGTGCAAGTAAAATGAGAATTACCAAATACATAATTGTATTGCTGAAAATAACTCACATTAATTCCAGTCAAAATGACGATTCATGTGAAATAAACAGGTTGAATAAAGAAAGGGCAACGAATATTTGCCACGTAGTCGCTAGTTGAATACCATCCTTTTGTTTCAGGCTGTTCTTGTTCGTCCATATATACAGCGCTTCTGCTGTCAATCTTTCTTTATGAGTGTTAAAATCTTTCTGAAGTATTTTGGTCCCTTCAAAATTAATCCTGTGTCCTGTCTCTAACGCATGTAAATTAAATTTATTGTCAGACTATGTGTGACTAATCAGTACAAAATGATACCCGACTTCAAATATTATCAAGATTTCGGCTTTAATTTATTAGCTATTTGTTAATCAATGTTTCATCATCAGGGTTGACAGTATAATAAATACCAAACTCTTAAGGAATTAAAGATTATCCTCCATCCTCGTATCACCGAACAACTGTTATCACTCTTCTTTTAAAATTGACAGTGATGGCATTTTTTAATTGTGATGTCACGTACTTTCCCCCTGAATTTTTATCGAATAATCCAGATGATCAAAATTAAATGAAGTTAACTTAGAAAATGGAGATGGTTCTTTAACATCAATATCCAACTTCGCTTCTTTTCACATTGGTCTGACTTTTATTATCTTTATGTTCATTTCTCAGGCTCTTCGTCATGCTGCAATTTATACAAATTTAAAACTGGATCTTTCACTTGTGTGTGCTGAGGATCTCGAAGAAAACACCCGTATCGTAAGTCCAGATGCATTTCATCAAGCTTGGCTCACTTTGAGTAACTCCAATGCTGTTGTTGTTCCTGGAGGTTTTGGTCAACGGGGTGTCGACGGGAAACTAGCTGCTATACGCTTCTGTCGAGAAAGAGGTGTGCCGTTTTTGGGTCTTTGTTTGGGCCTCCAATGTGCTGTGATTGAATTTTCCAGAAATGTACTTGGTTGGAAAGTAAGTCATTTATTAAAAAAAATAATAAAAGATTGCAATTTACCCTAACACTATCGAAAATATATATCGTGCATTCATCAACGTGTCCAAAATGTTCACCTTCAAGCGTGAACTGAACTTTTACAGCTGTCTCAACAGTGCTGACCGAATAGAAAAAAGGAAAAATTACTCGGTATATGGCTACAAAAGAACTCAACAGTCTTAGTTATAGGTACATTCGTAAAAAGAGTTTGTATCAAAAGAATATATAGTCTTTTCTTTAATATTAATGCCATCAAGAAGATCAATTAGTTCAAATGTATTTTCTAAGGAAAACATACAGTTTATTACGGATTGGGTTTAGTAATTTAGCTAACCATTCTTCTAGTTTACGTGTAGGTGAACCACACATAGATAGTATTGGTCGTAATTGATTATTCGGTTTATGTATTTTATGTAATCCATATAAATTCGGGAAAACAGAACCCGAAGGTTTTAGTATACTAAACTCCTCTTTGTTTATGACATTCATTTTAAGAAGCTTTGATAAATTGGACTTGACTCTGAATTCCAATTTTCTAACATTAATATTGGATGAAACGTCCACCAGAAAATTACTCTGATCACCAAGTGTAGTTGACATTTTTACCTTGTAGTCACATTTATTCATATTGATCACCCTAGAACCTTTGTCAGGTTTGAGGATCACAATATCTGATCTACTTTGCAGGCCTTTTAAAGAGTCAAAATATTCCTGTGCCTGATTTAAAAACCATGAAGTGGTGGGCAATATCAACTAATTTTGCTCATTTTGAGCGGTTGGAACATGAATGTTAAACGGACCATAGAGATTTTCAAATTGAGCATTGTTCGATAAGTCAGAAATTTTGACAGAGGAATTAAATCCGACAGATAGAGATTCCTTCCCAAATACAGAAATTTCAACAGATGATAAATTTGTTACATACTTATCTGAGTTAAATTGAAATGAATTCCCATCACTATCATCAATAATGTATTTATTCAGCTTTTGTTTAGTATCCTTTGTTTTAGCAACTACTGAACTACAGAAGTTCATATATTTAATATGACATATTAGAGAAATATTCGATAACACTTGTGATGCATTAATATGAAGTTCAACTAGTTTATTTATCATTTCATCACATTTTCCTGTATGAGATTTCGTAAGCTGCAAAAGAGTATAAACATTTGGATGCAGTTCATTAGATCGTAAGTATTTATAAAACTGTCTGAGAAATGTATGTGTAGTGATGCAAGTTTTTAGAAGTCAAGCTTTACCTTTTCAGATGCAATTTTGCACTTCAGATTAGCAAGTTCATTTAACATTATTAAGGAGAAACAGTTGACTATGGCATTTAATAAGGTTAATCTATATACCAATGGAAATGTAAACCATAATTCATTGCTACCTGGGGTTTAATATCCATCTGCACTAACATTAATTTCTTTCTTTTCTACTGCCTGCTTTCGCATATCCGATATCATGATTCTTCCGAAACAATTTTCCTTAAGCGGGTCGTATAATTGATATTGTAACATTGATTTAATTAATAACCTTAGTTTATCTGTTTAGAAGAATAATCTTACTGATTTTATTTCATTGATTCCAAGAAGTCTTTATCATACTTTAATTGACTGGAAAAGTGTTTACTATTGGCGACAGGCCCATATAGTTTCTGAATATTCACACTGAATAGCTGAGTATAAAAAAGCATCGTCTTGATTTGTACTCTATCCGGTATATCATTTGACTAAAGGAACACCAAGTTAGACATCGAGTATATCATTTCTATAATTACTGTTCATGTTTTTTTTAATAATATTAACGTTATTTTCGGAGGTCCTAGATGTTATTGCATTTCCACCATGTATGGTTTTCCGGTACCTCTCAGTAGTTTCTTCTTAAAACTTTAATATCTCATTATTCAGTAGTTCCGACCAATACAGTAATAATGGCACCAATAATTATTATTCAGTCACATTTTTAAATGTGACACTCGTTTTATATAATCAAATTACTCTTGATTCTCCATTCAACTAACAGTTATTTCCACTAGTTTATTTCCTAAAAAGACCATTAGTTTTTAATCTTCATTTATTTCCCTTTAGTATTTTGACAGATTATGTTTATGTAAGAGGCTCTGTTAGGATTTTAATCGTAAACAGTTCATAACTGTCTCGAAATCTACAAGTTTGTCCTACTGATAAGTTTAAACAAACCTACTAATTTCCTTCCTCCATGAAATATAATATATATAGCAAGTTCTTTGTTTTGTAGACTTGTTAAGACTAGTTAATAAATGCAGGTTCACTACGATTTTCGAAAAGAAGTTTAACTTTGTTGATGGATTAACTTCATCAAGCTACGTGTTGTAGGTGCAAACCGCTTGTACTGGTCTACTAACAGTTCCATTTTTATTGTTGTTTGTCGTAACACTGCAAACTATATGTGACGTAGAGAGACAGGTTAACGTTCGTTCAAATTGTAAATGTAGTGGCCTGATGCTCAGTATTCGCCAGATGATAGGCATTTCACTATAAACTTACGTTAAGTGTCTTTTATGACACAACTTTCGATTTTTAGGCATAGTTGGATTTTGATAGCAATACAAGTTTTGATATCTTGGAAAATCCGCACTTAAATACTTCTCTTCTTTGTTTCGACCGAGTAGTTTGTTTGTATATTCTTCTTCATTATACACTCTCGATAACTCGAAAATAAAACCATCAAGAGTGTTTCTGAGAGAAATCTAATTAGGCTGTTGGTTGACCAAAAAAGATAACTTTTATCCGATAGATGAGGAAAAATAAATGGACTCTGTAAGCCTGTACCAATCCGACAGATACTTAGAAACTCACACCGTCATCGCTCAGATACATGTAGTATCGAAGAAAACTTATTTGTACGTCAGTAAATAAATAGATAGGCTAGTAAATTTTGACTTGTGTTTTGTTCTGTTCTTTTACTTAGGACGCTAATTCCACAGAATTTGACCCAAATACCACTCATCCAGTGATCATCGATATGCCTGAACATAATTCCGGAATTATGGGTGGAACAATGCGACTTGGTCGACGCCGTACATTGTTGTATCTATCGGAAATCTCTAAATCATACTTACAACGTACCTACAAATGTTCAGAACTTATATGTGCTCACTTAGATTCACAATCAAATGTTTTATCTGAATGTAGAGCGAATGATTCATACACGTCATCGACAACCGTTTGTTCAGATAGTATAATGCATCGGTTAATTAATGCACCATATTTTGATGCGCGTCATCGGCATCGGTATGAAATAAATCCAAAATATGTCGATCAACTGGAAGAATCAGGGCTTATTGTTGTTGGTCGAGATGCAGAAGTTGGCAATCGTATGGAAATCATTGAGCTGTTGCAACCTTTGCATCATTTTGAAAGCGATTCGAATTTAGAAAATAAATGTCCTACTCGACATCCTTTCTTCGTAGCTACTCAGTTCCATCCTGAATATACAAGTCGACCGACTCATCCATCAATTTTCTTTGTTGGACTTGTATTAGCTGCATCTAAACGTTTAAGTGCTTATGTTCACAATCCTTTTCGACTTAGTCCTACTCAGTTTGTATTGGATGAGGATGATAAGAAAGATACTGTGGATCTATTTAAAATAAGTCCATCTAAAAAACTAAAGGATACAGTCAGCCACTGCAGTAGGGAATCTACCAGTACCTGCATTATGGATTCAATCGATAGCAGTAAAGTGACAAGCTCAGTCAACACTGATTTTTAAGAGGAGTTGACACTAGTTTTTCAGTGAGGTTTTTTTTTTCTATCTCATCCTTTTTCAATAGTTTTTTATGCTCGTGTAAAACCACGTGTTATAGATTCGTTCTGTCTTTTTACCTATCACTGGGCAAAATGTATGAACCTACCTTGCTTATCACAATTGATATTCGTGGTCTATTTATGATATCATGGTGAATTATTGATACGTACTGATTAGTTGTTTTACTGTATGGGATGAAATAGTATTCCAGTGCTTAATTTCCAGTGTCTGTCAGCTAATATCAAGTTTTAATTCTTTTTTTTTCATTTATGAGTTCAGTATTTAAGAGTAGTTTTTGGTTTTGCTTTATCCGTGGAACCAATTTTAGACTTTGCCAGTATTTTTGATGTATCGGATCAATTTTTGACACATGCAACAGCTTAGATAACTCTGTTAATATGAAGTGAGTTTCGACATCAAAATTTATCGTATAATTTAGTCTTCAATATTAAGACAATTAGTCTGGGATTTTTATCATCCCATTATCTTGAAAATCTGTCTCAAAGATTTTATTAACTAAAATGAGTAAATATAATCTTTGTTATGCTTTTCATTGGTAAGAAACTCGGTTGAGAAGTAACATAGTAACTTACTAATTGGCGACTTCTGAATATGTTGTTCAAATCATTTATTATAGTAAGGGTTTTTGTGTATATTTGGTTGTCATCATGACCAATAGTTGGCTACTCGATAGACGGTGCATAAAAATATAATATGGTCGATCGAAAATCACTTAAAAACTGAACTGTTGACGCGAATCCGCGAATGAGCTGGCACCAAATCCAGTGATTGTCATACGTATAGATGTGAATGCAGGAGCTTTGTAGAGAGTGGCAAACCTTCGTAGTTTACATCATGAACTGATATTAGATAAACCGCCACTGAAAACTAGGAATTATTGAACAACTGTTTTGTCCTAGGGTGGGATTCTGCGGTGTAAACTATAAGAGTTCACCGATCTCCACAAAATCTCTGTACTACTAATAATTCCACATTCACTAGTGCTTAACTTTTAGAGCCGACGCTTCAAGTCCTAGAAGGAAACCGTGACTAGTAGTGTACAACCATATTGGATGTAAAACAGTTATCCACCACAAGTAGTGAAAAATGGTTGCTAAATATTGCAAATTGAATGAAGTTATTAGGTATCTACACAACTGGGTTTCTGCTCAGTGCTCTGCAGGTTAAGTGTTCGCGCGCGGGACCGAAAGACATGGGTTCGACTCCTTGTGATGAAGTCACAGATGATTACTATCGATGAGTTCCGTACAGGAACGAAATAGCTGTCCAGTATCCCCTGTTTATGTAAGAATAAGATCCAATCACCAATTATTAGAATAGTAGGTGGGTGTATTCGTTGTTGTTCTGAGATTTAATTTTATTACTTCAACTCATATCCCTCTTGTTTATTTTTCGATGTCTTTCTATTTCTGTTTATCATCTTTTAGTGTACTGTCGTCGTTGTGCTGTGAATGTCCGGTTTTTATTTAAATCCTTCTTAGACTAGTAAACTTAGTTTTAATTGAAACTCCACCTTTTTGTGTTCCAGAAATTTTAATTACGTACTTCACTTCTTAAAGAAAAAATGCCAAGTAACTGATTACAAGGAATGTAGTTTTCTGTAATGTAAATCAATCAAGGAAATTCATCGTATACTAATAACTATTGTTGATAGAAGAGATTTATTTTTATATGAATAATTATTTTTCATCTGAAATAAAATAAAGAGATTCTATCAAAGAAGAGTAATGCTGTTTGATACGTTTATCGCCTTCTAATTTTGTACTAAGCCAATGTAAATTGTTCGGAGCACATTTTCCTACCCATATTATACGTCAATTTTCTCTATGGTTCATGTTGTTTTTCTTTTTTTTCGTCGTATTAAAATTTTTTCCATAATTATCCACATTTGACATTTTTCTCAAAGATGAACAGGCTTAATTATTTAATCACGTCTTTATTAAATGAGTCATACAAATTTTAAAGTGGTAAAGTAACTCATATCTTCAATGCATTTGATTTCTTACAAATTCCATTGTAAGATTTGGAAATAAAATAAGCTAAGTTTACTATATTGTCGTTGTTTGTTTCTCTTTCAAATACAGTACATGGTAAAAAAAGTGTTTTATACTGTCTTTATTAGTTTATTCAATGAAATAATAATTCATTAATTATAGCCTAATTTCATTAGTGCTTGTGAAATGAAAAAGTTTCTTAAGACCGAGTTATAAATGAGTTTCGTGATAATAGTTAAAATAGGAGGTAATTAAATACAGCAATAACTTGAACTCTAATCGTTTTAGGATATCTCGGATATGTTTACACCATCATCATGTCTCAGTAACTGATAAACATTGCTATGGGATTAATTCGGATTTACCGATTAATTATATAAGTTCCTACTAAATGTTTAAACGCTAAATAATTATTGTTCGAAAACATTATGAATTCATTTATTGAACATCAGTATTCACGGATATTATGTAAATTTACTGGTTGAATTAGTTTGATAATAATTATTATGATTTGCTGTATTTTTTTAAATAAAGGATACATGTGTTGTTTCAGAATGGTAGTATTATTTATGAGACTGATTGGGTTTAAGCAAATGTCTATTCGAGGTTTGATTGGTGATAAAAATGGTTCCGATTGTCTAAGTCTAACAACTTATTTAAGCTAAAATGGTTTAATAACAAATGTTATTCTAATTAATGAGGTTAATTAATTGATTTTGTTATCTTATGCTTGTTAACAAGACTATTGACAGATGGAAATAGATTTTAAATGTTACACTAGGTGATGACTAGCATTTGAGTCTCTACATTTAATCAATGAAACATTAGATTTGCCACGTGTAGGCCGATATCTCAAACGTAGTTTCACCTTTCGAGTTTTTGAACATTATTCATAAATGGTCTTCCGAACGGTGTATCTATATTATAACAATTAGGACTAGCCTATCGAATTTGAGAGAATCATTGAATATTTTGATTCATGCATATGTAAAGTTACATCGAATGATATATTTCGAAACTGACCAAAGGTACAAACTACCTTTTTAATAAAGCCTAATACAATATATTGTTCATAGTCAGATAGCGTAAAAAAACGTTTGGAATTGTGGAGTTAATTGAACATCTTCGTACCGTAACGTTGTGTAGTGACTAGTCTCGTATTTTGCATAGTTTCCACTTATAGCTTGGCGTTCGTATTATTGTGTAAAATTTTTGGTTTCTACTGAAACATTGCACCTTGACAAAAACGTACCAACCAACCTATCATAATCAAGCTCATCAGATTTGGACTGAAAATAAAGCCCAACACTGCAATTGTCGTACAGGGATTTCCATGTTTTTCTGAGCATCATACAAATCATCAACACATGACAAGCTTATTTTCTAGAATCCAAGTAATCAATGTATACCGTTTTATGTTAATTCAAATAATTTTTAACAATCTTTCAAAGCCTTCTTGATTGGGATTCGTCATTTAATATTGAAATAGAAGGTCATTGTAGTTTACTGTGTAGGCGTGATCCAAACAACATTAATTTCATGATAATTAAATCAATAGCTTATGGTCTGTTAGTGCACTGTAAAAGTACACAAGTTGATATAATACGTGTTCATCATTGTTATAGGATTCACTGATTCTCTTAAAACAAATAAGATAGCGGCTGACATGTAGATAATGTTGTGTTGAAAGTCTGCGAACATTCCTAATAAGTATCAGCTCCAAAATATTAATCCCTTTAATTATTCATAAATTTAGGAAGTCGAATAGTATTATGCCATGAAGACCCAATAGCTATTCATACCGGATTAGTTTAGGGAAATTCATTTTTCTAATTGACTGTAAGTTGTTGGATTACGAACTACTTAATGATATTGTTATTCTGTCGAAGAGGAATTGGATAAAACTAAACAATAAGGGTGAATAGAGAACTGAATCTAGTATTTCTCTGTCATCTTTTGAATCTCCGATTAAAATCAAATTATTGTTTTAGTCAGAATTCAAGTGTGTATGCTTCGTTAGTATCGCGTTACTATTTAAACTAGAGCTGAATGTTACTTCATTTCAGTGATTAATTGTTTTGAAAATAAATCTGTTAATTGAAGCTGTTAGAATTATTTTCACGTGTTCCTAATATTACTAACTAAATTCATTAGCCAATTGTGACAGTTATTTACTATAAAGGGTCGGTCAATTATACTAGACATCACATTTATTTATGGTTTACTTCAACCATGTCATAAATTAGCTTATCAACATAATATTTTGTCTTGGAAATTCGGTTTAACGAATATTACCGATGATTAGTGTGGCTCTAGCGCCGTCGTGCAGCTCCTCTTATTTCGTATTCCCAGCTGAGTAATGTCCATCGAGTACGTTAAATGTAGGTGCTATTCAGTACGTCGATATAGTCTTTACTGTACAAAGGTTTGATAATTTCACATAGGCTTGATGCTTACAAGGTTTTCCAAATGTTTTAGAATGAGATTTTGAATTCTCTCATCTACAAAAAAAAAACAAAAGTTAGCTGCAGATTTCTGCATTACACCAGCTCCTGTGTTAACTTTTATCATGAAAAATACTGACACTTACCAGAATACTTAAAAACGTTGTAAAATGGGATAGATTTTTAGTAAATAGCAATACTTTATCAACCTCAAATTGTGCGTTAAATGTAATATTGTGCGCATCTGAACTATGAGACCGCTCCATTCCCCTCTCAAAAGTTATTGCATTTATAGGATAGGGGAGTTTGTGGAGATTATAGAGATCATGAAATTATCTTGAACTACCATTTAAAATCTGGAAGCATAAGGTGGCCGTTTCATCCTAGTATGGGACTCCTCGGCAGTACGTATTTACGACTGACTCCTGGGATCTAACCCATGAACTTCAGTCTTGTGCGTGGACACAACCTGTATATCACTGAGCAGAAATCCACTGGTGTATTATTTTTTAGTGGCCCTATATATGCCTCCGTTTGGATCGTATGAATGATAGTTAATTAATGATTGCTGTCGAAATATACATTCCTGCTATCCTTGCATATAATCATCAACTTTCGTTAGTCTATAACAAAATTAAGAAAGTCAAATACGAGAATGAAGTTTAGAATAAGTATATTTTGCATACTCATTGATCTTGATAGACAATCAGAGGAACGAAGAGAAGAAAGCGAAGCTGATTGACGCGCGGCGGAGAAAGCGTGTGAGCCAACTCGATTTAACTAACCGTTTATCAATATTTGTAGTCAGATAAAAATAAGCTAGAGACATGTGATGAATAGGATAAAGAAGTGCGCACACATATGCTTACACATTTGTAAACTGTAAAAATTAAGATAAATTCATGACAAAGCTAATGAAGGGTTGTACAAGATCATGGATCGATTTCAATTAAACATTAGCACCATTTAATGTCAGCTAAGAGGTCTAGAGGTCAAGCGTTCGCGTTTGAGATCGAAGGTCCTGTGTTCGAGTCCCTCGTACGGGATCGTGGATGCACGCTGTTGAAGAATCCCATACTGCAACGAAACAGCCGTCCAGTACTTTCAGGTTTTCAACAGCGATCTAGCTTACATCGACTCGTAAATTTAACTATTAATGAGAATGGATTAATCACTAATTTGTGTTAATAACTTTATACTTATTTGTAGAATGGATTGATTCCAAAAGAATTATGACAAAATAAATAAATAGAGAGAAATATTTCGTGCTTAAAACTACATTCTATAATTTACTATTAGAATCTAGTTTATCAGTAGAGACAGTTGTATGCCAAAAATTGATAGTAGAATTTCTACTTAAAACAAAAAAGTATAATGAAATGGATAATTTTGTTCACACAGATGAAACTGGAATTCCTATGAAATTTTAAGATTCAATATCTTCCTTAATTAACTTAAAAGGGAATACTGTTGAAAGAATTAATTATAACAATATTTTGTTACTAAAAATATCAGAAAACATAAACTATGTTTTTTAATCACATGGTTTCAGCCACAAAGAAACAACATTTAAAGTCTAGATATCCAAACATTTGCTTTGTAACGTCTAGAGATAAAACTACACTTCATTTATTTGTTATATTCATATGCAAAGCATCATAAATATGTAAATGTACACACCAGTCGAGCATTTAATCTAAAACTATCTTTTGCCGATAATTAACAACAGAAACCACTTGAATTTTGTGAATCACTAGCCGATTGTTTAGATATTTTTTGAAATTCTTAGACATTGAGCAGTTACAATCATGAATACATGTTTTAAGTAGTTAATGATATCAATGGTTAAGATCATGAGTCAGTTGAAGCTAGACCACCATGGAAAACCTGGAAGCACTGAACGGCCGTTTCGTCCTATTATGGGACTCTCTAGCAGTGCGCATCAACGACCTCGCCCCCTGCGAGATTCGAACCCAGGACCTACTGGTCTGAGAGCGAGCACTTAACCACTAGACCACTGAGCCGGCATCCAACGGTGTTAATGTCTAACTTCAACTAATTCACGAAATTGAGCGACACATCTACCATTGTCTTCAGTGAGTTACTATCTCACAACAGATCTAGTTGAACTTCACTGGTCACTACTTCTCACTAGAACTCCCATAATAGGACGAAACGGCCGTCCAGTGCTTCCAGGTTTTCCATGATGGTCTAGCTTCAACTGACTCATGATCTTAACGATTGAAATTATTACAATCTCCACAAAACCCTTTCTGATAATAGTTAATGGTAATTAGCAAGAAATTTCGAGTATGAATTTGATACAGGTTGGCAATTGTGTTTGAAGTATATCTACAAACTTGGTGTGATTGATACTTTCTCTGAGATTAAAATTCGCATAAACTATGGTATAATGTACGAAACATCATACAAAATGTTTCAATAGCAATTAATATTTTGTAAGAAAAAGTAATTGAATTTTAAGTGGCAGTGTCGTTCAATTACTTTTCAACTTTCGAAAAAAAGATCCTTTTAAATATTAACTCAAAGAACTTTAAACATCAAAGATTTGTATGCAGTAAGCTTGCGTAATAAATTTCATTTTATTCGGAAATAATTATCCATTAAATACAGTGAAAAGGAGAGACTTATAAAAGCAGCCCATAATTTCCATAGTTAAGGATAAACATAAACTAATAAGATGTGATTTATTCTTGAAATATCAATAGAATTTTATCATCATTTGTATTTTACTTAGGAAAAATGAACACATTTTCTTGTGATGTTTAATAGCCTTATATCTAACTCTAGTTAGATCGTTTGATTGATTGTTATTGAAATACACATGTCGTCTATCCCCTTATATACCCATCGACTTAACTCGCGTTAGTGAATAACGGAATCGAATAAGTCGAATACGATAATGACATTTAGAATACGTATATTTTGTACAATCATTGATCAGAACAGACAATCAGAGAGACGAAGCGAATGAAACTAAGAGAAGAGAGCGAAGTGGAGTGATACGCGGTGGAGAAGGAATGTGAGCTAACTCCATTTAATCAAGCGTTAATCGATATTTATAGCCAAACAAAAGTAAGTTATAGGCATGAGATGAGTAAGATAAGAAATGCACGCACATATGCTCATATAATAACAGTCAAGGTTGATAAGCGAATAATTAGCAAGGTCAAAATGTGACTAAAGAAAAATAAATTGGCGTGTATGGAAGCTAAAATAAACAGAATGGGCTTAATGTAGCAACCGACTTCACAAGTCTAGTAACTCCATTCCATTCGCAATGTTGCGGAGCCATTTTTCATTACCTGTTGTGGGTAACCGTTTTACATCCTACATGGTTGTACACTACTAATTACGGTTTTTTACTAGAACTTCAGGAATAACATTTTTGAGTCATTACGAAATAAGTATTTTTATTGATAAGTTGGTGATTTTCTACTACAATTACAGATAGGGTTCTTATAAAATTAAAAATCACTTTTTCTGGTGAATATGTCTGGATAAAATTTCAAAATTCCAAGTTTGGTTTAATTATAAGTAGCCATGATTCAATAGCAAATAGGAAATTGAGAGTAAGTTTTGAATATTAGTACATTATTGTATAAAACACTGATCTAGTTAAAATATTTTTTCAATTCGGAGTGTTCCAATTCTAAACTGGTCCTTATTTAACCACTAATTTATGAGTTTTAATTTTTTCTAATCTGTTGAATCAATAAGCTAGCTGATTTAATAAAAATGTTATTATGCAAAAAGTATAATAAAGTATTGTAACGGCAATAACTGGGTAAGAAAAACTAAGGCGGCTAATGTACCACAGTAGTTGTTTCACGTTTCATGGAGTATCTCAAGAAAAACAGAATCGGTTCCATCAATATTAATGATTAGAAGGGGCACTATAAAAACTTAGGACAATTTGATCACCACACTAAATCATTCAATTAAATCACTAGAATTAGATTTATTTTCATCTTTGAAACCCAAAATAGTTTGTGCTAAGAGAGAAAAAAAATCCTGACTACCGATGATCTTCAGGGATGTTTTGAACAACAGAGGAAGATGGGAGTAGTGTATTGCCACATATGAATATTGCTTTCGAGGGTGATAAGATTTCTGTAAGCTAAATTTTGCGGAACAGACTTTTTGTGACATTAATTTGCATACATGTTCGATAGACTACATTTAGTATCCAAAATGTAATGTAACTGTGAGGTATGCTCACTTCTGATTTAGTTAATTCCGTAAGTCATAATTTGTGTCTGAACACTGAACGCACTAACCACGAAATAATGACTCTTCAACTGATATCCTTCCATGACTAAAATCTAACTTGAAGTATGAAATCTTTATAGGTGGTTGTGGTTTTCAATATTATTTGTAGTTTATATAACTTCAGTTTATTATTAATATTATCATTATTAACGGCTTTAAACAGTATTATATATTTGATACAATATGGCATTCGCAGCACAAAGCATTTCAACGAGTTTCCTCTACAAAAAAGGAAAAGGTGAAAAAAACCGGTGACTCCACACATATATACATAAATTAAGTAGATCAACTAACTGGAATTAAGTGAGTTTTTTTAATATTAGAGTCCATACTGCTTTTTAACGAGAAACATGTTTAAGAATACATGTTATTGACCAGGCCAGCTCTAAAAATCTGTTCTTTGCTTAGTATATTTCCTAGATAAGGTATTGTAGAGCTTTTATATCTTTGCTTGCGTGCACGAATTCCAATGTGTTAGCGTCTAGTTCTACCAGAAGATATACAAGAAAAAGGACATGAATGAAGTGGATGGTTAGTATCCGATTAGATAACACCTGCCGGCACTTGTTCCTCCTCTCAAATCTTCTTGTCCATTCCGACTTTTGCGTTTAGGTCTCCCATCAGGATGGTGAAGTCCTTTCCTGAACACTTCGCTATGATCGATTACAGCCTCTCATGGAAATGATCTTAATCGTCGTCATTGCTATCATTAGTGGGTGCATAAGATTGGATAAGATTCATTGTAATTTCCTCCTTCGTTGTTTTGAAGGATGTTTTGATGACTGAATTGGTGAGTTACCCATCCCATAAGTGCACTTCGTGTTTCTTTGTACAGCATCAGAGCAACTCTCTGAGCGTGTGAAGTATTTTCCTCTTTGTGACCGGAGTACATCAGCATCTCTCTGATATCTAGTCTTTGCTGTCCAGCTTTGGTCCAATGGACTTCGCTGATTCCGAGCATCGTCATCTGTATGTCCTCATTTTGCAGCTATTTGACTGGTCCTCTCGGTCTTCCATATTGTGCGAAGGTTCCATGTACCTGTAAAAATTGTTGCTCTGGTTGCTAAAAGGGGCATCGGCCTCGTAACTTCCTAAGAATCTCGGATTTCATTATGAAGTGTCATGATTCTTCCTTCAACTAGAGGCCATAGTTTAAATGGATTGATTTTTTTAATCTGGATGATGTTATTTTAGCAAGATTGTTTTCTAGGGAGTGGGGTTTCTGACCCCATACTCAACCCTCCTATTTTACCCGGGCTTGGGACCGGCAGCTACTCTAGAAGCACTACACGTGAAGTTTGATGTCTATCCACAATAATAACCTCAAAAGTTTCATCCACACCCTGACAACTGCCTTGAGCACTCTCCCCAATATATCAAAGTCTCTACTTAATAGCTCGCGGAAAAATAATAGAGAATAATGGGTAGAATAATGGGTACTATGCAAGAATTTACTAATCGTAAGAGTAAATGTTGAATGATGTCAAAAACATGCAACCTCTTTATGTAGTTAGCCAGACGGGAACGTCCTCCGATATCAATAGAATAAGAGAAGACTAAAGAAGATCAGAGGAAAAACTTTCACTAAAGTTAATGACGTTTGACATTGTGTTTATTAAAGAATCTCCAATAGTATAAGCTTTATGGGATTCCAACAGTGTGTTTAGGTACCGTTTATGTCTCGGGCTAGAGTTAACAGTTCGAAATTTAGACGAATTAAGTGTGAGACCATTAACACCAGACCGTCGTTCAATAAGAGACAAGAGCTCATTAATTTCAAAGTGATATAAGGAGGTGGAAATCGGCATATATACAGTAAAACCGTCATAATATTTAACAAAAGCTCTTTAGGTGGAAGATGGCAGATCATATAGAAAGAAAGAAAAAAGTAGAGTGGAGAGAACAGCTTCTTGTAGCGCACCATGAGTTAGTAGAGACGTTGAACGCTTTCCTCCAAACAAAGTTTTCTGTCTTTTATCAGAGAGCTAGGAACATACTACTGAACCAAATATAAGTGTACTTTCTATAACTCATCAATTTCTTACGTGTTATTGGTTGACAGATTGATATAACGAATTGTTTAAGATACTTTTTTAAATTCACGAATACTACGATAATGCTTTATTAAGACTAGTCACGTTACATCAGATCCAGGATTCATAACCCGGAATAGAGAACCAGCGTACGAACTAAATAACACTTTATTCACCACAATTACAAGCAGACACCTTCAGTGAATCCGGAGTAGAAATCAATGAGAGGAAATGAAATCACATGCTTAATAGCCAGTAGGCTATGTTTGTTTGTCCACGCTCAACGACTAATCATATTTTACTTTCACTATCACTGATCAAAATAATCATCGAATAAAATTGATTTTTCAAAATCGGTTACTTGGGTTAGATTGAATGAAAAAGTTTGTGTACTTTTCTCAGAAAATATACATAAAAATTTTCTGTGAAAATGAATTTATTGGTAAGTGATATATCTTTTAATCATCATTATCATCATCACCACCACTGTCACCTTCCTCTTCTTCTTCTTCTTCCTCCTCCTCATCCTCTTCTTGACCTTCATTCTGACGTTGAGCAGCTTCAGCTTGTGCAGCTCTCCAAGCTGCTTCTTCTTCAGGTGTCGGATCGTCAACCTCTGTGATTTCTAATCCTGATGGAAATTCTTCAAATGGTTTTGGCATTATTTGAGGATTAAAATTCGTCCCAGTATACTTTAATCCCCAGCCTACGTAGATATTTGCAAAAAATCTGGAAAGCAGCAGGTATAGAATTTTTAACATTGTAGAAACACAAAGAAACGTTTTTGAGTTATGTCATCTAGTGAATTATAGTAGACAAGTTTACGCCATTCAAACCCGTTGGAATAGAGTTTTTTTCTGGTTTAACTATTAGTTATATATATATATATATATATATATATATATATATATATATATATATATATATATATATATATATATATATATATATATATATATATATATATATCTTAAAATGTTAAGTTTCAACCAACGTTTGCAAGCATTTGTAAACATAATCTACTCATTTCTGTTAGATAGTTTTCGAAGGCAGTTATTTTTATTGAAAAATGATATCAAACGAAGAGATGCTGAAATTCACAAAAAGTTTGACAGCTATTCCGTACTATATCATATACTAACTGAAATTGAAAATGACAATCATGGGATGCCGACCATATAGCTTTAAATGTATTTATTTCCAAACACGAAGGTTCTTCTTAATATAGAACTGTGAGTGCGTTTTGTTCTAAGCACTTCCAGACTAGGAATAAATAGATATTCAGCAGTACTCTGTTCATCATATGACATCAGTAAATAGTGAAAATTGGCTACAAACTATCTTAAGCTTTCTTAAAGTTTACGTTTACACGTTGCTAAATATTCCTTATAGGTTTTAAAACGTGTTAATAAACAAATATACTCTTTTGGGTTTAATAGGTCATTCCCATTGGTTTGGTTTTCTTCATTTCTCTTATGCTACCTAAATAAAACACCACCTCAAATGTTCTTAGGATACACAAGAGCTGGATATAGTTGGTGTCATGTGAATTGAAGCACTGATCATACAACATAAAATGTTCTTCCATTTTGATATTTCAACATTTATTGCTTTCCATGTACGTATATTTGTATGTATGAATATGTATATGTATTAGTTTTGTCGATTTATATTGTATTATTTAATCGAATATATGTGAGTTCACATGTATTTTTTTACTTTTTATAAAGTAAGAGTAAAAATCACTACCAAATTCACGTGACGAAGTACCATTTCATATCTACATATTTATGATATTCGTTGTTGAAAAACAAATTACGCCAATTTTTTTGGTTCCGTTAGTAAATGGTACAAGACCTGATAGTACTGAATTCAGTCTCATAAACTTTGTGAATTCACTCTACTGATGAGTATCACACTAAGCGGAAAGTGGTGTTTAATCTTCCTTGATTTTCAATGTTTCTTTAGATTATTTCACATTTTTGATAAAGACAAGACGCACAAATAGATGTCGAATGCTGGTTTTTGTTGCTACTTTATAAACTTAAAGTGACTACTTATTTACACTTAATAATAAACATAACTTGACGCCGAATAGTTTGAATTTTGGATATTTTTCTGCAATACATCTATCGTCTCAAAATGATATTTTTTAGATACTTTAAAGTAAGGATATTTAGGTAATCTCAGTAAACTTTAAGTCTAACATGTCTATTCTCTTTTAGGATCCCTATCAAAGAGATAAATCCATTTAATGTAAGTTAAAGAGAAATAAAAACTCATTTGACTCCAGAAATCCACTGGACAGTTTGATATATCCATAGTCTACCAGCTAAATTGTGTTTTAGCATTAAAAACTTGGTTAAATATATTCTGATTCCTTACCTGCCTTGTGCTAATGCATATGCACCAGGCCAAATATTAGATGACAGTACAGCATATGCGTAATGAGGTATCAACTGTGAAGTAATACGAGTTGACCATGGTGGAATACTACCGATTTCTGCATCTTCTGATAGTGGGGTTAACAATGGAGGCCCTGTTTCGGGTTCAGGTTCATCAGGCTCCTCTTCTTCCTCTTCAGACATTTCATCCTCTAGTTCATCTTTTGTCTTGATTGCTGTATTCAACCTGAAATTGGAGGATGGGCACAAATATTTATCAGTGGAATTAATAAGCTAATGAACCAACACTCGCATAGATATGGATATATGTATGCTGAAAAATTCCCATTATATTAAAACACAATTGTATGAACGAAGAATATTCTTTTCAATAATTTCTCATCAGGTTCTACAATTATAAATCTGGCCAATTCTATGGATTATTAATTTGGATTTATAATTGTAGAACCTGATGAGAAATTATTGAAAAGAATATTCTTCGTTCATACAATTGTGTTTTAATATATGTATGCATCGATTTCGTGAAGTTAAATGAATCTAAGTTTAGCAAACTGCTACTTTTAATGCATTTTAGCAATGAAAATTACTATGAAATCGAGTTATTAAACCTTGATCAAAGTTTTATATCACTCGTCTCAACAGCGTTGCCTAAAGGCAATTTTGAACATTTTATGTACACCCAAATATTTAACAAGAACCATAATTTGCACGCTTGTTTGTCTCTTAATTAAATAATAATTGTGTTCTTTTTGCTTTCAAATTGTCTATTGTCTAGCAGTTAATAATGATACACGTTGGCATGATTTGTTCTATTTTTTTGGAAAAATCAATTATCCTAATATTTTGGTTTATTCTGTCATTCATAAATTTATCCTTGTCATTTTACTCACGCGTAACGTTGATCTAATTTTATATGAGTGTATGTAGAACATACGTGTCTATCTGACTCCCGTATTTCTTAAGTGATTTATTTAAAGTGTCACCTCACTGTTCTGAGTCGGTGTATTGATGAGCTAAAATGCTTTGTGAAATCGTTATATTTTTTATTGCTCGTCTACCGTTTACCACTAGCGTGTCTGAAATACACATCTCTTAAATACAATTCGAATTCGGCTGTTCATAAGCCGTTGTGCTGAACGTTTTAAGTCGACAGAACATATATGAAGTAAACAGGATCAGTATTTCAGGAACGTCAATATTGTTCGTTTATTATGGAGCAAGCCAATCGGTCAACAAAGTTCCACATAATTAACTTTCCTACACATCTTCACCTGCGAACAAAGATAGCGCACTGTCTAATAAACAGAGGTTCAGAATTTTCGACACATTGATCGTACCCTGAAGGATTCAAATTCTGTAGAAACTACTCACAGGAAAAAACAGTTTATTAATTTTGGTAAGATTTCATCGGACCAAAAAATATGCAGACACTATACACTAGTAGTTTACAAGTAAAACTGTAGTATTGAGCATTTTAGAAATAAATCTCATCCTTATAATTTGTATCATGCATGACTTAAGGATTTATTCACTAATACGATAGAACATTAGTTTATCTTACCTCGTTCTGAGGTAATGAACACAAGAAAGTTTGGAAATAAACAAATGAAAATAAGGACAAATAAGTAGGGAAGAGAAGTGAATATCTTTACGCAATCGTTTTTAAAATTCCAGCAGTTTTATCTATAGCTTCTAACCATTAATTGGTATAATCTCTTGGTTTAAAAATGAATTGTGCAAGGAAATCATGTAGATTTCCAGGATCATCTACGAATGTTAATGTTTCAATTCAATAATTTCCAGGTTTCATCTATAGTATGTAGGTAAAGGTTACTTTTCATTCATTTGGCTCATTTAGACTCGATAAATTTAATATGTGATCTGTTAATTTATTTGGCAATTTGGAATATATAGTCTGCAATTCAATTTTAAAAGATGTGCATTTAAATCAGCTCAAGGTTCTTCAAAATATAGGCTTGATTCACTTGATAAAAGACCAAAGCACCTTATTTTTATTCACTAACCTCCAGTATTCTTAAATATTGGTTGGAATATATATTACTTACTTACTTACGCCTGTTACTCCTCGCGAAGAAGCATAGGCCGCTCACTAGCATTCTCCATTCAACCCTGTCCTGGGCAATCCTTTCCAGTTCTTATTCATCCCTTTCATATCCGCTTCTATTTCCCGCAAAATGTGTTCTTTGGCCTTTCTCTTTTCCGCTTCCCTTCAGGATTCCAAGTTAGCGCTTGCTTCGTAATGCAGTTTGATGATCTCCTCAATGTGTGTCCTATCCATTTCCATCGTCTTTTTCTAATTTCCTCTTCAGCTGGAAGCTGGTTGGTTCTCTCCCACAGTAGGCTGTTGCTGATGGTATCCGGCCAATGGATGTTGAGTATCTTGCGTAGCCAGCTATTGATAAATACTTGTACCTTCTTAGTGGTGGTTGTAGTTCTCCACGTTTCAGCTCCGTACAGTAAAACTAACTGCCTTGACGTTCGTATTGAAGATTCTGACTTTGATATTGGTTGAAAGTTGTTTTGAGTTCCATACGTTCGTAAATTGAAGGAATGCTGTCCTTTACGTCTACATTCGATCCTCTTTGTCCATCGATAATGCTTCCCAGGTACGCAAAGGATTCCACATCCTCCAGAGTTTCACCATCAAGAGTGATTGGATTGCTGTTCTCCGTGTTGTGTTTGAGGACCTTGGTTTTCCCTTTGTGTATGTTGAGGCCTACTGATGCAGAGACTGCTGCTATGCTGGCTGTCTTTATCTGCATTTGTTCGTGTGTATGCGATAGGAGGGATAGGTCATCTGCGAAGTCCAAGTCGTCTAATTTTTTCGGAGCTGTCCATTGTATGCCGTGTTTTCCCTCAGATGTCGAGGTCTTCATAATCCAGTCGACCACCAGAAGAAAGAGGAAGGGAGAGAGTAGGCAGCCTTGTCTTACTCCGGTTCTTACTTGGAATGCGTCTGTCAGCTGTCCTCCATGCACTACTTTGCACTGTAGTCCATCGTATGAGTTCCAGATAATGTTGACAATCTTCTCAGGAACTCCGTAGTGTCGAAGAAGTTTCCATAACGTTCTCCTATTTACACCGTCAAATGCCTTCCCATAATCAATGAAGTTGATGTACAGTGACGAGTTCCATTCAATTGATTGTTCGACGATGATCCGTAGTGTTGCAATCTGGTCTGTGCACGACCGGTCCTTGCGGAATCCAGCTTGTTGATCTCGAAGTTGAGCGTCTACTGTGTCTTTCATGCTGTTCAGTAACACTCTGTTAAATACTTTTCCTGGTATTGACAGTAGTGTAATGCCTCTGTAATTTTCACACTTGCTCAGATATCTTTTCTTTGGAATCTTGATGAGGTGTCCTTCTTTCCAGTCCATCGGCACTTGTTCCTCCTCCCAAATCTTCTTGAATAGAAGATGAAGCATGCTTGTAGTTACTTCGATGTCTGACTTCAGTGTTTCAGCTGGTATATTGTCGGGTCCTGCTGCTTTCCCGCTCTTGATTTGTCTGATGGCCATTCTGATTTCTTCAGTCGTTGGTGGATTGAAATCTTTGTTTTGAGTGATGTTTTGATGATTCTGGATCCGTGAGATTCCCATCCTACAAGTGCATTTCGTGCTACTTTGGACAGCATTAGAGCAACTCCCTGAGTGTGTGGAGCATTTTTCTCTTCGTGACCGGAGTATAGCAGCATCTCTCCCGTATTTAGCCTTTGTTGTTCAGCTTGGGTCCAATGGGTTTCGCTGATTCCGAGTACTGCAAAGTTGTATCTCCTCATTTACGTTGCTATTTGACTGATCTTTTCGGTCTCCCACATTGTCCGGACGTTCCATGTACCTATAAAAATTATTGCTCTGGTTGTTAGAAGGGGCATAGGCCTCATAGCTTCCGAAGGAACTCGGCTTTCACTATGAGGCGTCATATTTCTTTTAAATGAGAACCTTCTAACTCCCAGGGCAGAGTTTAAATGGTTTGAGTTATTTTTTCTGGTTAGCGTTTTTTTAGCGAGTTAGTTTTCTACGGGATGAAGACGCTAACCCCATGCCCAACCCTCCTTCTTTACCCGGGCTGGGGACCGGCAGTAACTCTAGGAGAGCTACAGGCGGAGTTGGAATTATATATATATATATATATATATATATATATATATATATATATATATATATATATATATAAGTCTATATGAACTTCATGATAATTTCTGAAACTTGAAGAATTACTACAACCACCACCAAAAGAGTACAGTCATCTATAGACAATTGTCTATGCGAGATACTCCACATCCCTTGGTCAAACATCATTAGCAACAATCTACTGTGACAGAGAACAAATCAACCTTCAGTTGAAGAGTAAATTAAGAATAGATGGTGAAGGTGGATAGGATATATACCGAGGAAATCATCGAACTGGATTGCGAGACAAGTGATAACTCTTTATCTTCAAGGTAAAAGAAAAAGAGGCAGATCAAAGAACACATTGTTCTGGGAATCTGAGGTAGACATGAAGGGAATGAATAGCAATTGACAAAAATTGGGAAGCAGAGCCCAGGATAGAGTTAGTTGTAGAATTTTGTTCGGCAGTCAGTGCTCCACGAAACCTAACAGCTGTGGGTAAGTAAGTAAGAACCACTTAAATATTTTTTACATGTTTTATCACTAGATGATTTAATACAGTTAAGAAAAGTACATTCACTGATTGGATTGAACTATAAAATAGAAAGAATTCATTCTTACTCAAAGATGTGGAAGTGTTATAGTATTCGTATTAACTGATGTTTATTACACAGTTACCAGCTTTATTTATGATGCCTTTATGATGTCTTTAAGTCCTAGTACATTTTCGGTTGCTAGAGTACGGTTGGACATATTTAGAAATTTCTGTATTATTCAGTACATTCAACACTAATTTTTCTTGTGGTTGACGTGCGTCTTCATTATTTTAGTTGATTCGATTTGCTTATGAAGCTCATAATTTGAAATCACTGACTATTATATCTCTTCCTTTTACTTGTAACACTGCTTTCTGTATAATCCTGATAATGTTTAGGAATCAGCATGTATTCAGTAATTGATTTCAGAATAAATTCTTATATTGTTCTACATGCAAAGTGTGGATTAATTAGTGGTACTTCCACTAAAACTCACATTTTTCACTGATTCACGGAACTTTTAATAGCATACAAATATGTTCGAAGAAGAACAATGTGTAGCAGGTTGAACGATTTGCTGCCAGTTTTGGTTCAAAGATTGTCCTAAGCTAAAACTTGTATTATTTTTAACCGTTATCGATTACTTTTGCGATTAAATGTAAGTTGTGTGCCCTTGGTGGGTCGTCGACTCACCTTTATTTTAGTTCTTCTCTTTTCCTACTACCTTCAATCACGCTAGTCTACATGCTCCACTAGCACACAAAGTACCTTATGGCTTGACTCGAACCGCTAAAAATGTTGTCAACAGTCTTTTCTTAAGCATAATTTGTACATCAAGAAGGATTTCAGTTTGACAGCCACACTCTAATGTCACTACTTACAACTTGTTGGCAAAATTACTCATATATATATGAACACATCTAATCACATATTTTGTGTATAATTTTTTTTTATTCCGAAAATAAATTACGGGTTGTTTTACATGTACTTCCATTTCGGGAAATATTAGAATGATTTAGTAACGAGTCATTGTTAAACTAAACTCAAAAATATAAAAGTAGTTATCAACAATAAATGCAATATTCGTCTGCTGTCACAAAGCTCATTTGTTTTCCTGGAATAGAAATTTAATCAGTAACCAGTAGATTCATTCACAAACTTATACGGTAGAAATATGGAAACGTACCAAACAGTTCGGCCTTGTGGTAATATATAAGCTGTATGATGAACCCAATTAGTTAAAGTAGGGTCAGTCAAATCATAAATAGTCATCGGCTCATATTCGGGATTTTCTATGAAATTTTCTCTCAAAGCATCTTCTTCTATCTGTTCTTCTTCATCTTCGTTAAATTGATAATAATTTATCGGAGAAATTGTAGTTGACCCAGATATTCGTGCTATTTGTGCCCGAAGAAAATTTTTTTCGACTCCAGGGAACGTTGGAAATGTATTAATTTCCGCTTCCAAATCACCCGTACAAAGGTATTTTATCATCCGGCTGGTGACAATCTAAGGGTTTATAACACCACAATTGTAGTTGTTTTACAACATAGTTTACAGTTTGGTAAAAATTTGTGGCACCTAAACACTAGTTAAAATTTGCTACTTTTAGGAGATATTTTGTCTATCGAGTATTGTAAAAATAGAAAAAACAAACATTTTTGACAACTGATACTACTTATCAATGAAAAGATAGTTTGGATTATATGATTTGTCACTTTTATAGTTGCATTCATATAGAAAGCTATTTATGTCCAACATACAAGATGTACGACACACCTATAGTTTATCTGCACTATACATATTATTGTCCATTAAAATGCTGAGTAAACTAGACATCTGGACATTTATAAACAGTTAGTGATATTAAAAGAGTGATCAATTTCTATGTCATTGAGTCAAAGCAATTTTTAAGCTTTCGTCAATATTCAGCGAGAATTGTTGATTCAGAAACCATCTGACTTGCAAGAATCTATTGTTTTACCCAGTGTACGAAGTTTAACCACCAAAAGTGAAGAAGGAATTAAAAGAATTTCGATATGGAAGTGAAATCTAATAGACGATTGTGATAAATATTTAAAAATGGTAAGTTTTTTAAGAGAACAAAATGACTATTGTACAATGATTTGTTAGTTTTGCTAAATACTACAGTAAGCGAAGTCAGGATTTACCGTTTAAAATATTATCATCGATAATTTTTTTGAACATATTTGGTGAATTGGTAGTTAGTAAGACGATTTCATGGTTAATCTGACTCCGAAATCAAGCATCTTTCAAACAAGACCATGTATTTACCTATACTACTAATACTGATGAGCCAGCAACATTTGAAGAAGTAATATTCCAAGACTAAACACAATTATTATCTAAAGCACAATTTAGCAACAGGCTAAGAATGAACCTAACACGAGAGTGCATCTATTGAGGGAGCGATCTGGCATATTCCTAACTAATCATGATCATGCACGGATAAAATTTGGAGATACAAAATTGTTAAAGGTTGAATGGAAATACTGAAGGAGACAAGTAGCATGGTTACTACAATTAATTTTGGTTACCTTATAGTTTTGATAGATCACTTGATAATCACATTGGTTGTAACCTAGAAGAAAGGAAACGTCTTAGATTACTCAGTAACATGGCTAAGAGTAAGCCTAAATTTCGATAGTTATTTAGCGTATATATTAGAAGCTTGAGATAAAGCTCTTGACGTTAATTATCTATTAGCAGCAGTGCGTTTTATTTATATGAGAGACCGACCAGGACTTTGTTAAAAAGAACATGTTCATACACTTTCTGTCATACAAAATAGATTCGAAGGCAGATAATTTCTCCATGTAGCAAGTGACAGTCATGGTTTCGTATCTAAGATTGGAGTTGTGCCTCAAAAAATATTAAACTTTAATAATCGCGAAATAACTCCTGTAAATAGTGAGAGCTTTTAGCACGATTTAAGGGTTAGGTGTGTGAAAAACATAACATTGCATAAGCGATATGAAGTTCCACCACTAAAAGAAAGTGATACCATGTTTAAATAAAGCTTACAATTCGAGTAATCATTGATGACTGGTCCTGTTCCTCCAATGTAAAAATGTTAACTCAACGCATACAGAGAATGGATGTTTAATTGGCACTTGCAGAAAATACAATGGTCTTATACCTCATCCGAAAAACATAGTTATCCGGCATTATTTCTGTTTTCTTACAATCTCTAATCAAATGTAATCGTAAAATTGGACGAAGTAATTACAAATATACTAATGTTTATATAACATGTTTGGAAAATTTTACCTGCTCTGGCGTAACATCGGGCAACCTGACCCAATCGTCACCTAAAACATTACAAACAAAGTATGTTTTTCGATTGGTGCCTTTCCCATGTTCTTCTGGTAGTACTGGTGGTTGTGGTTTCCATTCGGATTTTGGAAGAGGATCCATATCGAGGATTGCCAATCTTTCGTTGAGTTGTACATCTGATCGTGCCGTACTTTCATTGTCCTTCAAGTTGAGGAGAGCGTCAAGTGGATAAATATTCTTATCATCAGATTCCAGTTCTACTTCTAAAACGTAATAATTTCGGGAAGTTCCTAAATATTTTCCCCAAAACCTGACAAAAGTTGGTGAAATTTTCTTTAGAAACAATCGAATTGATAATAAAAGGTTGGTAACCTCTTCCTGGGGAAAACCTTACTCAAAAAATCATTACTGAGATGATAAGACAAACCTATACCTGCCTGACCCAAACCAAAGAAAAGTTTGGACAAATCAGGTAAAACTTCTGGTCCTCGCACTTCTCTGGAAACAACCTGATGAATTTAAAAACGCATTCAAATTTTCACCACTTAAAACTAACTGTGAAGTATGGCCGACGGCGTAACGCTAAGTCAAGATCAGCAGAAATCTCTTTTGCACGTATTAATAAGTGCAAGTCTGCTGAACATTTATACCTTTTAAGTTTGCGACTAAGGTTCTCCAGTTCTAAAAGTGAGTTATCACTATTTCCTTTTAAAATGCTACACAGCATTTGGACTAGATGGTCATAACTAAAAAATATTTTGACAGGATGAGTTAAAGATATGTTTATGAACATACACGTTTAAACCGCTCTCATTACATCTCTGTAACAAGCCTTTAGCACTGACAAATGCATATCTATTCGGTTTCAGCACAAAATCACCATTCTCAAGTGCACTTTCATTAGAAACTTGCTCTTCATTGCTAACAATAGACATCGTTATCCGCGCTCCAATGTTGTTATGACAGTCAAGCAGTCAAACAATTGTTTAAACATACCCGGAATATTACTTTTATTTTCAAAACTTTTCAATAATCCTTCGTTCATTAACAGCGTTTTATCAAAAGGTAGCTACCAAAGTATTAAGTGCGCTTAAACTGTTTGACGCGGTGTACGCGTTAATCATGTGCGCCTATCATAATCCCGGGTATCCTCAAAACTACCCAGAAAGTATGTTCTTATTGATAATAATACTGGCGCTGTATAAGCTTCTTATTATGCCAACTTTCAGCCTTGTAGTCAGGAATATATTCCTGCTGCGCCACGTACAAATGGTAATACTGGGATGTCTTTTATTCAAAATCAATTTATTCCTGACTTAGCTGTCCGTTATGGGTCAGCTATGTTTGATGAAGGTGCAAATTTTGTTCACAAGAATGTAAGCACTTCTCTTTGGAATAACTGTTCTCAGGTTGACCAATACGTTAATCGATTTCGCATAAAATACTACTTTTCTGTCAATAATTCATACGTTGCCAAAAAGGTCGGGCTGATCTTGTTCCCGTTTGCTCATACAGTAAGCCCTGCTCCATTCTATTTTGTATTTCAGTAGTAGTTACACTCTAGTTTTGATTTATGCTTGTTAATATTGTTTCCAAGAATTGACTTTCGTCTTACGTTAACTGTCTGACATTTCAAAGTAATCACTATGAAATTCAAGTATTCATTTGGAAGATGTAGAATTAAATTAATTCCAACTATTGTTTTGCAGAGGACAGCTTCGACATGAGCTTACGTTTTGTATCCATTGTGACAATCCAGTGTAAATCAGTTGATTTCTTGTTGACTTTGCTTCAGAATTTTTGATTTCTCGGAGTATGATTTGTCTGCAGCAGGCGTAAAATTGATTAGTAGCTGTGTTTATGTATTTTCCAAACATCTTATTCATCTCATTGTTTTTTTCGTAAGAAAACACTTTCGTGCTTTCATGCAGTACTATTTATTTATTTATTTTCACACATAGATATGGGTGCAAGGAGGCACCAAATACATATGCGCCATACAAATCTCATTTGATATGTGTGACGGCTGTTAAACTACTCGGGTGCCCAAACCGAAGCAGGTGGTTTTCTTAGGGGGCCACACCCCGAGCCTTCGACCTGAAGGTCTGACCCACAAGGCAGTGGAGCATCGTGAGGAGATGCAGTCCCATCGTAGCCGGTGACCAACGATTGGTTCATACGCCATTTGTTCCCGCAGGATACTGGAGCCCATGTGCACCATTCGTTTGGGATCCGGTTAAAGCGCCGGACATTCTCTTTTCGTCCTCTCATTTTCGTAAACAACACCCCCGCCACGAGAAGGCAGTGAGTAGGACATCCCTGGCAGAGGCTATATACGCGTGGCCATGTGAGAGCATTTCGAGAAGGAGAGCGGACTCTCCCCAATCTCGGCCGTACTAGGGCATTTGGGGGCAATATATGAGAAAAGATCAAAATCATTCTGTGATAACCATAGAGGGATTAGTTTGACTAATATAGCATCTAAAATACTAGCCTTGATAATTATCGGGCGCCTAACAAAGACTCGTGAACTGCAAACACGAGAAAATCAGGCTGGCTTCAGACCTGGTCGAGGCTGCATCGACCACATGTTCACCATTTATCAGGTTTTAGAACACAAGCTTGCTTATCGGCGTCCGTCAATGGCGGTCCTCTCATTTTCGTAAACAACACCCCCGCCACGAGAAGGCAGTGAGTAGGACATCCCTGTCAGAGGCTATATACGCGTGGCCATGTGAGAGCATTTCGAGAAGGAGAGCGGACTCTCCCCAATCTCGGCCGTACCAGGGCATTCATGCAGTACAACTGATATAGGATGAAATTCAAGTTATGCAAACGTTTACCCGTGATACCGATGGTATCCGAAACATTGATAGGTAATAGTTTTTTCTTTAAATTTACATCGATGAAATCGGGGTCTATGGATAGCCCATGCGAAGATGCATGCACGCCGTTGCTATCAATACTAAGCTACTTCATCTCAGGACTTTCATATTTGCTTTCCCAGTACTTAATTAAGTTCACGAACAGAACAGATTATGCTAAATTAGATCCCAATACACAGTCGTTTGTGTAACTAAAAGCGACAACAAACGCTCCCAAAGATAATGACACACGTCGATGCTTTTTTGTTTTCTCTGTCTACGATCCCACTAATTGTAGCTAAAGATGAATTTTATAAGAACCTGTCTTTCCGAAAAGCTAAACGCTCTGATGTAGTAATATTGGCGTGTGATTTCAATACTCAATCAGTCAGCTACAACGTAGGACCAGGCACATACATTCATCGGTCCAAATTGTCACACCTCATTAATGCAACAAAGTGAACGCCAAATTTATGGAAGCAGTTTTATCTGAATATAAATATGGAGTCTCGTTTGGTGCCTCTAAGTGCCCTGGTACGGCCGAGAGTGGGGAGAGTCAACTCTCACTCTCGAAATGCTCTCACATGGCCACGTGCATACAATCACTGCCTTCTCGTGGCGGAGGTGTTTTTCACAGGATTGAAAAGACGAAAAGCAAATGTCTGGCGCTTAAACCGGGTTAATGGACACGGAGAGTCTACTTTTGGAAGTTGAAAAACCCTGATTCCAACCAATGGTGTGTATGGACTCCGGGATCCTGAGGTAACAAATGGCATATGAACCGATCGTCGGTCAGCGGCTACCATGGGACTGCATCTCCTGACGTTGCCCCACTGCCTTGTGGGTAGGACCTTGCGGTCGAAGGTTTGAGGTGTGGCTCCTTAAGAAAACCACTTGCTTCGGTTTGCGCACCCGGGCAGTATCCCAGCCCTCACACAAATCGAATGATTATGTGGTGCATATCTTTTTGGTACCCCCTTGCACTAGTGTTTATGTGTTTAAATAAATACTTCAATGATAGTAATACATAAAAGATTGCATATAAGAGTATGGTACAGGAAGAAAGAATTAGTTCGTAGAAAGATATAAAGCAATTTTAATCTGACAGTTTAATGGGAGACAGATCGTGTATACACTTACACCATTATTATCGATTCTGAGCCATGTCACCCACAGTCTCCAACCATTGGTTACGATAGTCACACGGACCCCAACCAAGTAGTCTGCATCTACCAACATGGCTCAGACCAGAAGTTAGTGACTTCAAGGACTGGTACCAAGTTTTGATTTAGCCGCCCCCAAACTTTCTTCCAACCTTCCCCAGCACTAATCAGGATCGCGCGTCGTGGTAATCGGTGTTCAGGCATATGTAACACGTGGCCCAAGCATCTCATTCGATGAAGGTTCACAACCTCATCAACTTATTTACCATCATTCCCCAATACCCTGCATCTATCCTCAATATTATTTACCCGGTGATCCCAGCAGATGCGAGCAATATTTTAAGGCATCTGTGGTCGAATACTAGTAGCTCACGAGTATCTTCTACTTTTAGTGGCCACGTTTCGCTGACGTAAAGTAGAACAGAACGAAATGCCGCGCAGTATACTCGTCCCTTAATTGATAGACGGATATCTCGCCTTCGTCATAGATGACGTAAGTTGGCAAAAGCCAAACGAGCTTCCTGAATCCGTGCTGAGATTTCATCAGACACCAACCCATTAGGGCTGATCAAACTTTCAAGATAAGTGAAGTTGTCGACGTGTTCGACTACTTCACTTCCTATCCTTAGTTCAGGTGTTGACGCAGACCAGTTCTGAAGCAACAACTTGCATTCAGAGGGAGAGAGGCCCATCCCAAACATTCTGACATTGTTACTATCAAAAGATTGCATTTTATTAGCGTCTTCACCAAACAGAACTATGTTATCTGCGTATTCTAAGTCAACAAGTGGATCTCCTGGAAGGAGACGACAAAAACGTTATTTCCATTAGTATGTGTATGAAGTTGAACAAAAATAGCGATAGTGGACAGCCTTGACGGACACCATTTGAGGTTGCAAAATCAGATGACAGTTCTCCATAAGCTTTGACTTGATTAGTAGTGTTCTAGTAGAGTCGTCACAAGGTTTATGTACTTCTGAGGTACACCTCCACAGAACCTCTCAGGCAAGAGAGTCAAATGCTGATTTTAAGTCAAGAAGGACCGCCATTGACGGACGCCGATAAGCAAGCTTGTGTTCTAAAACCTGATAAATGGTGAACATGTGGTCGATGCAGCCTCGACCAGGTCTGAAGCCAGCCTGATTTTCTCGTGTTTGCAGTTCACGAGTCTTTGTTAGGCGCCCGATAATTATCAAGGCTAGTATTTTAGATGCTATATTAGTCAAACTAATCCCTCTATGGTTATCACAGAATGATTTTGATCTTTTCTCATATATTGCCCCCAAATGCCCTAGTACGGCCGAGATTGGGGAGAGTCCGCTCTCCTTCTCGAAATGCTCTCACATGGCCACGCGTATATAGCCTCTGCCAGGGATGTCCTACTCACTGCCTTCTCGTGGCGGGGGTGTTGTTTACGAAAATGAGAGGACGAAAAGAGAATGTCCGGCGCTTTAACCGGATCCCAAACGAATGGTGCACATGGGCTCCAGTATCCTGCGGGAACAAATGGCGTATGAACCAATCGTTGGTCACCGGCTACGATGGGACTGCATCTCCTCACGATGCTCCACTGCCTTGTGGGTCAGACCTTCAGGTCGAAGGCTCGGGGTGTGGCCCCCTAAGAAAACCACCTGCTTTGGTTTGGGCACCCGAGTAGTTTCACAGCCCTCACACATATCAAATGAGATTTGTATGGTGCATATGTATTTGGTGCTTCCGTGTACCAATACCTATGTCTCAAAATAAATAAATTTCCCATATATTGGGACAATCAGTGATTGTCACCAGTCAGACGCGATTACATCCAACTCCCAGATTTTAGCTAGAATATTAGTCAACCTAATCGCTAAAATTGGACCACAATATTTAGAGACTTCTGGAGCCAATCCATCTGGACCAGCTGCTCTTCGTAGTTTTAGAATAAGTATAGCTTTTTGAACTTCAGCTAGAGTCGGGGGACCTACATCAATACGCAATTCATGCTGTCTGGGAATGATGGGTAGTTTTAGAGTAGCTGGTGGTCAGCTGGACTTCTACTTAAACTGTCCGGCCCATTGTTCTAAACGTCCTCGTTGAGAGCATATGAGAGTGTCGTCTTTTTCTGAGATCGTCTCACTTTCACTTGACTTTTTAGTTCCAGTTTCTTTTATTAGTCTGAAGAGCTATCTTGTGTTACCTACAGCCACTGCCTTTTTCATCGCTTTAGCACAGTTAGGTAAACTAAGCCAAACCGAAAGGCACTTAGGCGGATCTTACAGTGTTGCGGCTTAGCGAACAGATAATGACGACTGTCTGTTACAACTATGAACGGGCAACTGCCTATTTCTGGCAAACATCGACTTTAAACATAAGGAGATACATCGTCTTATGTGGCGACCTCTACAATCGACTCATCGATGGAATCAAACGGAACACACTGCCATTAACCATCGTAGTAGGTGCTCGATTGAAGACTGTCGCTCATTCTGGAGCACATATGCGGACTCGGATTACTCTTTAGTTCAAGCACGTACCTGTTTGCATCTTACTGGATGTAGAAACGTCGCCTCAAGAAAACCCTTTAGAGCTCAACTTAATGCTTAAAAATTTATGAATATAATTCAGAAACAACTGGAGAATGAGTTAATCAACCATGAAAGTAGTAATACACAACCCGAATTAGCTTGGCAGGATATCCAAAAAGCTGTAGATACAGCAGTGATATCTACTCTCAACTTAAACCAAAAGGTTAAGAAGAATCAGTGGATTGCACCAGCATCCATTGAATTAACAGATGCTCGGAAACTAATCTCGTCTGGTCCTGAACACCATAATATTCGGAGGCAACCTAAACGTATGTTGACCAAAGGAGGTTGGACGAGGTTCGAATCTGAAACTTTAAGACTAAAAGTCGAACATATTAACCACTTAGCCAGCACTCCACTTAAGTGTACATGTATGAAATTATATTGGCCGTCAAAAATCTTGATATTTTTATGGTTTAAACTCGTTAACAATGGGACATATAGTCATATTTGCTACGTCAGTCTTAATCTGTGGGACAAAGTTTGAATATTTTTGACCGCATTCATCCAAAGCTATGGTGTTGCTTGCTAATAATATATAGTTATTGTCAAACATTTAATAAATAATATGGTTAAAAATCTGTACCATATTCAGTTGCTTCTGCTTCATTGTCAAAGTATAAAAACTCAGCGTAAAAAGAAACGAAAATGGTCGGGCTTTCAGCATCAATCATATTAGAAAACGAAAGCAGCATAAGTGGTTTAATTTCCCAAAGAAGTGAGAATCAGTATTTGTATTCGACGGATGTAATTAATTAAAGTTGATCATTGTAACACCTGATATCCATTTTCGTTTGTCTTTATAACTCAATATAAAGTTAGCAAACCTCAAAAAATGGCTCATAACCAAATAGATTATATGTACTTATTTACTGAGTTGCAACAGATTATGTAGGCAACTAAACATTTTATTCACTTTTTGTTGATCGGTTTCACTATTGGATCTATGTAATTTATTCGTTTATACTGTTTTTTAAAATACTTGTTAATAGAAATGGGGTGTAAATTATGATCCTGCTGGACCTGTTCCTCCAGGTGATGATATTAATGCTCCTGATTTGTATATTCCTTTAATGGCTACTATCACATACATACTTCTGAGTGGTGTTATATTTGGATTTCAAGGTCGTTTTTCACCGGAGTACCTTGGGATTTTATCTAGTGAAGCTTTTGGCTGGTTATTGCTTGAAGTTTTATTATCTCTTTTTGCAATCTATATCCTCAATATTCAGAACAATATTTCTTATTTAGATATAGTTGCCTATTGTGGTTATAAATTTGTCAGGTTAGTGCTTCAATTTATTTATTTTTGTTTATAATTAATCGTGTTTATATTTCTCTGTTAATAACCGTAGAATTTAATAATGAACGTTCAACGAGTTGTTTGTCCTAATAGTACACTAAGATATCCCATGGTCTGAACGCCCTGAAAAATACAGATACATTTGCAAGTAATCGAAATCACGTGTAGCTGATTTAAACCCCTATCAGCGAGACTGCAACATTTAGATAGTCTATGTGGTTGTTGAAATGTTTGTTAACAATCTTCATACACTTATGAAATCTCCATTACATGAAATCTTGCTTGGTTAGTAAATAGTATTTTTAAAAATGTTACATTTATTGTTCATCATACTACTCAGGGATTAAAGGAACATCACTAGGTGATATTCATTTACAACTATTCATTTTATGACAAAACTAACACTCACCTTTTCTGTTGACAGTTTTAAAAAACACGGCTAAACCTGTATTGTTAAATCGGTATACATAAAATATATTCTGACATTTCAAAGCTAAGATTATCGAAGCTATTGAAAAAGACACCTATGCCCCACTACTAATATTAATATCTTAATACTGAAAGTGAACATAATTGTAATGATGATAGCAGTTAGACGTAATGGTGCTAACTATTATCATTTCGGATATAATATACACGTGTATATATTGCTTTGATAGTTAAATCACTGTTTTAGTAATCTCAAATTCATTGTGGATTTTAAACCCTTAGTATTTTTTCATTCAAATGGACTGACTTACTGGAACAACTCATACTTTAAGATGTTGACAAAATCTGTATATCATGATCAAACGAAGTAGTTTGGAAAACAAGTGTTTTGCAGTAGGTATATGATAACTCAACATTTGTTCATCTTGTGGAAATTACCAATAAGTTCCCTCGGTTTCCCATTGAAATCTTGTTAACTTCTCTGTTTTCGGGATGAACGTGAGACCAGTTGTTTTCAAAATCCTCATCATTAAGTTTATCTTCAAACAATCAAAATCACTGTCGTTTGTTTAAATTACCTAAGTCTGTCTAACAAGATTTGTTTAATCTGAATTTGTGGTATGAATTAATGTTACCGATCATTTTACAGTGTTCCAACTCTTTGTTTACAACTGTTCTATTTTTTTTATAGCATGATAGTTGTATTGATTAGTTACATTGGTTTGGATCGACCAGGCTATTATTTCAGTTTACTGTATACTAGCTTAGCATTGGCATTTTTCCTCGTAAGTTCACTTATAGATTTTTGTGTTAAAGTATTTGTTGTAATAATCTCTTCTATTGATTTCCAGCGGATAAAGTTTTATTATGATGTGCTACTCTTAATAATCTACCAACATTAACTTGCACTTTCTATTAATAATGATTTGAAAAAAATTAGACCTGATTAAAACTAGCAAAAATTATATTTCTGTGATTTTAAACAATTTACTCATTTTTATTTAACAAGTAGAATTTTTTTTTATATTGGAACCTACTCTTCCTAGCCGTCACGATGCGTTGTTCTTGAGATTTTATATAACATTATCTAGTCATGTCATAACTTGTAAATCCATATAAATGAGTGCTAGACAAACCTTGTACACATGCCACAGAACAAGGTATATATGTGCATCGTTTCCATTTGCTGCATGATATCAACTCACTTAAAAGCTAACAAAGCCAAAACTACGGTTTTCGAATTTCCAAGTAAATACGTCATTTTATGTTTAATTTAGAAACGTTCAGTACTCAATAGTTAAATATGAAATACATAGTCTTCTGACGAGCAAAAATTCAGGCACTTTTCGGATGCGTTTCTCTCCCCTGATGAATACAAGATGTTGTTTTAGGACTAATATGCATCAAACAATTAGAAGCAAACTGGTTGAGCGTGTAGATCACTCAACTTGTTTTGGGTTGGTGCTCGATGAAATCTCGCCACGGATTCAGAAATTCCTGTTATATTTTCTCAACATGGGCCGCTTTTAGCGTAGGCGAGATATTCATCTTCGGAGTAGAGGATATGTATATCGGTCAACAGTTCGCTTTGTTTTAATTTGTGGCTGTGAAAAATGGCCTTCAAAATAGGGGATATACGTTGGTTACTGGTATTAAGTCATAAGTAACTGTGAAACTTTGTTCATCTATGCTTTGGCTACCTAGTGAATAATGCTGATTTTAGGCGCAAGGTACTAGTTAAGAATGGGAAATCGGTTGGTGAAATAGCGAATCTTCATCGACCGAAATGAATGGAATATGTATTAGGTACAAAATTGGGAAGCACAGCCCAGGACAGAGTTAGTTATAGAATTTTGTTCGGCAGTCAGTGCTCCATGAACTCTAAAAGGCGTAAGTAAATGATCCACTAAGCGTAAGGACAAGTGGTTCATAATTGAATATTAAAGTTAGAAAACACCAAATACTAAGCTATGAATATATTTTTTCCAGGCACTCATTTTATCCTCTTGATCCTATACCACTGGCTTTTACAGTTTGTAAATTTACTGTGTTTTTTTCATTTTTATTATTTTCAGATAAGAAGCCTTAAACTTAAAATTCTTCCACATGTCGAAACATATCCATCTGAGTGTAATAAACGCCGATTATATTTACTACTTGTGATTGCATTCATTCAACCATTAATGATGTGGTGGTTGACACGTCGTGTTATCCTGTAGGAATTGTAAACCGTGATGTTTTCTCCTTTGTTGTATTTATCATCGCCACCAGATATGAAAACATTAAATATTGTCTGAATAACATCCTTTGCTTCCTAATTTGTGTATAAAAAATGTTAAACAATTTTTATCTATTGTATAAGTCACATTCTCTTTTTTAAAAGTATTTAAATATTCCTTTATTCAGAGATTTTTCAACGATGAATTGTCGTTACATGTCTAATGTAAAAGTGTTAAGGATTGTAAAAGATTGTTTCTGTGAGTTTAGTCGTGCGATTGTGTCTTCGCTTTGCATCATATGCATGTGTTCAATGTTACCAGCTATTTGTCTATCAATATAAGATAATTATTTATTGTTTATGTGTATTTTGTTTTAGATTCTATTATTCTATTCAATAATTTACTGCAATTTATTAACACAATTCAATTTACTGAATTGTTTACACTTTTTAATGGTAGATAACAAGTATTGAACGTCTTCAGTTTTTATATTCATCCCATTCTGAAGTTTGTTACTTTTGCAACATTAATTACTGTCAATGATTGTATAATGTAGGCAATCATAGATTAGTGATTTTCTCGTACATGAAAGAATTTAACCTCATACTGACAAATCTAAGAACACTTTTAATGTTTACTTAAAATAAAAGACAGTTTAATAAATATCTATCATTTACTTTATTTCACATTTTGATCATTATTACCTTCATTAAGGGAGGTTGTTTTATTAATTTGAAGGATGTTAAATAAATCAACTTAAAATTTTGGTGTACATGATGAAAGTATGCGATACTGACGACTTTAGTCAACTCTAAAAATAGCATAAAGACTTTATACTTATTAGTAAAGAAGCTGTCAAAATCGAAATGCTATAACCATAAAACTCATTTGATAAAGACCTGTTTGTGTCCATGGCTTTCGATTCACGTATATGTGCTTTCCCACTATAAAAATATTTATGTACAGAATCATTGAATGATCGTTGAAATGGTGTTATGAGATTACTACTCGATAAACAAAATTATTAACTATTTCATCAATCAGTTTATATGATTCAAGAGTGTTTGTCATTCAGTACACCAGTAGCGACTAGATTTAATCCAGAAAAAGGGGAACGGACCAATTATTATTAAAATTATTCTTCATATAATATCTGCTTCAAGGTTAAGCACTTTTTGCAGTTCCTCTTCTCGATTATACCATTTTCACCGTTGATGGCATCAATTCTAAATTGTGTGCAATAAAGGTACTTTTTACAAAATTCTTCATGAGTTGGGTACGAATTGGCACTACTTTTAAGTTTTTTTCAAAATACCTGAAGTCGCTAAGTTTATGCTGACTGACTTAGTATAGTTTTTCTGTGAATTTTATTTACCCCTGAGAAATAGGTATATGAGCTTCAAATTTTTTGAGTACTCTGCTTTCTACTCGAAAATTTGCAAAAGTTTTTGAATGAAACTATAGATCTCCCGGTTATTTAAGTGGAGTTGTTACGCAGCCACTTAAATGATTTTTATATTTGATTGATGCAAAACATGTAAATACTAGACTTGTTTCGCTTCAGTGTATTCATATGACTCACATCCTTTCGGTATTATCACTTAATTATTCTGTACAATGTTTAGTACTTCATTAGCTTGTTTGTCGATTGATGTACTCATTTTATTTGTCATCACAATAGTGAGTCCAATAAAAGTATAGTTATTATGTGGTAACAAAAATCCGTTACATGGGTATGTGATAAAAGATTGTAGATCATACCACTGATTAATTATTTGAATGATTAACATTTAACTAAACAAAAGTTACATATAGAAGAAAAGAAAGATTCTCATGTTGGACATAACATTTTTGTCACGATTATATGTCATGAGGATAAAGAAGATAACCAGATAGACTGCTATACATATGTCCATGTAAGCGATAAGCTTCATCTCTACACTCCAACCATATTTGGTCATTTTTATTTAATTGAATAATAGCTTGATTAGTTACAGTTGCCCAAAACGTACTTTCACACCATGAAAGTAACACAACTTTACCATTTTGTAGTAATCGTACACCTGCCTAAATATATTTTTTTAAAAAAAATGTATTTGCAGATAGACAAAAGTTACATATGATAAGTGATAGATAACTAGTATATTGTTAAAATTTCTGGACTTTAAAAATTATATATCCTTTCACCGAATTACTTGAAATCATACTAGCCCTCCTTTCTGAGCATAAAATCCGAAAGATGAATCCAAATTGTAGAAAATCCATTTTTTTATAGATGACTAATTACTTAATGGATAGGACATACATTACGCAAATCATCAAACTGCATCACGAGGCAAGCCCTGACTTGGAATCCTGAAGTGAAGCGGAGAAGAGGAAGGCCAAAGAACACATTACGCCGGGAAATAGAATCAGATATGAAAAGGATAACAACTGGAAAAGATTACCCAGGACAGGGTTGGATCGAGAATGCTGCTGAGCAACCTATGGCGTAAGTTTTCCTTTGGTCTTGAGGATTCCCGTTACTATTTAGCTGCAATTTAGTGACTTTTCGGTGATTATTGAATTCATTATTTCTTAACTGATGACTACAGGCAAAATACTTGATAAAGAAACTATCAATATGAGAAAAAAGTCGTGTTGTGTGCCTCAATTTTATACTTGTAATACATTTGAATTTAGGGACGATAGCTATTTTTTTCTGAGGTTCCTAGTGCTTAATTCAAGTTGATTTATTTTAAGAATTGATAGTAGTGAGAAACCATTGAAATTTACAATCTTAGTTACAGATATCGTAATTATATTATAGCAACTCACGTTCAATTGAGTTTGCTCTCATCTAATTCGGTTAAGCCCTTTTGTTAACTTATTAAACGGACAGTCATCTGTACTTTAACAACTTATTCTACATTTATTATTGTTATGCTTGTATGAATAAGCATGCTTGAACATTGTTGACTGCCTACGCATATATTCATCCCACTAACCTTATTATTAGCCGATTAATCGATTCGATAGTCCATTCATTTTTCCATATATTTACATGTATATTTAACACTCTACACATTCTCGGTTTGCTGACTCATTCGCCTCTCTGCTCTGTGGTTTGAGTTGCCTGCTAATAAAACTGTAGTAGCTGCATCTCTTTGCCTTCTGATTTTGACTACCGTTGGGGTTTATACGATAACGGTTACGAGGGTGATTGGTCAACGAAGCACAGCCACTACAATATATTGTAAGAAACCATATGTGAAAGGTCTATATAGACTCCGAAACTTGTGACAATAGACGATGAGTTGCGAGAGGATTTTGAAGAAAGTAGTCACGCAGATGGTATTTTGATATAATACTTTAAGAGTATAATTTGTGTACCAATAACAGGAACTTAAGTCGTTTTGATTGCTTTAAGTACACATGAACTACTGGCAAATTTACATCGTCTATTGACCTGGAAAAAAGTCAAGTAGGTTGAACAAACTTAAGTAGTTGTTCTTTAGATTTTAAGCAATTGAAGATAATTCTGTTACGATCTCTATTCTTTCATTATTCAGTGTGAAGTGCTTGAAATCGAGTATTTCATTCATAATTTCAAGATGAAAACTAGGGTTTATCTTGCATTCCGAATTTCACTATTACAATAAAACAGTCAACTATTAGAATATATGTATAGATTAAAGTGAATCATAAATGTCTTATTATTAATTCAAATAGTCAGATTGTTCTAATGTTTTTATTCTGGTTGGAAAATTTAAAAACTGTTTCTATACTGCACGTACCATGTCTAAAATATTTAATAACTCGGTAACTATCACCATTTATTCATCATTTAAATAGGTTTATTTTTTAAAATAAAACTGGTATCACAGTTGATTGATATGGTTCTTTAATTGAATTAGGTAATCTACTGTAATTAGCACATTATTCGGTTGGATTTTGTTCATCAGAAACTCTTTACACATCTCACTTAGATTAGTGAAAAAAAATCATTTAGTTCATACGAAGCTTAAACCTTATAAAAATTATGTAAATTACCCAAATAATCTTCTTTTTTGTCGTATCGCTAATGAAAAATATCCTCAGAATTAACTTATTTTCGCAAACCCTCATACCAAACAATAATTGTATCCCCTCCCCCCTCAACAAGATTTGCTAAGTCATGGTAACAAGTTTTTTTAGTGGAGTGCAAGAATGTGAACAGTGAAATAATTACCAACTCATGTCATGGCCTTCTCACAGTGTCATAAATTAAAATCAGGTCACTAAATATGAAATCAGTTATCTACAGATAATTCACCCTCCGCGTCACACTAAACATTGATCCCAAAACAGCTATCCATTTCTACTCATATTTTAACAGTTCTCCAGTTGATATCGTTCCTTGTTGAGATCTGTCTTCAAATTTCATCATATCAACAACATAACGTGCCTAGTAGATTATCTTGTTGTTTTAACTTAGCGGTAAAATTAATTACACCCTGATTTTGATTGTTTGTACATCAATTCCTTTCGTAAAACTCTTTTCGTTTCGAAAAAATAAAAGAAGGTAAAAGCTGACAGTTGTAAGTATTAAAAATAAATCAGAGAAATGAATTTTATCGGAAAAATTTATCTCATGCAATGAAATTAGGTTTATTTCCAGTGAATATTGTAAATATGTATGTGTGTATACGTGTATTTATCTTCTGCTCTTTTCAACTTATAATTTGATAGCTTTTAACACGCAATAAAAGCATTAGTCAAAATTTGTCATCTTATTGTTTATCTCACAGGGGTAAATCACACATATAACATTAAACAATGTGGAACATATATATGTGTGTGTATGTAAACATATGCAAATGCATTCTTATACTTATAAAGTCTGTAGAAGTAGGAAATACAATTCTATTTCACTAGAACATTTATTTAACCTATAAACATTGTCAATGATACAATCGGTGATTGTACAACGAATAGTCAACCAATCTCGTTACTTGGTTATGCGCATATTGATAGGGATGAATAAACAAGTTATGTTTGTAATTTTTTTTAAACCGAGACAGAATAAATATAATTTTCTAAAGCTTTTTTGGTTTATCTCGAATACGAATCTTTTAATCAATATTATTATTATTAGCTCTACATTTTATAACCATGTACTTGTGTCAAATTTAATTTTCAACCGGGAATGAATATGTTTTCTTCGCGTGATCAACTTTCTTTTTCGTCTCTTTTTTTCTTCTGAAAAAATACTTAAAAGTTTGTTTTAAATAAAAAAGATGAATTTTTACAGATGTGAAAAAATGTTCAGTATTAAAACTAAATATTTCTATTCTGTGAAAAAGATGACGAAAGAAATAAAGATTTTTAGTAAATTTCAGTTGGAAAAAATAGACCAGTTTTGACATGATATTATTCGACAGTACAATCCTTACAACTTATATTGATATAGAACCTAGGACCATAATAAAAAGTACGCTATGAATGTAAATCATCTACCAATTACATTTAGTCAAAGTGGTGAAAATTCCAAAATCATCCTCGTAACAAAACTTTTATTATAAGCAAGGATGGATAGTGGGTAGTAGTGTAATCAACGGCGCGCGTCTCGCCCAATTTGGGATTCGTTATCTGGATGTACCTGTATCCTAGAATTGATATTCATTTCAGGACTCGAACCTAGTGCCGTTCGCTTCAAACGCCATCGCGTCATCTACTTAGGTACTGAGTTCTCATGGTCACTAGCTTGTGCAATGAGGTGAAGTTTAAATTGATTTTGTATTGTTTAAGAGACTGATCATTAGCGGTCCTAAACATCAATAGGAAGATTCAAATAAACAATGCAAAATAAAATTAAAACTTTCATTTTCCATCGGTGTAAGAGACCAGCTTACTCATTTATGGGTTTAAATTTCTCTAATGACCCAATCTTGAACTCAAAATAAGTTGAAAAAATAGTTCACGATGAAACTTCACCACTGTAAGTTTGGTTTTATTGTTAATGTCCTAAAATCTTAGATTTTAGCTTGCACCTGAGGTTGGATTTTCTAAACTTAGTACATCCTTCAGAAGAGAGGATGCAATTAATTTACTTTATCATTTAATAAGCCCTTCTAGAAGTTGTCTTTGGATTTCGTAAGTCATTTTGTAGAAAAATCTGCATATCCCCAGCTATCAAAGAGCTAATGAACTGGTAAACATAGGTTGAGTTAGTATTTTATGCTAGTTTATTTTAAATTTGAAAGCATGTAAACGGATTATTATATTACACTATAAGATTTACTATGTGAAGTAGCATTTGAAATTACCTTTTCAGATACTATAAGTAACTTTCTAGAACTATCTTCTTTGAAGTCAACATTCATAAATATAATTTCCTTCGGTACTACGTATTTAGTCCGTGAAAAATGGTTTTGCCTCATATCTTTCTTAAAAACTCGATGAAAATCTATTTTTTATTTGAAAGTGGACTTAATCATGATCATTTAATTCTTTATAGTCTAAATGAAAAATTGTAAGGTATCATAAACGTATAGATTACGCGAAAATTCATTTTCTAATTAATGGAAGACTATCATGATTTTTTTTATCACTTAATGTAACTTGTGTTTCTGTCCTAATAAAAGAATATATAAACTGGATTAGTTACTAAATACTGTATTGTATGCCCCCAAATGCCCTGGTATGGCCGAGAGTGGGGTGGGTTCGCTCTCCCTCTCGAAATGCTCTCACATGGCCACGCGTATATAGCCTCTGACAGGGATGTCCTACTCACTGCCTTCTCGTGGCGGGGGTGTTGTTTACGAAAATGAGAGGACGAAAATAGAATGTCCGGCGCTTTAACCGGATCCCAAACCAAGGGTGCACGTGGACTCCAGTATCCTGAGGGAACAAATGGCGTATGAACCAATCGTTGGTCACCGGCTACCATGGGACTGCATCTCCTCACGATGCTCCACTACCTTGTGGATCAGACCTTCAGGTCGAAGGCTCGGGGTGTGGCCCCCTAAGAAAACCACCTGCTTCGGTTTGGGCACCCGAGTAGTTTCACAGCCCTCACACATATCAAATGAGATCTGTGTGGTGCATATGTATTTGGTGCCTCCGTGTACCAATATCTATGTGTTAAAATAAATAAATAAATGAAAGTAGTTTAGTCTTTAAATTAAATTTACAACTGAAGAATTCCTAATTTGTAAGTGTACATATTAGAAATAAAAGCAATGTAATTTTTAAGGGAATATTATGTTCAGATAGTTTAAATCAGATTTAACATAAACTTACAAGATCGAAAGCTATGTGTTGTGTTTTTTTATTTACAATCCAGTTTATTTATAACAACTTAATCATTCTAATGTGGATATCTTTTAGATAATTTCTTAATGACAATGGAATGTAGTATTCAGTACCCGAAGTGAATATTAAATTTCATTATATATTTCTATCTATAAGCATATATAGTGAAGTTAATACTACTATAGACTAAATTCTCTAACAATATGGACCTTTGTTATTGCAAAAGCAAATCAAATTCATTTATTCTGTTGTTTCTAATGGATAAACTTAAAATAAATACAAATTAACTGTTATAGGTTAAACGAAGATTTATACTAATACTAATTTAAAATAAATTTCGCAACATGAAAATTTTGTTGATTTCTATTTTGATCAATGAAATATGGGGATTTATGGAGATTATGTTATTTTCATAGTTGAGTTCACGAACCAATCTAAGCTAGATTACCATTCGAAACCTAGATGTACGGGATAGTTAATATTCATATATGGATGTATATTACTTAAAATAACATGTTATTTTCTAAAATTATTTTAATCATAAAATAAAGTGTATAATTATTATATGAATGACTGCCAAGTTATAATGAAAATTAAACCATTTTTATCAGAAATCACAACACCGAAAATACCAACCTGTGTTGTCAATTTTCTACATTGTTACATAGTCATTTGCAAAACTTTTTTATATTTCTATTACTTAGAATATATCTGTTTAACATATAAACAAAACTAATGAAATTTACTAGCGGCTTAGATACTATTAAGTATAGATAGGGGATAAATTTTGTTAAGATTAAATGTTATTTTCCTTTTAAATAAAAAGAACTTAGCGTGATATAGTAAGGAGTTATACAAGACTGATTTGTAGATAAAAGAAAAATTAATTAATGTAAATGAATAGTAGTTCAGCTTTTCAATAAATTATCAAATGTATATTTTAAATTCCACTAAGAACAGTTGATTAACGTTATTTGGATCTGACGTTATCGAAAATCTGACTAACTGGATCATAAGCATCGTAAATATTCACTTCATTAAATGAAATTAGTTCAATTTTTATAGTTAACAAAAAAAGAACAATAATGTGAAAAGTGAATAATTGTTTATCCTTTAACATAGATAACCGATTTTATTGTTTTAAATCGTAATAAAAAGTAGATACAGATAATAATGAAGTACATCTAACACTATCAGTAATATCTTATAAATGATTCTCACTTATACACATGTAAAATGACCTAGTTACAAATATGGTGTGAAATCTTGAACTGAAATGATTTAAAATCAATCTGGTGAAATAGAACTATATAAGTAACACAAACTATTGTATGTGCATGAATCTCACCTAAGTGGGAAATAATTTAAATGCTGTTATAGTCAATTTACTATTTTAACAGTTTTAAGTACATTAACGGTGTTAATTGTCAGATTGATTTAGAAAGGAAAAACCAGATTATCATATAATCCACTTACCTTTTCATAACTTTGTGCTGATATAACTACAACAAATATATAAACACCCGAAACAGGAACGGTGAATATACCTGTAGTATTATCATATCCGTTACCAAGATTCAACATAACTGATTCAAAAATCAATTGACAATTTTTGTTCACTGGTTTATTCTCAATACTTTTTGACAAACCTGTATAAAAAGCTATTTGATATTCTACTGGTCTAGGAATCCATATAGGTTGTAATTTTGCTATAAAAAGAAAGCGATTTGACAAATAAGCAGATATTACATCAGATGGATTTGTGGAGACTTGTATATTTCAAAGCGGATTTACATCATAGACTAATGACTATAGAGAACGGTTGAAAATCAAGGAACACTGAAAAACTTAGCATTATGAACTTAACAACAATAAATATGTACTCAGTAGTAGCTATCTATAAAATTGAATTTCTCAAGTCCCATAGGGAAATTGTAACCAATGGATTCATCCAAGTCGTATATGGGACAACTACTCACAAACGTAAGATAACTAAATAACTGAGGCTGTAATGTTGGACTCATTGCATTAACATTAATGTCATCGCTGAAAGACATGAATGTTTGGGGATTAATAACATTCAGTAGAGAATTCCTCATTGGATTAAACACATAACACTGATTATTCCATTATTATCATTAGTAGTAGTAGTCTGGTGCGGAGAGGTGGCGTCTGGTGGAGTGTCCTGGCGAGGCGGCGTTGGCTGTAGCGGGTGCCGTCGACGGAGACGAGCGGTGGAACGTGCGACTGCTGGGCGGACTTCGGATGTAGATGGCTCAGCGGGCCGGTGGAGCACGGGTGTAACCGTCCCAGGTGCCGGGTGGAGGTCAGATGTTGGTTCCCCGGCTGGTCGACAGAGCTATGGAGGTCAGCGCGCCGCAGACTCGACATTTTGACGGAGTGTGTAGCTCAGACTGCAGAAAACAAGAATGATGAACGGTGAGCATGAACAACCACAAGAACGACTGCTTTTAAAGGGGGGACAAGTGTGGTGTGTGCTACTTATGTAGATATAAGTAGTGTATGACGCGAGTCTTAAACGTAATGTTTGGCAGCAGAAGAGCGGGAACATAATGGAATCTGTATGGAAATTCATGAAAAATTTAAGGACAGACAATCGATTGATGTTTGCAACAGAAACAGTCAAGTTTGATCTGATGGATTGTTATTTTGCAAATTAACGATTTTAATAAGTAATTCGGTAATTTGTTGACAAGCACACTCGATTGTGCCCCCCCCCCATTGGTGTTCTTGTTCACCACAGTAGTAGTAGTAATAGTACTATTACAGTGTTCATGAAATCATTCTGATGAAAAGTCCTAAACTAAGGTACAACAGTTGTCTACTGCTTCCTAACGCCTAGTGTATCTAAAGCTGATGTAAGTTTATGATGAAACTTGTTCTCAGAATACGTAATTTTAAATTGATTAATAAAGCTAAATTATAATTATATATTGTGAAAATCACCTTAGAAGTTCAATCTATTATGACTGTTGATTGAATATCCGAGGTGTATTATGTAATTTCTTATCTCAGAATTTAAGTAATTAATCCATTTTAAAAAAATTTGTATTTATATAATTAGTAATGCATTAAGACCATCTAGAGACCTTTTATAAATTCAACACAATCAGTTGAATCAGAAATTACAAACATTTTAAACTTATTTTTTAGAAAAATTTTACAATTACTGGTTTATAGTAACAATATTGATACTTATTCATCTAAATTGATTACTATAATTTATCAGGATAATATTTAATTATTTATAAACTAAATTTTATACAAAAGATCTTGAAGGGATCAAAAAATAATTACATACATTTATATAGAATAATTAACTATACAATTTTAACAATATTCTAGCCTAGTTTTCATTAATAAATTTTAAGTTACTAAGATAAAAATGAATTATGAAATACACATCTAAATCAGATGTTGCACTTAAGCTAATTAACAATTTTTTTTATTATTTATATTATACTTTTAAATTAATAATTAACTTGACAATTCTTAATGAAAACTAAACAAAAATCAATCAAGTTTCAAGATAGAATTAATTAAATATTTTTATAATCAAATTTATTTAGTAAATAATGATGTCAACATTATATTTTATTCTGTGAATAAAATCAATCATTAAGTTATAAACTATATTTTAAGAGGAAATGCCTCTTGAAGTCAGTTCTAATGAAAAGCCGTGATTAGTAGAGTTCAACCAGATCTGTTGTGAGATATCAGCTCACTGAAGACAATGGTGTATGGTGGTGCAATTTCGCAAGCTAATCCTGAATTAACACCTTACATTTAGATGTTATGAATTGCATCAAAAGCCTATTGAGTCATTGAAAAAGAATTATTGACAATTTAATGGAGAAAATTTTACTTCCAACCATGCGACTGTTAAGACTACAGCTGCGCACAAATTACTGATTTATATGTTCTTTAAACATTTCCTTTGTAGACAGTCTTGAACGATAATATTTATAGTCTCATGTGACCAGATTTAACTATGTTTGAGGAATGGGGTAGCGACTGACTTGAAATTCCGTTTAAATAGCCACGCTCTGTCGTGCTGGAATAGTCGTTTATCATGTGAACGCTTTGTATGGCAAAAATCATCTACTCCACAAAAGCAGGTAAACTGATAAATGCACATTAGGGTGGCCCAAGGTGATCATTTTTCCGATTCACACTTATTTTCTGTGTACAAAAAAGTCATGATCAACTCCATATTACACTTCGACCCTAGCACTCTTTCTAACTTAATTAATCGTAAGTGCCATTTGTTATATCAATCATTGTTTTTTCTTTTCTGTAAAGAAGGCACTTACCGTTTTCATTTCTACACTGATTAGTTCCTATAACCCCTAGAACTATAAAACAACCTATATTAATCACTTGAACCTTTAGAGTTTTTGATTGCTTTGTTAAATTATGCAACATCTCTTCATTTTCATAGACTTTTGTATTCTATACATTAAAATGTTTGAGATTTCTTGACAAATTTACTAGATAATGAAATACTTTTCTGTTTTACTATATATTGCGGCATGTAAAATCAACAGTCACTCTCATTACTGAGTGATAGCTTATATGATGTTAGTCAGTTCTTATTGATGGATGAAATTGACTAATTTTCAGTATAATCACTTATCTAAGTTATTAAATATTGTATGTCTTCAACTATAAAATATCAAAACGTTGTTTACAAACAATCATCGTTCATCTTTTTATATTCTGTTTTTATCATAATCAACAAATTATCAGAATTCAGGCATGATTTTTAAACTGGGTAAATCGTCATGAATGGCGATTATAGTTTATCCGCTGAAATTTGATATAGTGATGAAATTGAAAATAATAGTCTAACATTATATTTTTTGGAATTTCATGTATGAAGGCTGGAATTTTGATTGTAAACCTGTTAAATCATCACCAGGATAATTAACGTTTAAAATCTATACTTTTTCTTAGATGTATGGTTTAAAAATTGGTTGGTAAAGGCGTCAAAGCAATTAAAAACCATGAAGAGCTAACATTCTTAGTGTTAGTTTTAAAAATATAAAAGATGCGACATATCTCAATGCTTTCTATAATTTTTGCTTTGAAATCTAGACGTTAGAATTGCAATTCGCTTTCATGAATAATTTAATAGCATATCGTTAAACTTTCTTTTAACTTACTTGTTTCTCCGCGAGGACCTGGTGGTCCAGGATTTCCTTGTTCCCCGGTTGGTCCAGCTGGACCTCGAGCTGATCGAACAGGTATGCGTACACGACCAAATCCAGAGGAACTAGCTCCGATACATTCTAGTTGTAATTGGCAAGTAGATGAACTTTGAGAAATATTTTTCTGAATATGTGTTGTATTACAAGTCAGTAATAATAATGATAATAACAGAGAGGCTACAAAGGTTACGTTTAAATAGTTCTTAGTTTTGTTCATTTTTCAGTGATTTAATGAACTTTTAAAATCTTGTTTTAGGTTCCATACTCCATAAGAAGGAAATCCAAATCCCTTTCCTCATGTCCGATTGGTGGTTTGAAAGTAGCCAATCAGAATTCAGTTTTGAGCAATTTGTATCAGTTTGCATGGGAGCTGCAAGGCAAACTAAAAAACATATCAATCCACACCATTTAAAGCTAATTAGATTCTATATTCAAACTTTAAGAATTCATAGTACACATTCTAACCATGTAAAAGACCTTTGTATATGATCTTTATTTCCCTTCTATATTATTGTAAGATTGCTTTATTAAAACCATGGGAGCCTAATAAATTAAAATGAGTACAACTATTTAGTGAAAACAATCTATCTATAGTGCAACAATGACATACAACGTACAGATCTAATCCCTAACTGACAGTTTGAAACAGCAATCTGTTTTGTTTTGGACGTACATAATATGCCCTTTCATTTGCTCAATGAGATCTCATTCTCTATATTGTCAGCGTTATAAGTTTTGGCTTATTTGGTTAGTGCTGATTATTCTCTGAAATCGTCCTTTAGCACGACATGAATTTAAGTATTCTACGATCATACATACTATCCAAACCTACCTCGTTGGATTTCATAAATTGGAAAGAGGTGTCAGAAACCTTAGTGTTAATGAAGGCTTTATCTCAGAAACTGATATCTAGGCACAACTCTGAGTTTTGAGTAAGTTTTTCATCTGATGACTAGTGTAAAATATTTTCTATGTGATGATATTACGAGGTCATCATTTCGCGGTTTTCTTCGACAACTAGTAATGATAATGATGATCTTTATTGGTTACATTGTATCAAGTTATTACGTGAAGAGCACTGTTAAGAAATCCATTCATTCCAGACTGGTGTGTCAACAGTTTTATGCGAGACTACTATCAGCCGAATTTTATCGCGGAACGATCATCAAAGGTGTATGGTGCAAAAATCGAACTACAACCATCACCATTATATGTGACAAGCAGGTGGAATTATGCAAATGTATTACGCATTTGAATACTGTTAGTAATACTTTGGATTTCAGTAATTTCCATTTGATAAACGTTACAAGCATTAAGTTGTTAAATAAACGCAGATAATTCCTGGTTCTTGTTTAAATGAATAAAGTATAATCAGTGAGGGATTTTGTGGATATTATAGTAATTTAGTAGTTGAATTCGCGAGTCAATTAAACTAGACCACTATGGAAAACCTGGTAGATGGTGGCGTCACTTCCTGGATCGGTTGAAGTTAGACATTAACACCGTCAGATGCCATCTCAGTAGTTAAGCGCTCGCGCACGAGACTGATAGATTCTGGGCTCGAGTCTCACAGGAGGCGGGATCGTGGGTACGCTCTGATGAGGAGTCCCATAATATGACGAAAACGTCGTCCAGTGCTTCCAGGTTTTCCATGGTGGCTTAGCGTCAATTGACTCATGAATTCAACTATTGAAGTACAGCTCATATACATGATAGATAATTTAATGAGCCATTACAACCATACTATTTACCTTTACGAATACCATGATGAATAAATACCGAGTATTTAAACACATCTGTCTAGTTCGAACATTGTTGGGATATGCTGGTGAAAGATGATTTAGTCGTAACTAAATTGTGCTCCAAGTAAAACTTATCGTATCTTAACGTCTGTTTTTCATTCAAGCAGTGAAGCTTTGTATTTCGCTTATATCACCTCAACCATAGTAAATAACTTCTTGGTACGACTTTCATACATATCGCCAGTTATCTCAAATTTATTTTGAGTTACTGACTCGATTTTAGCAAAATCGAATGAACTTTATAATGTATTACGTAATATAATGTCCTGAAACAAATTCCCAGTCTCACTTAACTTCTAAAAACAACATTAAAGGGTTGAAGTAGTAATTACTAGTGACGGTTTAGATGCCCACTTTATCTTGTTTAGTAAAAATCTACTGGATGTACCTGTATTCCAACATCGATGTTGCTTCTTTTGAGACAAAAAATTATTGGCTGTTCAATTTCGCTAATAATAACTGTAAACATTTTAAATATTTGACATTAGTAAACTTTTCTGACTAATTCCGTTCTGGAAATAGTGTTTGTTGATGTCCCAAAGACCCTCAAACAAAAGTAGTAATCAATAATAATGTTTCCGGGGATTGAAGGTAATATAATTAACGAACATCCACATAAGCCTTTTAACTGTAACCATGATAATCAAATTGGACTGCCTGTATTACAATCATATATCGGAAAATTTAACTGGTTTCTCCCTCCTAGATAGCATAAATGCAGGCTGAAAAATAGATCCAGAGGCACAGAATAAATCTACCAAGTTGAAGAGTTGTTCTAGGTCGTGGTTGGAAACTAAGCAACATGGACCAAACTTGATTATAGTGATAAGAGTTCTCTATCTTCCGCTAAGTTCTGAACGTACTGTTATTCCATACTTTTCATTCCTTAATTGCAACCTTCCCTTCTCAATTGTATTTCTCACGTCATCACATCATTAATGATATTGTTCCTACTTTTCAGTAACCTCTGTTGAATGGATGGGAAGTAAGACTAAAACACAATCGTTCCAACTATCTCATTGTCTGAAGCTGACCGAATGTCCAACAAGACGACTCAGAATATTCCTACAGCATGATCTGTTTCATAAATATACAAGATTAGCCACTTGGTAGTCAAGATGATTGGAAACTAGATTAATTGTAATTAGATCATCACTTTTCTGTGATTGACTAATTATTTTGTGCATAAGACGGTCGCAAATATTGATACTTTTCCAGCACTTTAAACTACAACTTGCAATGGTTTATACTTTCAAATTGTTGTTGTTATTAGGGATCACTCGTCATCGCAATATGTGCATTCTGAGAGGAGTGCAGCGACATTACCTTTTAGTCAGTTTGCTATAATACCCAAGCCATGCAATCCGCACTTAGTCAGTTGGTATGGTATATGCTTGGCACCTTCGAAGTGCAAAGTACTTCTACAAGACTGACAGGACCCTGATCCTGCACTCACCTTGGGTAGTGATCAGATAGTATTCGATAAAATTGTATCTGGATAGCTGCATAAGTACTGATGGTGGCGCGAGTGATGAGATCAATTCATGTATTGTGAGAGCCAGAGCGGCTTACGACAATCTGGGCCATCTTTGATGCCTTCGTGATGTTAGTCGGGCTGTAAAAGGTCGGATCTACAACGCATCGATGAGAGCTTGCTTCTTCAATTATTATTATTTTACTGTCATATACGAATTTCTGTTTGTTATTGTTCCCCTTTTTCCCATAAGCACCTTACATTCTCATTGTTATTGTATGGCGCATATGTATTTCGTCCCCCTTTGTATCAATATATAAGTGTTCATATAAGAAATTTAGTTAAAATTGGAAAAAGCCCATTATTCGACTTTATGTTGTAATTGATTGTTGATTAGGTCTGTTAACCACCAAATATCCTTACTACCTTAAGAGTTTTTGTATATATTAACAAATAATTAACCTCAAAACTCCCCACTGATTTGTAATCGATTGTAATGCATTCGTACAGGGAATTAGATTGGATTACACAAATACTTTTATTTGTGAATTTAGTTATGCTAACAGTAGCATAATGTTGAACTTACATTTAACTTATAGTGTTGGTACAACTCTCAGAACTAAGGAACTCTCTTGAGTTCCGGCTCAAAATGATTGTACTTAAGAACAACAATAAATGTATAATTGGTTGCTGAAAATTTGATCGTTCCTACGTATTCAGAGATCGCTGATCACAATGTTTTCTATATTTTTAAGAATCATGAGTACAAACCCTTGTCAGACACTTTGATGATATTTTTTTGGACAGAAGTTTGCATATCCACCATGACTTTGAAACCATTTCGATAACAATATGATCAGTTGTTTCTTAAATATATTTGTTATCTTGACAAAAGCTTGATACGAATCTTAAAAATGATCAAAAATGAACCTTGTTTTTAATTAACAACAACATGAGAAATATATCTGATTGTTATTTGGAAGTACTGTACATTATAAATGAACAACAGAAGCCTATATAACTAAAGACAACTGAAAACAATTCTACCGTTCCTGTCTTGCTTCTGACAATTTGCAAATATCATCCAAAGAAACGTTCTTAACCAGACGACCCATACACAGACCCTAAAAAAAGAAATGGTAAAACATCATAACTGATAGAAAATTTGTGGAATCCATTGAAACATACTCGTTATGCTGTGTTGAGGATATAAATTGCCGTGTAAGGCATGTTGAAACAACATATTCATTTTCACCGATAACTGCAAGTTGATTTTCCGACCAAATGGAAAGCGAACTACGGAAACGCCATAGAACCCCTTATATTTGTACCACTATGATTTTAATAAAAGCACGCAAGTCCAAAAAATATATTACTACTATAAAAGGCGAAGTCGATCAATATAGATTGACTGACAAATTCCCACTATATAATCATGAAAATATCACACTAGTTTCGGAAATGGAATTTTTAATTCGGAAGGATTCAAAAACAAAAAAGAACTAATCAGTTTAATCTGACATGAATAGCTGAGAACACGTGTATAGTAACAAGAAGCACCAAAGATTAACATATACGCTTCTGAGGAAGGCCGGTCAAAACAAGGCACTGGGAAGAATATAACAGAATAAAAACTCTTCTGAAATAATAATTATTAACTAATAATGTCTACTATCTCAGCCTACAAACGTATAAATAGAGTCAGATGAAATTAAAATTATTGTGATGACTTTTCTACACTTCACATAGTTTGTCAGTTAGTTATAACCAATTCAGAACCTTGTACAGACGTGTATCACATTACTTTTTCTTACTATATCGGCATGACAACATGCAATTAATAAGATGAATAGCAAAGGATTCGAAATAATGTAGTCGTAATGATAACGGGAGATTAAGTATTCGGAATGTGGTTCGAAGAGAGAGTGAAAAGGTATGTATGGTGGAATACTGGGACTCAAGACCCGAAAGAAAATAAAGAGCGAATGTATCTGTGCTATTAAGGTTGATACTATATTGGTTTTAGGGTCCATAGATACCTTCCAACCTATTTCGTCAGTTAACATTTCGCTTATAAGTAGGTGGTGGTTGGGCGTACGCAACATTTTACATAGCTTAAGATTATATTGACGTTAATTCTACACCAAAAACGAACAAGACACTAAAACACCATTATTAGCAGTATGGGAAGTTGTTGAATTTAATAGTTTACACCAGACTAAACATAGACCATCATCGGAAACCAGGAAGCATTAGGTAGTCATTCTTTCCTGGTATCATCGGCAGTATGCACCCATAACCTTATTAAATACACGAGAGTTACCCACCAATTGCACTGGAAGATGTTTCGGCAATATCACCAACTGATTCAAGTAAAAAATGGGAACCGTTAAATGGTGGTTTGGTGATCTAAAGGTTAGGGGCTTGTGACGAAACCAGAGTCCTAGGTTGGATCCACGGTAGAATTTCGAATGAGCAATACTGAGGAGTACCATGCCAGGATGAAACATATCCAGGGTTTACTGCTTTTCAGTGTCTATTTAACTACAACCAGTCCGTGATATTTAGACTCCCATAGTCTGAGTGAGTACAATGTTTTAAGAAAATGACCAAGAACCTGAGTCTTTATAAATGTAAACTCTAACATATAGATCAATACGATTACGAGAATTACTTTGAGGAAAAATGAAATGGTTATTTCGAGTTTCAAAAATTGTCGGTAATGTAACTATTTTACCAAGAGGTCTACGTGATCAGCTTTAGAGGATATTAATATAACATGGTTACGTACAAGGTGGTGGCTAATTGGTCAAAAATTCAGCTTTCAATCAATGTGTTGTGGGTTGGGATTTCGCTCCATTTACATCGGTTTGGGGCGCCAATTAGTATCAATAACCCTCATACGTGAAGTGCGGTCTAAAAAAGAGTAAAGCTGTAATTTGTTAGACTAGTGTATTACCAGGTTACTCAAACCGAAATGATGGGACGGAGTTTGACATAACTACACCTTAAAACACGAGTTATTTGATCACTAAGGGACTGACTTAAGCATTGTGTTGTACGCTAGGGTCTATTGGCACACATGTAAGAGTTTGCTCATTTTGCAAATGGGCTAAGCTTGGAAAAACAACGATATAAATGTTACTTTTTAAATAAAGCTTTGTAGTTGATGTTGTTTTTTTCCTAGACTATCGATTTAATTATGAGGCTTTTATTATTTTTTAAAGCATAACCATAAGGAAAGACCTCAACGATAAAGCAACTACTAGACATTTGTTATAAGTGGCTAACAGGTTATCGTGTTACTATGGTATGTGATAGAATGTTATTATTAATTGTTCTGTAACTGTAAGTAAACATATTTACCTGCCATTTTCTTTTATCTGACTTCTAATCTTAAAGTTATTATTTTTCTCATTTGATAAATGCTTTCTAAATGTATTTTGTTTCTTTTCAGTAACAGGGTCCAAACAATTACAAAACGTGTCTAGATATTGTGACTCATTCTTCTGGTATCCAGTGTTACCAAAGTATTTGTGCTATAAATGCAATAAAATAATATGCCCAGATAAGAACAACAAAATCACTTACAACAACCAATCACGTTCCATATTGGCAGAGCAGGATATTACTCATTCGCGGAGAAATCCTAGCAACTACCTACATTTTGGAGTCTGTACTAATGTTTTCTCAAAGAAAGTCAATGGAAGTCTCATGATTAAACCATTCAGTCTATAAAAGACAACACTATTAAAAGTTGAAAAGTGGGAATATATGATTTAGACACAAAAAGATGGAACATGAACTAGCAATAATTTTGGATTGAAAATCAAACATACTTGAGAAATCAGATGCAAAATACAGGGTAATTGCTATTAAATGATGTAAAGTAAGAGAGCAGTAATTGGAAATCAGATTACGATAATTAATTAAAATGATCGAAAGGTTTGCCAGACAAAATCTTCAAACATTTGAAGATTTAGTTATAGAGTCAAAAGAGAACGCGAAGCAACATTAAAAGCATTAATAAGAAAACTTACGGTCATCACTGTTATTTCACACACATTCTTTTCTTTAAAAACTTGCTCTAACGTAGCGTACTCTCCTCGGTATGCACCATTAACAATAAGAACTGTTGATGATGGTTCAGGAATAACTGTTTGAACGTGATTTTGATCCACTTTAATCTTCGTGTGACATTCCACTGTCCGTACAATAGCCTATGCAGTAATAAGCACAAAATAATTATCATTTTGGAGCATAACTTAATTTTGCCTTTATTTTTATCCATAGCACATTTATCCTGGAACCAAAAAAATATCTACACACAAATGAAGCGATTCTATTACAGACAATATATGACTAGAAGATTGTACAACCAACGAATAACCGAACAAGAATAGATGAAAGATATAACAATTTGAAGCCAGTCACATACTATCTTTTCTTGAGTAGCTTTTGAAATTTCAGATCCGTACACTTTGGACCTTACCGCCGGTGATGGAAAACCATGGAGCAAGGTGGGGGTGCTATTTTAGATACGACTTTTCTAACAAGGTTTTTTTTCTGTTTTAGGAGACAGTATCGCTGCAGATGCTGGTTTATAGGAAGTACCTTACTGCCATCGCACTCTTGTACAGTCACCAGTACGAATCCACTCTCGGAATATCAATCTTAAGCGGCCTGTCTGAGGTGATGGGAACTATAGGGACGAGTGTTTCAGTCAATATAGTTCGAGCGATCGCCATAAAAAAGCCCGATCACCAAGTCTATTGGGGTTTATGTTTTGATGCTAGTGATTAATGATGAGCTTGATGTAAGTCCACTCCAGTTGATAAGACGACATCCAAAGCTAACTGAAAGGGATGAGACAGTTGAACAAGTGATTAAGAAATATTTATTATTTTCTATAATGTTAAAGAACTCCGCCTGGAGTCTCTCTGGTGCTACTGCCGATCCCAAGCCCAAGTGAAGGAGGGTCAGCATGGGGTTAGCAACCACATCCTGTAGAAAACTAATTCAATAAAAAACACTAAACAGGAAAAATTATTCAAAACATTTAAAATCTGCCCTGGGAGTCAGAAGGTCTTCAGTTAGAAGAGTTATAACGCCTCATGATGAAAGCCGAGTTCGTTCGAAAGTCACGAAGGAGGTTCCCCTTCTGAAAACCAGAGCAACCATTAATTTAGGTACATGGAATGCTCGTACAATGTGGGAGACCGGGAGAGTCTTCCAAATGGCTGCAGAAATGAGGAGGTACAACCTAGGGGTGCTTGGGATCAGTGAAACACATTGGACGCAAGTCGGACAACAACGACTAGCTTCAGGGGAGCTGTTGTTTTACTCCGGCCACGATGAAGAAAATACCCCACACACACAAGGAGTTGCACTGGTGCTATCCAAACAAGCACAAAAAGCACCTATAGGATGGGAATCTCGTGGACCCAGGATCATCAAAGCCTCCTTCAAAACAAAGAAAGAGGGCATTACAATGGACGTCATTCAATGCTACGCGCCTACCAACGACTGCAATGAAGACGTTAAAGATCAATCCTACGATAGGCTGCAGTTAATCGTCGAGAAATGCCCAACAAATGACTTAACCATTCTAATGGGAGACCTAAATGCCAAGGTTGGAATGGACAACACCAGATATGAAGACATCATGGGACGAAGACGACTGGGAGAAAGGAACAAAAGTGGTGAGAGACTTGCAAACTTGTGTGCCTTCAACAAACTGGTCATAGGTGGCACCATATTCCCATATAAACGCATACACAAAGCCACACGGATTTCATCGAATCACACCACACAGAGCCAAATCGACCATATCTGCATCAATAAAAGGTTCAGAAAGACGATGGAAGATGTGAGGACCAAGAGAAACGCTGATATAGCGTCAGATCATCACTTGCTGGTCACCAAGATGAAACGGGAACTCGAGAAGCACTGGACAACATCATTAGAGTTTAATACGGCCTTTCTTCAGGAAGCTGACAAACTCAACATATTTAAGATAGCCCTCAGCAATAGGTTCCAAGCCCTTCACGATTTACTTCGAGACCGACAGACTGGATTCCGCAGGAATCGATCGTGTACTGACCAAATCGCAGCACTACGGATCATTGTAGAACAATCAATTGAATGGAATTCACCACTCTACATCAACTTCATTGACTACGAGAAAGCATTTGATAGCGTGGACAGGACAACAACTGAGGGGAAGCATGGGATACATTGGACAGCTAAGATGCAAGTGGACGACCTAGCCTTCGCATATAATTTGGCTCTTCTACCGCACACGCAACAACAAATTCAGGTGAAGACGGCCAAGGTAGCAGCAACCTCAGCAGCAGTATGTCTCAAGATTCTACGATACAACACAAAATCTACCAATCGAATAACACTTGACGGAGAAGCTTTGGAAGATGTAAAAACCTTTACATGTCTGGGCAGCGTTATTGATGAACACGGTGGATCTGATGCAAATTTAAAGGCATGGATCGACAAAGCAAGAGCAACATATTTACAACTGCAGAACATCTGGAAATCAAAACGACTGTCAACCAACACCAAAGTCAGAGTTTTAAATACAAATGTCAAGACAGTTCTACTGTATGGGGTGGAAACTTGGATAACTATGAAAGTAATCATCCAGAGGATAAAGTGTTTATTAACAACTGTCTACGCAAAATACTTCGGATCCGTTGGCCGGACACTATTAGCAACAACCTACTGTAGGAGAACAAACCAGATTCCAGCGGAGGAAGAAATCAGGAAGAAGCGCTGGAAGTGGATAGGACAAACATTGCGTCACAAGACAAGCCCTCGCTTGGAATTCTCAAGGTCAGAGGAGAAGAGGAAGACCAAAGAAAACATCACGCCGAGAAAGGGAGACAGACATGAGAAGAATGAACAACAATTGGATAGAACTAGAAAGGAATGCTCAGGACAGAGTGGGTTGGAGAATGCTAGTCGACGACCTATGCTCCACTGGCAGTGATAGGTGTAAGTAATAATGTTAAAGAGGGTAAGTAAAATGATAAATAGCCACTAATTCCGTGTTCTGACATTAGTTTTGATATGTCTACAATTTCGTAAGATGCCAAAATTATCTGCTGAATTCTTACTGGCACATTTATTCAGACGATGTATATGCTTGTGTTATGGTTTACTATTGTGTTCATGAACAGTAAACGGATTCTACTTTTTGAAATAATGGAATGCTGTATGACAAATGAACAAAGTGGTACTTCAGTGACACGGTATCAAGCTCAAATTAGATCGTATGATGATTGCCATTGAAATATACATCCCAGCTACCCTCGTATACATTTATCGACTTATTCTGCGTAAGTGAATAACGAACTTCAATAAGCCAGATACGATAATGGAACTTGAATACGTATATTTCATGCACTCATTCGTTTAAACAGACAATCTGGGAAACAAAATGAAAGAAGCAAAGAGAGAATGAAATGAGAAGAAAGGATGTGCAGTGGAGAAGCCAAGTGGGTCAACTCGATTTCACCAATTATTATTTGAACACATAAATATTGGTACAAATACACACCGAATACATATGCGCTACACAAGTCACTTGATTTGTGTATGGACTGTGATACTGCTCGGGTGCCTAAACCGAAGCAGGTGGTTTTCTTAAGGAACCACACCCAGAGCCTTCGACCGAAAGGTCTGATCCACAAGGCAGTGGAGCAACGTCAGGAGATGCAGTCCCATGGTAGCCGCTGACCGACGATCGGTTCATATGCCATTTGTTACCTCAGGACCCCGGAGTCCATACACACCATTGGTTTGGAATCAGGGTTCTTCAACTTTCCAAAGTAGACTCTCCGTGTCCATTAACCCGGTTTAAGCGCCGGACATTCGCTTTTCGTCCTCCCAATTTCGTGAACAACACCCCCGCCACGAGAAGGACTTTCCTGGCAGTGATTGTATGCACGTGGCCGTGTGAGAGCATTTCCAGAGGGAGAGTTGACTCTCACCACTCTCGGCCGTACCAGGGCATTTGGGGGCACCTAACGAGACTCGATATTTATATTCAGATAAAAGTAAATTATAGACATGTGATGAGTAGAGGAAGTCAGCATTAATAAGCAATTAATTGATAAGGTCAAAATGTGACGAGTAGAATGAATAAATTGATCTGTCCGGAAGCTACAACAACCCATGTAGGCTTGACATAGCACCAGCCACTACAGTACAATGCAGTCGAGTGATATCTATTAACGAGGCAGGATTAACTTAAACAGCGATATGGGTCAGCCGAAATGCCCCTTTAAACGTCTTAGCTGTCTGTTGAGGTCAGGAAGAGCTCAACCGGATGTGACAGAATCAGTGATCTTCACCTGCTTGAAATCAATGCTAGATTAAGTTTCCGTAGATGTACAATGATAAGAGACACCCACCGATATGGGATATTTAAGATATGTTTGACGAACACTACTTGTATGATGTCTATACACTCGAGTCCTGCAGATTTTAATGCAACTTAAAATAATGTTCATTAAGTGTTTGAACAAGGACTATAAGCAGGAATCGAAGTTTTAGGATTTAAGTCCTAAGAGAACAGTTTAGCCAAGCAATAGATTGTACGCTGCGATGGTTAAGCGAATTTTAGAACTTAAGCCTAGCCCTCTCCCAACATCTCAAAGTACTCTAGAAGTGGATAGTGATACTTACGGATTTTTCTCGTCAATATCAACTAGACAGGGTCAAGACACATTGGGACATTGTATGCATCTCAGAATCTGAATCCATTACTTGAGATTCGAGTTTTAATTGAAGATGCTTGGGACCAGATACGGTATAACATTCGGAAAGTAAAATCTTATGTGTAAGTCGTAGTGTTATTTCAGTAGTAATTTGTAGGCAATCCATCATCTGTAACAGCCATTAAATGAAAACTTATCCTTTTTGTGATGATGAAAATGTGCAGATATATACCAATGACCGACTATCAGAATACCGACTTAGCAGACATTGTGAAGCGTCCGTATAACAAAACAGGTGAATATTAAGTCTTGATTAAGTCCAAGAGATTTTCTTCAAGACTAGTGATATGAAGATTTTTGATGGAAGTGATAAATAAGAAGTACCGTCTACGTAATGAGTCTTACAACGGGCAAAGGGGGTACTTTTTCTCCCAAAATGAATCAACGATGCCGCCGTATTGTACATTTGAGCTAACTATTACGGAGTCATGACACTAGCAGGGGTGTTGTTTGCAAAAATGAGAGGACGAAAAGCGAATGTCCGGCGCTATAACCGGACCTCAAACCAATGGTGCACATGGGCTCCAGTATCCTGTGGGAACAAATGGCGTATGAACCAATCGTTGGTCACCGGCTACGATGGGACTGCATCTCCTCACGATGCTCCACTACCTTTTGGATCAGACCTTCAGGTCGAAGGCTCGGGGTGTGGCCCCCTAAGAAAACCACCTGCTTCGGTTTGGGCACCCGGGCAGTATCACAGCCCTCATACAAATCAATTGAGATTCGTGTGGCGCATATGTACTTGGTGCCTCCCTGTACCTATACTTATGTGTTAAAATAAATAAATAAAATAAGCAAGACATTAACATGACTGCTTTCTAACCGCCTTTAGGATGCAAACTATTTTCATTTCAGAAGTTATATTACAGTTTTATTCTGAAATCTAAAATTCTGTGCTTCCGAAGTAGCTACTTTTAAGATGGCCTGACCAGCATGTTAAGACCTCAGAGGGAAAACATCCAAATAAAGTTTGGTCGGGCCCTCAAGACGGGCAAGACAATAGAAACAGTCTGGACTCAATTGAAAATCTTATTTTCAGGAACATGTGAGTCACCAAGATGACAGTAACTTATTAAGTCTTTGATTGCTTAAATATCTGGACTCATTTACATAACGTTATTACACTTGGTAAGCAATTAACCTTACAACAACCCGTTACTTAAAACTTGCCTGATTAAGAGATGTATAACATCCCAAATTGGTTACAGAAATTTGATGATCTTTAACTATCATAAAAGATTTCCGACTTATTATGATGGAGCTAAACTCGCTTTAGGATATATGGAGTGAAACCTACACTCAGAAATACACAAACAACAGTAGGCTTGAAACTCAGTGACTCAACAACGTGGAACTTCGTACGTACATACATCAGTTCGAGTTGCCATACCATATGTTGTCTATGTAAACTGGTATTACATGAAACTTTAAATGATGTGGATGTATAATTAGTCACACTAACCGTGTAATTATCCAGCATCTTCAAAACTGTGGCATGTCTCCAACGTAGATCATCAGGAAGTTTGCGATTGATTAGCTTGACTTCAATACCTTCCGTCATCCAGTAATCTCTTCGGTTTCTCTTGTCTTTAAAAGCCTCTTCTTTTTCCATTAATTCATCCAAGGCACGTCGACGAACTCCAGAAACTGCTGTAGTACGTGCGTCTTGTTTCTTTTCAGAACTAGATTTGGATTTTTCTTCCCGTGCTTTTTTCTCGGCAATCAAGAGTGGATTCTGAAAGTCAAAGTGTGTAAAATGTTAAAACGGTAAAACTGCAACAACACCACGATCGCAAGTGTAGAAATTAAGTCTAAAAGTTGAAGTCATTATCAGAAGAAACAAGATACTTGCTTAAAACTCAGCTTCAACAAAACCTGATGAGAAGATAAAATACACTGAACTATGACTTGGACCAACTGAAGTGACAACCACTAGTATTAAAGAGAATAGGATTGCTTACTGCAGTTCTTTCCTTTTTCGGACCCAATGTCATAAGACTTTGAGTAGGTTTTTCTTCCGAAGAACTTGGAGAAGGAGCAAGCTCTGTGCTTATCACCTGGACGGGTGGCTTTTTTTGAGACAAAGAAATCTCCAATTTAATTGGTTCATCTTCATTGTTACGGATGAGAGGAGTGTATACGGGGCCTTCCGTCTGTTCAACTTTGTTGATATTGTGTTCTATTTGACGCTCTACAAATCAATAAAATTAACAATCACGAGTCTACCTAGAAACTGTTTGTTGATTTCATCTTCCGTCTTTTCCAAACGCTCACTCTGTTCTTGTTTTTTCAACTTTTCTGGGTCGCGATCGATGTATTCGATAAACCACCCTTTCTCAGTTTCATCTACCTTACAAATTCCCTGTTTTCCAAGCCACATACACAGTCCTGTAAGTGTATGCCATCTTGTCGCATTCATATGTATATGTTCTTTGTCTTTGATATATTCTTGATAAACGACATTAGAATGCACGCGTTTCCCACCAAACTGCCGACGTAGTATGTCGAGGTACCCTTTCAAAAAATCGGAAGAGAAACTACTGATGAACTTTCCACCGTCTTCGGCAAAAAGTTTCATTTGCCTGTGATGAGACTCAGACATCGTATGGCATTTATAACCATTCTTAAAATTAACGTCGGAATGTAGCCGTACTTACTTCATCTCTGCACTGTTTTTGACACATTTGGCAGTACCATCGCAGTTTCTGCAATCCCTTTGATTTGATTCTGTTTGATATAGCTTTTGGAGTTAGGAAACCTGGTTTTTCTTTTGTCATCTTAAAGCCCTCCAAGTAACAGACCTGGTTACACAAGGTTAACTCTTTCAAAGGACAATACAGATTGAATATCCAATATCATTTTCGTTGAACAGACTTCGGAGTACATTCAACAGATAAAATGATATGATTCAAAGAAATCTCCTCGAGCCCATGAAGCTGTCTTACCGCATCCATGGCACGTTTCTAATGCTTAGTTATTTATGCACACCAATATAAAACATATGATTCAAATGGTCAAAATGGTTGTGGACAGAATATAAGAAGCTTTCGCTTAACAGACTTCCGTGTCTAGTAGCAAAGAATCACCAATACCTTTAGGCAGGAACCTAGGTATATTACCGATAAAATGGAAAAAATAAGAAATTGGTAAATCATAGTAAGATACTATTTCAAGTTTTTTCCTAAATCATTCGTGGAAAAATGCAGCGAATTCCAGCATTTGACCACTCTCAAAGGGTAGACGTTGTGTCTACAGTACGTTCTGAAGGGTTGAGTTTCCAGTTTCTGAGAGTTTTCTCTAAGTTTTGTGTTAAGACTAAGCTTAAGTAGATGTTTAAGAGGATTTTCAGAAGTGTTAAGGATACTGTAAGCCATTAGAAGGTCACCTCTAAGACGCCTATACTCTAATGTGTAAAGGTCAGGCGATCGGAGGCGCTCTTCATAAGGTTTAAATTTCGGTCCCCGAACTGATTTCGTGGCTCACCGTTGGATACGCTCTAGAGTGTCCTTATCCTTTTGGAGTTAGAGAGAAAATACTGTGTTTCCGTACTCTAAATGGGGACGAATAAAACTGTTGAAGATTATGTGGAAAGGTCTAAGGTCGAAATGGTCAAAATGCGCTTCAATGTTACAGTGCAAGGTTTGCTCGAAAGGCGTTTCTGTCACAGTCGTCGTAAAGTGGAGTATCGTGTTTGCTTTTGTCGCATCCTCCATATAGTTTAAGCGGCTGTCTAGGCTGTCAATGATTACAATCTAACAGTTTTAAATGTTACATTTAGATTCCTAAAATACAAATTTCTTTAAGCGATACTATTATTTTCAAAAGTGATCGGTTGTATCAACAAGCCTTTCAACATATCAGCCTATCTATCTATCTTCTTATATATATATATATATATATATCATATGAACGAAAAGTTGTGTATATTGTCTGGAGAGAAGATTAAGTTCACTTTCTTATTGATTTAGGGAGTGATTGTTATGTAAAACTTAGTGATGAATTTCACTGGATTGTTCGACCATTTAATTTAAGAAAAGACATAACAAGATCCAGATACTTTTTGTGATTCGCCATCGCGCTTACAATCCGTATTTACAAAAAGAAGAACTCATTGACAACCTCTCAATACTGGCTCCACTGGAAGAAGCGATCACTCCATCATAACCCTCAGGTTTATAAACATAACTGTGTCAAGATATCCTACCGACAGCATGCTCTGGAATTTCAAACGGTTTGATGTGCCAGCTTCACAAGAAAATCTACAGCAAATGGACTGGAAAGTTCACTCTGAACATGGTGTAGATGCTCGTTAGAACTTCTTACTGCACACGCTCTTGTGTGCCACACAGCAGTCAGTCCCTCAAACGGTCCCCAAAAGCCACATGCAACCTACAATCATCAAAAACCACACTCTTCGTTTGTTAAGCCACAAAAAACATTGTTAAGCAGAATACAAACGAACCAACAACAACAGCGAGTACAGGCAACACAAACATATAAGGAACATATGCACGAAGGCTATAAGAGAAGACAAGCTTCAGTACCAGATAAAGCCTATGGATAAATTTATTTCCAATCCGAAAAGCTTATTCCGTTACGCAACCTCTCTTCGTCAAGCCGAAACTGGAGTATCTCAACTGCTAGGTCCTAACGGCCCGACCGATAATGACGGTGACGCCGCTAACCTTCTGGCTGAGCGACACTCCCGGACATTTCAACCGTCCCACATCAACTATACTGATGACAGCCTCATCTGCAACTGCACAGGAGTTTCCGTAGTGAACCTGAGTGCTAACTTGGTGTACCAGAAACTACAACACCTAAGAACAGACACTTCTCCTGGTCCAGATATGGTTCACTCTGCTATACTGATGGAAGCAGCTTCAATCCTAGCATCACCGCTTAGCGTGTTGTTCTCACACTCGCTAAGTTGAGGCAAACAACCGGAAATTCGGAGGCTAGCTCACATCACACCAATTTCCAAAGGAGGTCGACGCAGCGAAACTCCAAGTTACTGACCGGTGCCTCTTTTCTCTATACCTTCAAAAATTAAGGAGTCCCTGATGTGCGACGATATACATGACTATTTATTATACTTGAACTTCTTATCACCCCAAAAGCATGCTTTCAGCAAGGGTCATTCTTGCATAACCAACCATCTGACTGCGGTGGACAGATGGACAAACATCTTTGATCGCACGAGGAGTTCCGACGTCATGAAACTTGACTTTTCAAAAGATTTTTATAAAGTCCATCTGCGACATGTCGCAGACTACAGTTACAACTTAGGAAACTCCTCTCTAGAAGTATCTTAAGTTGAAAAAGATATAGAAGTGTTGGTACTCCGCGATTTGAAGTCTTACGACGACTGTGACAGAAACGCCTTTCGAGCAAACCTTGCACTGTAACATTGAAGCGCATTTTGACCATTTCGACCTTAGACCTTTCCACATAATCTTCAACAGTTTTATTCGTCCCCATTTAGAGTACGGAAACACAGTATTTTCTCTCTAACTCCAAAAGGATAAGGACACTGTAGAGCGTATCCAACGGTGAGCCACGAAATCAGTTCGAGGACCGAAATTTAAACCTTATGAAGAGCGCCTCCGATCGCCTGACCTTTACACATTAGAGTATAGGAGTCTTAGAGGTGACCTTCTAATGGCTTACAGTATCCTTAACACTTCTGAAAATCCTCTTAAACATCTACTTAAGCTTAGTCTTAACACAAAACTTAGAGAAAACTCTCAGAAACTGGAAACTCAACCCTTCAGAACGTACTGTAGACACAACGTCTACCCTTTGAGAGTGGTCAAATGCTGGAATTCGCTGCATTTTTCCACGAATGATTTAGGAAAAAACTTGAAATAGTATCTTACTATGATTTACCAATTTCTTATTTTTTCCATTTTATCGGTAATATACCTAGGTTCCTGCCTAAAGGTATTGGTGATTCTCTGCTACTAGACACGGAAGTCTGTTAAGCGAAAGCTTCTTATATTCCGTCCACAACCATTTTAACCATTTGATTATAACCTTATGAGCTTAGTAACCTACAGGTTGCTGTCCAGATATAACGCTGATCCCTTATTACTGTATATGGAAACCCATTAAACAAAAGCTTCTTCTATTTCATCGGGATTCACTTAAAGTTCTACTATCACTTAGATAGAACAAATAGTCCATTAATTTAAATAATCTTGAGGTTTGGACGCCTTGCTACGCGCATTTAATAAAACTGTTGTTACTTTAGTTACGTTGGTTTTGTTCTGAAGAAAGACAAGCTGTTCTAGTCTTAGATTAACGTAATAATGTACGTAATTTTTTTGAAGAATTTGATGATTTGACGCATCAAAACTTGTCAGATGTGTATAGACTTAATTCCAGATAATAACGTTTCTTATATCGCTCATATATTTAGAAAATTATTTAACACTTCTAGGTAACTTAGATTAAAATTCTTATTGCATATGTCAGTGTTTCATCCAGGCTTCCAAATAAGGAATGAAATGTTTCTGATTGCTCTAGAGGTTCAACAATTAATTACTCATACATATACGTTTTGGCTTGTATATGAACAGTCCAACGTTAATTGTTTAGTAATAATATGTTTTCTTTAAAAAATGTGTGGTATCATCATGGGTATAAGCAACATTGTTTGTAGTAATATATTGCTTTTATTTCACGCATTATAATGCGTGAAAATATATTTTAATGGAAACTAAAATGTTAATCTTAAGGTTTTCAAATTACAGTTTGGCTAACATTTCCAAATACCTTGGGTAACTTAACTTGCCTTTGTTATAAAATTCGTCTAACGTAACTATTAATTTGGCTTTTTACCCATAGGTATATATATTATTATATTATAATATTTCACACTTAAGGCTTACAACAGACACGGACGTACGACGTATGCGTAAAGCTGCACAAACTTCATACGTGTTTTTTAATGCAATTTTCTTTTAAAAAGATAGTCTCAGCTATTAATACCATAATAGTGTTTGAAATTTTTGAGGCTTTACAGTCAGCAATTAGCGGTAATATTATGCTAAGTGTGACTTCTGGGTGATTCTACTATTTTACATGATTGGCTTACTTCTTTTTACGTCGTGCTTCAAATTGTTCTGTGAGTCGGTTCCCGTTTTGTTTATTTGCTTTAGAATTGCACTTGCTGTTTTACCCTAAATTTTAGTATTTCAGGGATCCTATCTCATCTTTCCTCACATTTTTATTTTAAAACAACCTGTTTTTAGCGAGTACAGAATAGGATTTTACCAATTTTTATCATCTGTTTTGGATAAACGGATCGTTTTTGGTTTGCAAAATGGATTTGAGTAAGTCAACCAATATTATCGCTATGCTTTTAGCTACATGTTGTGGTAATTTTTTCATTTTGAATCTTATCTTAAAAAGTCGCTTCTTCAACCTCGTATTATAAAATTAGTTTACAGATGGTGCCAATAAAAATGACTGTCGAGACTTAAAAGTGGCTAGAAAATGAATCGTATGTCAATCATTCTTCATTATTCTCATTATTTTGATAATTCACTGTGACCGTATCTTGTTACAAAACAACTAAAGACTACCATGCGGCTGCACTGCGTTACTCTGTGATTGTGAGACAGTTCATGGAAGTAGGGAACTTACAAATATTCCACTTTTTTTAAATAAGTGCCTTTAAAGTATGATTCGGCCGCCAAGTGAGCAACCTAGGTTTTGATATATATGATTTTGTGTATGGCTGGCATGTTGGTTGATGGGCTTGCGGATATTTAACTTAAATTTAACTGCCGCCTACCTCAATAGCTGGTATCGGACCACTGTGAAAGAAACAGTATAAGGCCTGTCGACCAAGTCGTTTGTTGTTGGTTTATACCGTATAGAAAAAAGGTTCACATCTAAAGTCAGTGCATTAATCATTAACGTTGGATGAATGACAATACATATGATGGGGCCAGCTGTATTGGCTTAGTTGTATTCCGTCTATCGATCCCCAAATCTTAAAGCTAGTGTTATTCTGTACTTTTCATTTTTCGATTCCACTCCTTTTTTGTATGCTGTGCTCTGTGTTAAGTTTTAGTTTCCCATCTTTCATACTAGTTCTAGTATTTTCCGTCAAGTACAAGTAAACTTATTAAGTGTAGGGGTATTCTACGTTACTGATGATTTTGATGTTATTGAACCCATCTTCATAGCGATTCTTCTTTGGCAAACAAAATAAATGACTTTTTATGTTTTCGTCAAGGCAAAGGAAACGGACTATCTCATCAATTTAGTGCTCTTTAAACCCAATATTTATTCCAACCGTTTCTGAGTGTTGTTCAAATTTATCCCACAGAAATTGTTTGATTGACACTAAGCGTGTTACTGCCTCAAATGACCAGCCAAAACCACCAAACTCAGTTATTAAATTTGTCTCTATTATCAGGGATTATTATTATTATCGATCTTCACGGTTTTTATGTATGGTTTGGAGAACTTTTTATCATAGGTTATATGGACGTTGGTGTAGACACAGTTTGTTGGATTAAATAAGCGAGTATCAATTGGTTGTAAGGGCCTCTCTGAAATTTAATACCTGCATGATGAACTCCTGAAGTCACAGGCAAGTGTATTTGAAAACCGAAACCCCACGAAAAATAAAGAGTGAATGCATCTATGGTACTGTGGCCGATTCTGAACCACATCACCAAGCGTCTTTTACCACTAATATTGGCTATTTTTTAAAACTTTAACCTGGCAGTCTAAAAGTGTCGATTCGGATTTGACCATTAGTCAGTGATTTCATGGATTGGTATCACTTCTTGTTTTGCCCGTTTCCTGCTTTCTTCCAACCTACTATTGTCCCAACTACCATTGCGTTTCAAGGTTGGCTTTATTTTTGCATGCGTATCACTTGTTTTGGCCGCCGTAGTTAGTGAATATTCAAAAACTTATCAAATGGATTTCATCTTTGTCCCCAAATGCCCAGGTACGGCCGAGAGTGGGGAGAGTCAACTCTCCCTCTGGAAATGCTCTCACACGGCCACGTGCATACAATCACTGCCAGGAAAGTCCTTCTCGTGGCGGGGGTGTTGTTCACGAAATTGGGAGGACGAAAAGCGAATGTCCGGCGCTTAAACCGGGTTAATGGACACGGAGAGTCTACTTTGGAAAGTTGAAGAACCCTGATTCCAAATCAATGGTGTGTATGGACTCCGGGATCCTGAGGTAACAAATGGCATATGAACCGATCGTCGGTCAGCGGCTACCATGGGACTGCATCTCCTGACGTTGCTCCACTGCCTTGTGGATCAGACCTTTCAGTCGAAGGCTCCGGGTGTGGTTCCTTAAGAAAACCACCTGCTTCGGTTTAGGCACCCGAGCAGTATCACAGTCCATACACAAATCAAGTGACTTGTGTAGCGCATATGTATTCGGTGTGTATTTGTACCAATATTTATGTATTCAAATAAATAAATAAATACATCTTCGACTAGTATCTTGTGCCCAACCCTAGCATTGTTCACTTTGTTGTTCCATCATACACCAGTAATACTACGAAAACACTTATGCTCAAGAAATTGCAACGTACATATGCTTTTTGCCTGTGAAGGCCACATTTAGAGACATAAGTTAAAACAGAGCTAAATGCTGAACAGCATGCTCATCCCTTGGTTGGTAGACAGACGTTTCGCTTACACCAAAGGTGACGCATTTCGGTAAAAGCCTAGGAAGGTTTCCAAAAATGTCCCTGTATATCGTCAAACACCAGTCCGTCAGAGCTTGTGAGACTTCCAAGATTAGTGAAGTGATAAACACTCTCAACTTCTTCACTTCCCATCGTCAGTTTATATGTTGATGCAGACCAGTCTAGAAACAATATTTTGCATTCATTGAGTAAGAAATGCTCTCCAGTCCATCGTTACTCAAGGTGTTCAAATGATCTAAATTATGTCAATCTTCATTAAACAGAACTAAGTCAACTGGATATTTTACATCAATGAGTAGGTTTCCTGGGCGGGGATCATCGCCTGAAAAGTTACATAAAAAATTGCTATTTCTAGGAAGAAATATTAAATTAAGGGATTTACAAGGAAGTCAGAAACATTCTTGTATTAATCCATATCAGTATCCGACTGCAGTATGATATGCTAGTTTATCGCCAGCAGCAAAAAATAGCTGACACATCACTAACAACTTCTGGCAGTTAGTTCTGACGATAAGTAATGTGTAACTTGTGTAGATCTTAAGTAAACAACTACTAGGCCAGCGTAAATATTTGTTTAGGTAAGTTGTTAGTTAGTAAGTCATTTTATTCACAGGTATGATCATTTGAGCCATTATTTTAAATTTTCTTGACGAAAGACTATCTTAATTAATAGTTTTGTTTATTCTCTTGTATAACTTCTTGTTCTTATGTTTGAGCTTATTGAGGTGTAATCATTAGCAAACTTCGCGAAATTGAGAGTCATATTCAACTAAAACTACTCTTAGTTTGGTTAAATTTGCACCTAGTTTCATTTGTATTTTTTGTTCTTAGATGCATACAAAGGATGGTCTTCTGAATTTCATTCTACATACAATCAACTTCTCGAATATGAAAGTTTTTTGCGTTTGTTTCCTGTAGAGGTTGCTAACTCTATAGCCACAAGTACTGTAATGAGTGTGAAGGTAGGATGATGTTTCATTTAATAGTACAGTGTTTAAGTTAAAGAAAACATAATTATTTGTGGTGGATAATGTATTTATTCCGATTAGACAAGCAAATAAGTTTTCAGTTGCAAAAGTAAAATTAAATTATTCGTTACTGAAAAATTCCCGTCATATTAAAACACAGTTATGAATAAAATACAGATTACTGCAGTCATACGTCAGCCTACTGTGGTAAAGAACAAACCAACTTCCAGCTGAGGAGGAAATTAGGAAAAGATATTAGAAGTGGATAGGACACACATTGAGGAAATTATCAAACTGCATTACGAGGTAATCGCTAACTTGGAACCCTGAAGAAAAACGAAAAAGTGGAAGGCCGAAAACCACCCTGCGTCGAGAATTGGAAGCAGACATGAAAAGTATGAATAGCAACTAGAAACAATTGAAAAGGACTATCCAGGAGAGTGCTGGATGGAGAATGCTGGTGAGCGGCCTATGCTTCTCCATAAGGGGTAACAGGCGTAAGTAAGTAAGCAGCCGTACGTGATTATATCAGTTGAATAATCATCGGAAGCCTGAAAACGAGATTTCGTATGGTCATTCGTTTGTGACCATCACTGAATCGATCTGTGACAGAACTAGATTAAATATAAAGGACTTAATTAACTGGTTGTTTAGCATTAACAATCGACTGTATTGATCAAAATAGGTGGCATTACAGTTAAGAATTGACCGATTTAGTTTTGTCATAGTTTCGTTGGCGTATGATTAATAAATAAAACCCATATTTTATGATCAGTCATGTTTCAAATTACTTCTGATTGTTCTATAATTGTATTCAATAATTTCTATATATCAGGACAACGCTTTACAGTAAAGAAAGTCCTATTCAGTTGGCTGCTTTATTGTCTCTTGATATCGATTCATTCAGAAGTTTCCATTTATGGTTACATCTCGTAAGCCTTCATATGTTATCATTACTTATCGTCTATTGATCAGCCTTCTGTCCATTCTCACGATAACAATTGTGTTCGTAACCAGCCACCCTAAAACACTTTCATAATAAGAAACTCCATCTGAAGTACGGGTATCAGGCAACTTGATTAGTATAGCTGAGCTGTTCTATCAGGGTCTTCATTACTTCGACATAACATCGTACTTATTTTACAATTAGTTATTGCTCTTTTACTTTTATGATGTTGATTTTTTAAAGGGCACTCGAAAATCCAACTGGATGATAATTGGACTGTTATTCTTATCACCAATTATTTGCCTCCATAATAATAATTTATTTTTTCTATTTCGAGCAACCTTTCGTAGAACTATATTGTCGGTTGTTATTTCACAGACTTCATTTCCTCTTGATTATTCAAAAACATTCACCTACATGTTTCGTGAATACACACCTAATGTGAATATTTAGATTTTGTTGAGCAATCACTTACTCAGCTTAAATTCACAGATTTTGTTCCTAGACTAGTGATACTAAATAGTTGCTTATACTAAATTAGGTTAAGGGAGAGTGAAACTTTGGTGCCATGACCGTTAAACTAATATTTCATCCAGGTTGATGAACTTTTGTATTGAGGTCCTCTATTTGGACTATACTTTCATGTTACTTTTATGCTTTAATACAAATTATATGCACTTAATAAGAAACTAGTAAAATAAATATTACTATTCCAAATTATCTGTGATAGCAGTTATACATTTAGCAACTAGTCACATGAACTTGTTGTGGAGATTACCGTTTTGATGCGTGAAATATTCCCGACAAAATTTTTATAAAGGGAAACGAAGGCAGATGACCAAACAAATGGTGATTTTGAAATGTTCCGAACTGTGTTCCCTGAAAATATCACCACTAAGTTTCATACTCCAAGTCTTTATTTCTCACATTTTGCTAAATATTTTCGTATATAGACCTATGGTTGATTGATAACCGAGATGTCTTATGGGTAAGTTGTAGACTTAATAGCTCAGTGGTAACGTCTCAGGCTTTGAAGCTGGGAGACGCTTGTTCAAACTCCATGGAGGGCATCGTTCCCTTCAATATTATAGTTACATCTTGGTCATGAATGCTAACTGTCATGAAATCTAGGCCCAGAGTTTCTTGCTGACTACTTCCAACTACCTTACGTTGTGTATGTATTATTAGATAAACTCTTGCTAGATTGTAATGCAAATTACTTACACGATGACCAATTCGAAACTAGTGAAACTGTTTTCTATCTTTTTTCTGTTTGTACGGCAACTCATTCTAATCAAATTTTAGTGTGATTGTTCATGTACTCTTCTGTCATCGTCTGGTGATGGAGTACCTGCCAATACCGATGCAACACATGATGGTTCGGTTTCTCATCGAAGTGAATCTATATCTCTTCCTCAAAATGTTTCTTCAGCACCAAATCCGCGTTCATCTTTTTCTGGTCAGACTTCCGTAGTACGTTTTGATTCTCCAGATGAACTGCGTTGGGTTATGCATGTACGTTCAAAATATAATTTCCACATATTTTTTCTCTTATAACAGTATGATTCTTGTGTAACTTTCACACAATCAGTCATTAGTGTATTAAAATTAGATCCAGTATCTCTTAGGTTGAGCCTCAAATCGGGATATTTGAACTGTAGGGGTAAGTTTTAGGATGTCTAAGGTACACAGAATGTATCAGTCTAGAGTTTATTTTTTGAGTTTCTGATTTAGGGTGATCAGTGCTTTGCGAATCTGTAGATAGGTACCTATCCGTTTATAAATTTGCTGACCATACATATTATGTACTGGTAAGCAATACTATTCGGTTGCTTTGATCAAAATAATTTGATTTCTAGTCAACTACATAAGTCTTTTCATTACAGCTGCACAAATGTTTCATTTATACCTTCTTTTTCTTTGTACTTTTGTTGAAGTTCCAAAAGTAAGCAATAGCGATTTCCAGGTGTATGTATAATTATATGATTATCAATCACTAGTTTATATTACATTCCCAGTTTATAGTTGTTTTTTCCAGTTTCAAAGTGAGCACGTTGATCAATATTTAATTCCTGCTATTACCAATATTTATTGCAGCAATATTATCGATTCGAGTTAGTAAAACAGAATCTGTCCCACAAGGAAAATTATATTGTGATCCGTACTCCTTTTCTTATCTATGGCTATTTTAATAGGGTTTGTTATTCCGTTTAAATACCTAATCTATAGATTAGAATTTCTAACTTGAATCCTTGGAAGTTAAATCTATAAATCATGTAGTCACAAGTCAGTCAGTCAGCTGCAACGTAGGACCAGGCACGTATATGCATCGGTCCAAGTTGCCATACCGCATTAGCACAACAAGATGAACACCGGATTCATAGAAGTAGTTAATTCAGTGGTGGTAATATATAGAAGAAAGTGTGTATAAGGAGATAGTACAGGAAGATAGAATTAGTTCCTAGAAAGAAAGATTTGAAGTGATTTTAATCTCTTAGTTTAAAGGAAGACAGAGAGTGAATACACCGACGCCATTGTGATCGATTCTGAGCAATGTCACCAATAGTCTCAAACCATTGGTTACGATAGTCACGCGGACCCCAACCAGGTAGTCCGCATCTACCAACATGTCTCAGACCAGAAGTTAGTGACTTCAAGCACTGATGCCACGTTTTGGTTTGGCCGCCCCTAACTTTCTTCCAGTCATCCCTAACACCGGTTACCATTGCGCGTCGTGGTAATCAGTGTTCAGGCATACGCAGCACGTGGCCCAACCATCTCAGTCGATGAAGGTTCATAACCTCATCAACTGATTTATCATCATTTCCTAATACCCTGCATCTAACCTCACTATTACTTACCCGATGATCCCAGCAGATACCCGCAATATTTCTAAGGCACCGGTGGTCAAGTACTAGTAACTTACGAATATCTTCTACTCTTAAAGGCCAAGTTTCGCAGCCGTATAGTAGAGCGGAACGAACTGCCGCGCAGTATACTCGTCGCTTAATTGATAGACGGATATCTCGCCTTCGACATAGATGACGTAAGTTGGCAAAGGCCAAACGACCTTTTCGAATCCGTGCTGAGATTTCGTCAGACACCAACCCATTAGGGCTGATCAGACTTCCAAGATAAGTGAAGTTATCGACGCGTTCGACTACGTCATCCCCTATCCTTAGTTCAGGTGTTGACGCAGACCAGTCCCGAAGCAACAACTTGCATTTGGAGGGAGAGAAGCGCATCCCAAACATCCTGGCATCGTTGCTCAATGCTACCAAAAGACTCTGCATTTCATCAGCGTCTTCACCAAACAGGACTATGTCATCTGCGTATTCTAAGTCAATAAGTGGACCTCCTGGTAGGAGATCAATACCTGAGAATTCAGTCGATGAGAGCGTTATTTCCATCAGTAGATCTATGATGAAGTTAAACAAAAATGGAGAAAGTGGACAGCCTTGGCGGACGCCACTTGACGTTACGAAAGCAGATGACAGTTCACCATAAGCTCTCACTCGACTAGTAGTGTTCGAGTAAAGAGCTTTCACAAGGTTTATGTACTTCTGAGGTACGCCTTTCAATGACAGACACCGTCACAGAACTTCTCGGTCAACAGAGTCAAACGCTGCTTTTAAATCAAGGAAGACCACTATTGTCGGACGCCGATAAGTATGCCTGTGTTCTAGAACCTGACGAATGGTGAATATGTGGTCGATGCAGCCACGACCAGGTCTGAAGCCAGCCAGATTTTCACGTGTTTGCAGCTCACGAGTCTTAGTTAGGCGTCCGAAAATTATCGAAGCTAGTATTTTAGATATTATATTAGTTAAACTAATCCCTCTGTGGTTGTCACAGGATGATTTTGACCCTTTCTTAAATATTGGGACGATAAGTGATTGTGACCAGTTAGATGGGATAACGTCTAACTCCCAGATTTTAGCTAAAATATTAGTCAACCTAATCGCTAAAACTAGACCACCATCCTTAAAGACCTCTGGGGCTAATCCGTCTGGACCAGCTGCCCTTCCTCGTTTCAGATTAGCTATAGCCTTTTGAACTTCAGCTAGATTTGGGGGACCTACTTCAATGTTCCATTCATACTGTCTGGGAATAGAGGGTAGTTGTAGAGTATCTGAAGGCCAACTGAACTGCTCCTTAAAATGTTCCGCCCATCGTTCTGAACGTCTGGACTGGGAGCAGATGAGTGTCGTCTTCTTCCGAAATAGTCTGACTTACACTTGATTTATTAATTCCAGTTTCTTTTATTAGTCTGTAGAGTTGTCTTGTGTTCCCTATAGCCGCCGCCTTTTCCATCTCTTTTGCTTTCGTTGCCCACCACTGCTCACGATCGTTCCTTAGACTTTTGCTTAACCTAGATCTGATTTCTTTACGCTCTTCATCGTGTTCATAACCTGATGGGATGAGTTTACGAGAATCTATCAGTGCAATAGACCGTGAAGAAACCCATTGGTTCTTTGTAACCCTGTGGTTTAAATCACTAGTAGATGTCACTGCTGTTTCCACAGCTGCTTGTATGTCTTTCCAATCAACACCTGGGTCAGCCTCGTTTTCAGAACTACCTAAGTGTGACCTCAGTTGTTCCTGGAACCAACTTTTGGTTTTCTCATTACTCAATTCGGTTCCAATGAGTCTTTTTTGCGTCCAGTGAGGCGCAAGCAGATGCGTGCTCGTACTAGGGCATGATCAGAGTCCAAGCAGGTACCCCAGAATGAGCGACAATCTTCTATTGACCCTCTCCAACGATGACTGATGGCAATATGGTCTATTTGAGTCCATCGTTGGTTTGGTGCAGGGGGTCGCCATGTTAGACGATGTCTCTCCTTATGCTTAAAATTTGTGTTTGCTAAAAATAAACGATTGTTTGAGCACAGTTGCAGCAGACGATCACCATTATCTGTTCTCTGTGCCGGAATACTAAAATACCCACCTAAATGTCTTTCTGTTTCGTTTAAGCTACCTACCTGGGCATTAAAGTCGCCTGCTACGAGTACTATGTCTGAACGTTTAGCTTTCTGAAGAAGTTCAGAGAGTTTTCTGTAAAATTCATCTTTGACTTCATCCGAACTGCAGTCAGTGGGAGCGTAGGCAGAAACGACGAAAAGGCAACGACGTGTGTCCCTATCCTTTCGAGTTCTTACGGAGCCGTTTAGCCGAACAGCGCATAGACGACTATTAACGGGGATCCACTCTAATAGCGCTTGTTCCGCCCTCATGCTTAGTGCTATGCCTACACCTGCAAGTCCACGAGAACTAGCCATCGGGTCGCCAGATACACGGAGGGTGTATCTCGTCGGCACTCCGTTTCGCCGAGGTGAGGTCAAGTGAATGACCACACTAGGATCCTGTATGCGTGTTTCGGAGACACAGCATACATCAATGGTACGAGATTCTAAGGTTTTAGCCAAGGAAGCCTGCTTACCGATTTGGCATAGTGTGCGTACGTTGAAGGCTCCAATGTGTAGTTTGGAGCGGGGTTTCAGTAGACCTGGGACAGTGTTTTGCGCACTAGAATCGTTGGCTGTGGTGACACTTGAGGAGGAAGCTAAAAGAGGGAGTTTAGATTTGAAAGTCGATGTAAGAGGAATAATAGGAATTGAAGAGGTAGGTTGATTATGAATACAGTGGTCTTGAGTGCTGTCAGAGGTATGAGGGCGGTTATCACTTCCCGGTTGCCCACACCGTGGAAGGGTTCTGCTGGAGGTACCTGAAAAGGAAATTGGATTAGAGGTGGTCATAGTGACCTGAGAGCGTGACCGCAGTGCCCAAGGGACAGCTGCTTGAGGTCGGTCACACACGACCTTTTTATGAGTAATTTTTGTGTTAGCTCCGTACTTGTTGAGACCCTACCGCCGGAGACGGATATCCGTGGGATAAGGCGAGGTGTGCGTTTTTAGGGTCGACCTTTTCTAACCCCTCCCCTCCTTTTGGGAAGGCAGCATCGCTGTTATGCTGGTTGTCTGAAGGAAACACCTTACTGCTGTCACACCTCTGTACAGTCAGCAGTACGACTTCGCCTTCGGACCTAGGTTTTGTTGCTTTTAGTCTTACCGCTCTTCAACCGACCTGTCTGGCATGGTAGGACCTTGAGGAACGGTTGTTCTAGCCAGTATAGCTCAGTTGCTTCATCACGATGGGCAAGCCCGACCACCACGTCAAGGTAGCAACAACGGTAGATTAAGAATGTATGTATATGTCACATAGTTGTGTTTGCATTTCGTGTATGCAGATGGTACTGCAGGCAGTTCTATGTATGCACATCTGTAAAAATTCACACTTAATCTTTCTCGTTATCGTTGCTACTTTTTTGCTATTCATCTTGTTAGTTCCATCTCGTTAATATATAATGGTATGACAACATAGGCAACTCAGATTCTTACCATGCTCTATGTTAATTCTGACTAACCAAATATAATGATTCATAAATTCATACAACTGTTTCTCTCAATTTTTCCTGTTTATACTAAGTTTTTGTTGTAACTAAGGTATTGAATGACAATAGAACAATTTGAACTTGAACTTATAGCGAGTAAATTTTTCCTAAAAGCAATCAAATCTTGCGAAGTCTTTAGTGTCATAGGAATTTGAGTTTTTTGTCTTATTAAAATTTGGGACACATAATAGGGCTATATATTTGCTACACAATTCTGTTATGAAACATACGTGCCACTTGATACTAATTACTTAAAAGCAAATGACCATTTGACTTTTTTTGTTAACCAGAACAGATTTTCACACCTTTAACCTTTATTTCTTTTTTCTACGGTTATTACAAAAAGCAAAGTGATAAAGTTGTTTACTCTCATGAACTTTTGTTCCTTTGTAGATAAGTTTTACTTTCGTGATTCGTTCTTAACATCTATCATGCAAAAATGGATTTCATACTTAACTAGTTAGGGTCTCTTAGCATCTGTATGATGTTTTAGGCATTTAACCGTACAGGAATGTTTTATGTTCCATTTTTGAGATGACCCATGATGTGACATTCAAGAAAAACACTTGATTTTTGCCTTAGGATATCATATAGGTGAATTTTAAAACGTCTAAACTTTCCGAATCCTATGTTGTTTCTTCTTCCTCTATGTTAGAAACACAAATTTTCGGTCTGCGCTTAGAGACAATCAGTTTCATAGGGTTTGTGTGGCTAAGTTGTCTGTATAGCACTTAGCCTGAAGCCATGGATGAAGTATTCGGACCATGATTTATGGTTTGTAATATTTTGTGAAATATATGAACAGTGATATGTTTGAGTAAATCGGTCATCTTATAAGATGACAAAATGCGCCAATGTCATTATTTACTAACATGGTCGTAAACAGTCATATGTGCTTCATTTTCAGTCATACAAATCTTATCTTACGCACGTTGATTTTAGGCAGTCTCATTTTTGTTACATAGGCTATCACTTATGGACTGACTATGTCATCTGAAAATTGGGACGTCATCAAACACAGTGCACATATTTACTGCTATTGGATCAGATGTCTTAATTCTTCAATGCGCTCTACACAATCAGGGAATTCGAACTCACCAATTCCGTTGATTCTACAAAAGGAGCCACAACGTTTCTTAAAATCCCTTTTGTTCTCCCTTACTTATTATTTCCTTCCACGTGATCCAGAACCATTAAGTGATCAGCCTAAGTTAATGTTTTCAACCCTCGGTCGAAGTTTAGCACCTCCACAATATTCAACTAGTGCCGATTCATCAGAAGCCCCATCTTTTTCTACAGGTTAGAGTTTTAGTCCTTCATTTATTCTTGTCATAAATGTTGTTTTATGTTATTCTCTTCAGCTTCATAAAACAGTTGGCTTGTTTGGAGCCATATTAATGTCATCTGAGTCAATAATGTGGTGACTCTCGGCTTTTAGTAGATAATAGCCCACCATAAGTGGTTTAGCGGCTTTGGTTCTTGTCAGTTACCTCCTGGTAATTTTCACATACATGAGAACATGCAGGTTAAAGGTATTCCACCATCATGGAATTTGCGGTACTATCGTGACCCCCCTCACATGACCGGGAAGGTTCAGTGTTTAGCTGTTTTGTAGTTGTGATACCTCTTTTTGTGTTTATGGATTAACTGTTGTCTCAGTTTTCATCAGATCTGTTCATTTTGTTGCATCTGTGCTGCAATATTCTCAGTCAGTCAGTCAGTCAGTTACAACGTAGGTCCAAGCACATATAAGCATCGGTCCAAGTTGCCATACCGCATTAGCACAACAAGATGAACACCGGATTCATAGAAGTGGTTGATTCAGTGGTGGTAATACATAAAAAATTGCATATAACGAGATAGTACAGGAATAAAGAATTAGTTCGTAGAAAGAAAGATATGAAGCGATTTTAATCTCTTAGTTTAGAGGAAGACAGAGAGTGAATACACCGACGCCATTGTGATAGATTCTGAGCCATGTCACCAAGAGTCTCAAACCATTGGTTACGATAGTCACGCGGACCCCAACCAAGTAGTCTGCATCTACCAACATGTCTCAGACCAGAAGTTAGTGACTTCAAGCACTGATGCCACGTTTTGGTTTGGTCGCCCCTAACTTTCTTCCAATCATCCCTAACACCGGTTAGCATTGCGCGTTGCAATATTCTAACATGGAATCAAGCCGTATCTTGTGGACAATAAAAACTTCCATCTTGTAAACAAGATTGTCGTGTAATAGTGGTAAGGACGGTTATGATATTTATGTATTTAGCTTAAGTTAGTGAGAGATGACAAAGCTAAAGAAAACGTTTGAGTGGAACCCAACTTAACAGTGCTGCCCAACTGTTTCAGAATCACTACTCCCATTAATTTACTGTACAGAAATAATGAATCCCTAATAGATAATAATGACAGTGCTTAGAGTTTTGACAGTCTCAAAATACCTAACGATATCAGTTCAGGTGACCAAAGTAGTTTTGATGTGGTTACATAAGACGGTAATTTTTATTGTATTCGTAATTTTAGTACGTTAGTGCCATTTATAGTCCAAGGAGATTATATTGTAACATTTCAGATTAGCCTATTGAAGCTACCCTAGTTTGCATCAGTTTTACTGATTTCCTGGTGTCATTATTATTCCAATTTTACACAAAGAATGGATTATGCAATGTAAATATACAATTTTTTTAGCTGCCACTCTAATGTTACCTCTATTTCTAGTTTTGGTTTTTAATTTTTGTTTGTTCGTTCTGCTTTTTAAAATTAATTTTTTTTAGTTCTATTTTTTGTGGTTTTTTTTAGGGATCGAGTCAACACACTTATCAACGTTGCTAAATAAGCAGTTAGATATTATAAAACTGGTGGCTGTTGCAGTCGAAGAATTGTGCTCATTACCGAATCAGTTAACATCTGACTCCTGGGATTGTATATTACGGTTTTGTCTGATCATATGTCATGCTATTCTGTCACCACCTTTACATTTACCATCAGGATTACTTCAGTCATCTACTGGGGCTTCTCAGATGACCAGTACTTTTATTTCGGGATCAGGATCTGTTGGTGGACCTAATTCTATGGCTCTTTTGTCAAATCACTCCAGTTCTTCAGATGTTAGGGGCACCAAGGATTCAGCTGCCTTATTTGAAGTTATATCAGACTGCGTTTCCAACTTATTATTCAGTACTTGGTTAAAAGCTTGTACTCATTGTTTTCCTAAACCACAACTCTGGGTTGCATTTAGAGAATGCGCAAGAGTGTGGCGACATCATAATGCGTTTATTAAACAGTGGTCTCGTGTTTCCGTGGCACTATCTGCTACTTTACTTGGTATACTAAATAAACCGAATAACCTAAACGGTAATTTTTGCGTAGTCTCATATATATATATATATATATATATATATATATATATATATATATATATATGGGTGGGTGGTAAAAATGACTTTGTATCACTATAATTTTTTCGATAATCAATGCTCCCAGAACATCTTTTACAAGTTAAATGTTGTTGTATTGATATTTGTGATAGCGAAACAGAATTTGGGAGTTGAACGCACTTCCAGATATTGCAGATTATACCGCAAAGTTACGTGGCAATTGTAGCTTGTCAGTGTCTTAGTTTGATTAAATTGGCGGGTGACCTAGTGACCTATGTTATGAATCAAGAAAATAAAAAAACTAGATATAGTTGCCAACATATAGTCGATAGTATGTGACGAAACCATGTGAAAATAGTAACGTATGATACGTCTTGTGATCACTAATGACTATTTTTCATTCATCATCAGCCAAACAATTGGATTCTCACAGATCAAATCACACACATAATACTGACATATTTGTCCAGTACTTTCTTCAAAAGCAGATTCGAATGAGTTTATGTTCTAGAATCTCAATAGATACAAAAATATAATTGATTCATTCAATACAATCTATTTCTCAACGAAGTTGATAACGAGAAGTGTTTTTATTAATCATGGAGGATCATTATAAGACCCGCATTGCAAAAGTGTTTCAATGATATTGCTTTATTTTATCACTCAAGGCATCTCAAAACGTATGTAAACAATTTTTCAAAAACTATTTCCCCAAAAATTGCTTGTTCCTTTGAGCAATATTCCTTAAGACCAAGTTGACTAGATTATGGTTTAGGCTCAATTTTCCCTTACCAACCCATAGAAAGATCAGAATGTCAAAACTTTTTAAAAATATAATTAGTCTGTTATCAGAATACTTTGTACCTACTAACAGTACATCCAGGTTCTCGGATATCTTCTAACAACATAGCACAATGATAGTCTTTCTTTTTTATGAATCTATTCTGTTGAAGTAATCTCACCCAATTGAGTGTTACAGTTGGACATGTGAATTGACTCAATGCAGTATATAATTCTGAATGCTACATAAAAATAAACACTATATGCTTATGACTTTGTCTGTGCAGTAGGTTGTGATTGATTTGTGTGAAATCAATCAATGGTGAAAATTTCGCCTCACTAGTTGCGACTTTTTTTCTCTATTATTTAATTTCTCAGTTATTTCTAAAGTAATTAAAATAACCCATTGTATCGTTAATTAGTAAAAACAGAATTCAGCGAAGAAAATTTTCTTTTCGACGAAGTTATTTACTTAATCTATACATTCGTATTTATAGTTCTCTGGTAAATATAGGTCTATAGAAAGGTACAAAGGATTGCATCATAAAGTGATTCGAGACTTCAAATATGGAATGGGGTTACCTAATAATCAGAGTTAGATAAGAATAGAAGGATGTAAATAATTAACGGGTCAAAATTACGAAAGATAATTGTCCGCTTGACAGATATGAAGCAAAACGAAGAACATAAAGGTTATAATAATATGTAGATAATAACCATGAAAAACTGTTAATGAATAATAATAACTGATTATGGTTAAAAATCAGGAAACACGGATTAAAAATATACCAAAACATACTACAGAAGGAAATTAGGTTCAAGGAAGGATGAGAGGTTGGACGTATCGTTTTTACACTCAGTGTTCAGGCCTTAACCGCGCATAAGTTTTTGATTCGACCTCCCTTCGATCCAGTTCTTTTGATTGTGTTGACTATTTTAAAGGAAGACTCCTTCGGAGCGACGTGTCCAAAGTTGATTAGATGCTCCTGTATTGAGCTGGTAACTTTTGCATTATCTTTTTAAAAGCCACTCCGGATAATGTTCTGAGCTGCGTTTGGAAAGTGATCGCTTTGTGCGGCCAATGTAACCTACCGCACAGGAACAAGTAAATTTATCGATATGGCCCAAAGAGAAAGTTTATCCTCAACATATTCCTGAATGGTAAGCTGGCTTGAGAAGATAATGCAGAGCTTAGTTGAATAGGTTTTATTCAGGGGTTTTGAAATCCGTTTATTCAAGATTTCATCAGCCGTACCTCCTTTAAATTCGATATTTATAAAAAGTTTTCTTTTGAACTGTTGGTGCTTTCTCAGGACGTTGTCTAACTGTTAAGTTCCTATCGATTAATCTAAGTGGATTAACACTATAGTTTTCCGACGGTGTTATTTAAGACTGCCATTGATTAGTCTGTGTTACTATATTTTCATCCTTACTAGATTACCTCTATATTGCTATTAAGTCACATACTTTTCAGTATATTAGATATGTAACTTGCAGTAGAATTCAGCACGCGTTTTTCGTCCGGCTTGGGATCCTTTCACAGGATGTACCTGAGCTAAGTATTGATGTTCACATGAAGACTTGAACGCATCACCTTTTGTTTCAAACACCATCGCATTATCCACACTGTTGACCTTCAAGTTAACCAATACAATCATTTCATTCTAATTTAGCTTATGCTTCTTTCATTCAATTAATACCATCTGATCTACCTGATGAAAATGTGAAAGAATCTTGGATTCGTATGCTATATTTGATCGACAATCCAGTAGATCTTTGTCATGAACATTTAATATGTAATACACCGATTTTTGAAGAATATAAGTAAGTTATAAACTATATTTTTTCTGTTTCGCCCTGATATTTTTACTTGTTAAGATATATCCTGATGATATGAAAAAACTTCTTGTGGATTTTTTTATTCCCTATGGTTTCCATGACGGTTGTAATCTTTATCATTGTCCTGACGGATTATCGTTTTACATGTTCAGTGAGGTTAATGGTGTTGTTAAGCAGTTGACACAAACCAAAGTTGTTTGTAAAACTTTTAGAAACTTTTTGCCGTTTGTAAGAATAAAATTTCCGTTAGTTAAAGTCCTATCCTAATAATACTTTCACTATACCACGGCCAGCTTTGTGTTATTGTACAGCTGTGCGGCGTGACTCACAAGGTTGGAAGATATACTGAGAAACAGGCATTTGTTCGTAAATGCCTCTGGATCATTATTTATATGTTACAAAATCGTCAACTGGGTAATGTTGAGGCTAAATTCAATATTTTAAACAAATTGAAGATAAATCGTTTGATGCGGATGTGTAATTCCATCGATCGAATTAACTGGATTGTGTGAGTCATCTTGTAGTTCAGCATATATTACTGACCAAACCAAGCTTAGACCGAAAAAGCTTAAATTGATTGACTAAAGTAAAACATGACATCAATCCACGAAGCCATTGATTGTTAGTCTGAATCGTTCAAAGAGTTGTAGGCTTACTGAATTAGACCCTCACACAAATCGAATGATTTATGTGGCGCATATCTATTTCGTGCCCCCTTGTATCAATGTTTATGTGTTTAAATAAATAAATCAAATAAAGAATGAGGCTTTCATCTTGATGACAATTGTTGTTTGGCAACGTATGGTAATATAGTTCAGAATTAGTCATAATGTTACTGATGAATTCACATTAGATTTTATGTTAAATTCTTAACCTTTTTTGTTTACTTTTCGTTTGTATCCCCTTCTATTTTCATTAATATCGTTTCACTTTCCGTTAAATCTTTTTGATTGGTTAAATAGTACGGGAATTTTAACTTATATAATTTAGTTTACAGTTTGTTGAATGAACTTTATTGCAGTTTTGATCTGATAAGGTTTGATATAAATCATAGATGGATACTTTGTATGTCACTTTGATTAGATGGTTTAATGTAAACTATTAAATTTTCATACTGCGTAATAAAACTTCGAATTTTTAGTTTTTTTCATAATCATTTCCAAAATTAAAATTAAAACATACTTTAAAAATTAGAAAAATATTACATCACTATCAGTTATAAATAACTTCAAAGTTTTGTGACATCAATTGTTCATGGTGTTGTATTAAATTTTGCAGATTAAAACAAGCAAACGAGAGTGGTTCAACGAATAAATTGATTTTCATTAACTTCGTTATTGAAAAACTGAACTACCTTCTTCCACTTGTTTCTTTATTTTTTATAGATTATTTTCTGTTTATTTAGAAATTCCAAAGGGGTTTTAGATTATTCAAATATGTATCAAACAATAAAGAATATTTTGTATTATAATTTGTCTAGATTGAACTAGTTGACTTTATTCATAGCTATGTTCAGTTTCCCCAGTATAAAATCGCTAAGAGATCTTAACCACTATTTATAACTCGAAGGCACTGGGAGCCCGTTTCGTTTTAGTATGGGGCTCCACAGCAGTTCTCATGACCCTGCGACCGGAAATCAAACCCAGGCTCTTTGGTCTTGAGCGCGAATACTTTAACTTTCAGACTACGCACCTGGTATCCAGCAATGTTAAAGTCTAACTCCATGATTAAAAACTGCGAAAATCCTGCTATTTCCATAAATCTCCTGTACTAATATTTTCTGTTTGGTTTGTCTTATATCTGTATTTGATTGTTAAGTGAGCAAGTTAGTTAAAAGTATTGTTCACATCTCTAGCTTATTTATCATTTATTAGAGGTTTGTTAACTGAATAACTATTTCATGTATAATAGATTACAAAAGAACTACACTGTTATTGTTTTTATTGTTGGTTCATTCATTCGATAACAATAGAAGTCAGGTCAACCTAGCGGTTTCATCATACCGTCATTTCTTAGTGTTTGTACAACAATATTTATAGACTATTATCAAAGGAATAGTGCCAAGGTATGTTTATTACAAAACAAAAATAAGTTAAATAATCATTAGAAATTCGTGGGATGGCTTCAAATAGCACAACGAAACCTCCAGACTCTAAAGCAGCCGAAGAGATCCCATCCAATCAGAAATTGGTAGAACTATTAGGATATCAAAGTGGCATGCTACGATTGGACGATAGCATAATTTGTCTCCTTGCGGGTGGGCTGAATTATAATGATGTTATAGCTAATATTAATAACTACGGATACCCACGTTTTCCCGTACATTTTTTATTCTTACCCAATAATCACTTCTCCATCTTCTGATTTGCGATTGTGAGGTTCTACAAGTTCGAGTACCATTAGTTGTATATCGTATTCTGCCGTAATCAAGTAAAGGCGTAACAGAAATTAAGAAATGTTTGACACTAAGCTTTTTGTATGGAAACAAGTGATTTCAAAATTCCTAATTCAAGAAAGGAGTTAGTTATGTAATTGAAAACTCAATTAGGTGATTTCAATATCCCTTTTTCTTTATCAATAAAACTCTAGAGATTGGAGTATTGAGGCTGTTCTGTATCACTAATCGATAATCACTGATGCCTGCTAACCAAACTTTATTAAATGCAATTCACGAATAAAGCTTCTCAATCTAGTGTCTGATAAATGTGATTGAAGACAGTAAACTCTAATGCCTGATTTTTGTCAAGTATTGATTTTTCATATTTTCATTTACCATCATTATCTTGCTGCAGAAAAGACTGTCTGATGGAACTTTCTTCGTAGACTGTATGTTGTGACGTAATTTTTTTCATGTTCAGCATATTTTACGATTATCTTTGTTTTATCATTACTATTTTTCTATCTCTTTAATTACTTAGTAGCTGGAAACCTGTAAATCCCTTACGTCCAAAACGCATCATTAAAGCTATCATTCGTCGTATATTTATTTAAATCAAAAGCTGACAGAGGATAAAATTTGAAAAAGTGCGGCAAAGTTTTACGTGATATTAATCTATATCTAAATTTATTTGGTCCCCTACAGTTCGTCATTTACTTCTCTTTATTTCATAACCCAACCAAATTAATTTTGTATAATCTATCATTCTTTACTATGTCAATTTTATGTACCAACTGATAAATTGTTGGGGCATTATTTTTTATATTTAATGAGACTACTAAAAATGTTATTTGGCCAAAAGTGAATTTGGGTCTTCTTAACATTCAAACCAACAGTCTCCAATAAGTTCGATGAGTCTAATCATAATGGCAGTTATGGGCACATTTGTTAACGAGGTCATCATATCTCTTTAGTCTCCGAATTTCACACTCAGCTGTCGTATCATGAAACTATGTAAGAGATTGTGTACTTATAACAACATTATCTATAAATAACATTTATAAAGTACTGATTAAATTAACTCTCTCTCTTTCTGTGTTTGTGTGTGTCTTTTAGGAAATACAATTGTAATGATAGAATTCGATGGACATCTGTTTATTTCCCTTATCTATATCATCAAGCCCTACGTGGTCTGTCAATGATCGTGGATGGATTTTTAGGTATTCAGCCAAGTCTTACAGTTGGTATTGATCCATTTGTTGGTGTAATTCCTGAGCTTTATGGTCCTATCGGTCGATTATTTCAAAGTTACCCTTCATTTCATAAGTACACAGATACACAAAGCATGAACAATGATGATGGTAACTTATTGATTGAAATATTTTTGTACAATGTGTAATATGATATATGTAGAAATCTGTGGTTGTAAATGGTCTAAATCTATAAAGTGTGTGTTTTATATATAATTTCATTGGTTAGACTGCTATTTATTTAATTTATAAACTATTATACTTTACAGTGTGAAATGCTTTAAGGAGATGATATATTGTATACGTATATCGTATATCATGTACGTACCATCCTTTTCTTTTACCTATATAATAATTTCGAATGGATTGTCTAGCAATCTTATTTATAATAATAAACTCAACTTCTCTGTGATCAGTCAATTTATTTATCAGTTGTTGGAATTTGTTACAATTTCGTTCATGACTTCTTTGTAACAGTGCATCGATTCATTGGTTAAGGCACTCTGCTATCAGCGATTAAGTTACTAATTCGAATTGTCCCAGATAGTATCATTAGACCTTAAACAAGAAAATTCTACTCAATATCAAGTGAATGAACACATTTAATTACTGAGGTCCAAATAGAAATTGTAATATAGAAACCTCGTTACTCTCACTCTAAAAAATAATCTGGAATTAGTTGTAATGTCATTCCAGTTTCCTGTATTACAAACATATTTATTTATAGAATTTTCTCTAAAACGATTATGAATAACACCCGGTTAACATAAGTACTGATTATTTTCTCTATGTTATACACATCAGAAGTCAGGAAAGCCCTTATGACGGGTTTTTCAAATATTCAAGGTGGATCACGATTGGTTGCTGGTAGTTTTTCTACAGAAAAAGCAACTAGTAAGTAATTGTTTCTATTTTTAAAATATTTTAATAACTAAAGTATTTTCCTTAAGTCACATGCATTCTACACAAAGGTGGGTAGTAGTTAGCAGTGAAATCTAGGACGCGAGTTTCGTTTTATTTGGGACTCGTCAACTAGGTGTACCTGCATCCCAGAGTTGATGTTCTCTCTGGGACTTGAACCTAGTAACGGCTAAGTAGATAGCGCGACGGCGTCTGAAGTGAACGGTACTGAATTCGAGTCCCAGAGTGAACATCAAGTCTGAGATGCAGGTACATCCAGCTGATGAGTCCCAAATAGGACGAAACGCGCGTCCTGGATTCCAATGCTAGCCACAATCCATCTTTGCTTAGAATGCTAGTAAATTAAGGCAATATCGAGGCGATCTTCACAGGATGTACATATGCCAATAAGAGACTGATCAATTGCAGTCCTAAACATCAATGGGAAGATTCAAACAAACAATCAAAAATGAATTGAAGTATTTTCCGTTTTCTTGAGGACACTTTAGTGTATGTTCTTCAATACTGTTTTTTCCAGAATTGATTTAAATAGTGTACTTCAATCCATGTAATTATTCTTCACATATTTAGTATTTTAATCCCATCAAATTCCTATGAAAACTGTAGGGTTTTTAATATTGTGATAAATTTTAGCGAATACACTTATTTCTAAGATTTACGTGTATAACTTGTTTGAAGTATACATTTTTCAATCGTTGTTATCACACATTCATTGATTAAAACAACCATTTCTAATCCTTTCTTATTCAGGTACATCAAATGAATGTTTTGTAAAATTAACATCCTGAATTTGGCATTTGTCTAGCATTTTGTGTTTGTCTTCTCCTGTTTTGTATACAGTTAGAATCGACTTAATGATGGTATCCTCTTTGTTTGTTTAATCCATTTTCAGAAGTGTGGAAATAAAATTATTATGTGAAGTATGTCCTTATGTAGCGTCATCAATAGTTATTTGTAGTAGAATTTGTATCGTTCAACTTCTTTCATTGGCAATAGGAATTACATTTATCTTATTACTGATCCAATAGTTGACTGAATCCATTTAAAAGTCTTGTTGACAGTATTTATAAATCATTTTTTTCTTACTCTCAATGTAGTTAGTAGTTCGCTTCCCTGTCAATACTAAAAATTTAGACAATTATTGTAGAAATTTGTGACTGATAAATTCCCAGAGCGATTGTCTCCAGCAATGGTCTGCTGAATTTGAGCAATAATTTTATTGTTTTTTATGTTTACCTTACGTTTGAATAACAAGTGACAACTCATCAAAGTTGACAATTTAACAGTGTTTTAAAATTAACAGGTAATAATTCCTTAAAGAATAATTTGATAAAACTTCGACGATTCCCATCTCTGATTACCGGTTTAACTTACTGAGATTTTATTAACTGCTTCAAACAGGAACTGATAAGTAATCATTCAAGTTATAGAAAAAGTGAAGAAGCAAAAATCCCTCTGTAAATTATAGAGTACAATACATTTTTGAAAATTCTTGGAAGCTTATTTGAGTTCAAATAAAATAAAGCTGGATAGATTTAATATTTATTCGGAAGTATATGAATCACTTATGCACGCTTAGGTATATGCTAGATATGATAAAGACTAACATTTTTTTTTAAAGGTTCATTGGCTTAATGGTTGGTACATAAGACTTGAGATTGTTGGTTCGAAGATTGATACCGTGTTGTAACCATTTTGATTTAGGCTAAAGTCGATAGAATGCAGGTAGAATCATCAATGCATATAAATTAACTTTGACTGAAAGCTGAGTACATCAATCTATACCCGATTACTGACTATTATATGTCAGTTTACCAATATAACTGTATACTCTTTTCTAAGTTATGTTACTTTTTACATTCTCTGTTATAATACACTTGCGGTGATTTTTTAAACCATTTTTATTTCTTGCACTGATACTCCCATCTAGGGAAATCTAGATTAGCAAGTGTCGTCACGTCTGCTGGTATTCTTGCTTCCGCTGGAACTTCTGGAGGTTCTAAATCTGGGTTGGCTCCATTTAATAGTACTTCAGTACATACTCCTCATACCAATAGTAGTTCGTTAACTCCCATTGAAATTAATGCTTCTTTGACAAATGCTTTTCAACAGTCACAAACTCCTAGTTCGCAAGCATCTTTGCAGTTATCAAATACTTCAATAAGTGGACAGTCAGTTAATCAAAAATTAGGAAATATTCCACCTATATTGTCTTTAGTTAATAGAAATCTACAGGTCGAACATTTACAGAGTTTAGCTACAAATTGGTTATCAACCTATTCTCAAATTATCTTAAATCCTCAAAGACCAGAAATAAACTCATTGTTACAACTATTTGGAGCTTGGCTTTTTGAAGCATCAGTATCAGGAGTTAAACAAGATTTAAGTGGTAAGTAAATCAGTTTCCAGTAATTCACCTCTTTTTCTGTCTTATTTTATGGTTGTTGACTAAATTAGAATAATGTTGGATATTGATTTCTTAACCCAAAATTTACATTTGATGCCGATGTTTATTACGCCATTCGACTATCAGCATTTTCAATCATTTCTAGATTATATAATAATAATTGTACTTTTTATAATAATAATTATTATTATTATTTTGGTTGAATAGCGTCAAAAATTAATAAAATTCAACTTAGGCTTAATATTCAATGTTTTTGCCATGTTCATCAGTTCTCAAACTGATTTCAGTCTACCAAATAATCAATCTCCTCTAAAATATATTCAATTAGTATTTATGATGTCTGGATTTCTTCATCAGTTTTTTTTTACTACTTATATTTATGATAGTACTTACTTTAATTATGTTTGTGTTTTCATATATTACAGCAGATTTTTTATACTAGTTAATTTATACATTTATATTTCTTAGGATAGTTTCATTTAGATATTTTACTTATTAAGTTCATGGTAACGTTCTTTTCTAAACGAAATACCAATTTTCATCCATTCATCCAAAATAATTATGTTAAAGAGATATATTTAAAGAAGTCCAATATAGTTGACTTCTGTATTAATAGGGTTATCTTTATTGAAATTACGAGTTTAACTAAGTTATACAACTATTGAAAACCTGGAAAAACTGAATGGCCATTTATTTCTAGTATGAGACTCTTCAGTAATGCGCATCTACGACCCCGTAAACAAGAATCGAACCCAGGAGCTTCAGTCTCACTTTTGTTATTTTTAGTTTACTAATAGTAATGCTCACGATGACATTCGATTAAACCTTTCCACTATTTACATTCTTTTATCACGTAGAATGCTTTCAATATCAAACCTCTACATGTCTAGGAAAAACACTTGTCTATTCAGCAAACTAATAGTTTTACTGAGGTTAATCATCAGTTAATCAAATCCAGTTTGAATAGTGTAAATTTTTCCTAATTTAACCCGTAGTCGCAAAATTGAAAAGTTTTGAAAATAGACATCGTGCAGCAGTATTAGGTACTTCCCTTACTTTTACCGCCGAAAATCGTTGATAAAAGTCGACGGCTACATCGTAGTTGGGCAGATGTGCTTAGCCTCTTAATGGATTTGAAGTCTATTCTTTATTTTCTTGAGAATCTTGAGTTTTAATACCTTTTTACATTTCTTATTTCTTGATTTCATTTGTTCTTTTTACATTACAATCTCTGTTTGATTTTGACTGTCATTGATACTTCAGTTATTTTAACATCTTTGCTTTCTTATCTCTTGTAATAACATGTGGAGCACCTTGGATCAGAATATATATATTTGTCAGGTCATAAGTTGTATATCAACTACTTTCTAAGTAAACGTAGAATAGGTTCAAAATTACATTATATTTAAGAATTGTAAGGGGATTTCTTATAAGTGAATATGAATAATTGTGTTCAATTTTGTGCTCTGTTGCTTGGGTTCATATTTCGCTACATTACAAAGTCTAACTTAATTAAATAATATGCGAAATATATAGGGGCTAGTTACATGTAATTTTTTCCAGTTATTCAACCATTGACAATCTGATTCTGCAAATAAAACATGAAACATATTGAGTTGATATTGTAATATGCTAATTTTTGGCAAATATTCAGATAGCTTTGATAGCTCTTAAGTTGGTGATCTATCGATCAGTAGCGAAGATTTAATGTATTAAGTGAACACGTGTTACCAATTCCGATAAGTATTCAAACGTTACATGCTTCAAAAAATAAGTATCTTGTAGGTAGGTATCTCACTCGTCAGCTATACTTGAAATCTTCCTATTTTTATTGGTTTTATTGCTTCTTTATGTTAGTTAAAGATAGAGTTATTATGTATGGAAATTAAACTTGGAGTAAGTTACATCGTTTATATCTGATATATCGGGTGGTTTAAAATATTTCTCTCTCTGGTATACCGCCATAATACGTCAATACGATAATGAGACTTGTCACGTTATATCAGATCCTGGATTCATGACTCACGAAAGAGAACCAGATTAACACTAGATAGTACTTTATTCATCACAATTACGCGCACCAACTTTCGACGAGTCCGGGATAGAAATCAATGAGAAGAAAGGAAATCTCATATTTAATAGTCGGTAGTCTGTGTCTGTTTGTTCACGCTCAACGATCAATCATATTTTACTTTCACTATCACATATCAGTAACATTTTGGTGTTCTGTGCCAGGATTAAACGTTTAAGAGTTGATTATTTTGTCTTTTGTATAATATCACTCGATCTTCTTATGAATTATTCTATATTCCTAAAATTGCAAAGTCATCATGTTAGAAGTAACTCGACTAGTCTCTATAACCACGTGGCATTTCTTTTTTGTCGCACATTTGAACAGTAGAATTCCCTACAAGAGGGGTAATTTCTGTACTTAGTTACCTATGTAATCCACAAATTCTCCATGAGGAATAAGGCTTATCGCCTCAAATCCTAATTCGTTTACTCATCTGAACGAATGCCGTGTGCAACTAATATCAAGTATTTTCTGTGTGACTATAAAAAGTCATACTCGGATCATATCTGTTCTATGTCTGTGTCAGAGTTGGTTGTATTTTCATACTACTTCATCTATAGTTGTTTTCTAGTTTACTATTACCAGTATTAACTCAACCATGTCCAAAGAAGCAACAAAAAGCGTTTTTGATGTTGAGGAACAAATTGAGAGGAGCTTTCGTTAATAAGCGTTTGTTTCTAGTGGTAAAATATTCCCAGTGTCACCAGTTAAGCACCTGGGTATAGGGTCAATGCAGAAGAGGTTAAATTAGTGTGATAGTGTTCCGAACCCCTTAGATAATATCACATTTCCTCGTGACAGTCTTCAGTTTCAATTTGCAAAGGACAGGTGGCCTGTGTTAGTTCCGGCAATGGTGGTCTCATTTGATCCAATTTCCTTTTGAAAGCGTCGACGGAGTTCCAATCACGTGTAGAGGTAATGAATTCCATTTGATGATTCGATAGGAAAGTCGATGGTTAGCAGAAAAACAATTCGTCCTGAGCTTATGGACACTTTTGTTGTCCTCGTAAATTCTCTGTTTTGAAAGACAAGCAAAATGAGGACATGTCAGATGCAAATTTATCACCAATTAATTTGAAAAATGTAGTCTATTCACCTCTTGTTCATCGATATGACAATGGAAATAGGTTTAGTTTGGCCAGTTGAGCATAAGATAGAAGCTGTGCTGTCCCGAGAATAAGCTTACTTGCGATTCTTTTAACCTTTTCCAACAGCTTACTGTTTCTTTTTAGACGGGCTATTCAATTGCATGCAGTACTCCAGTTTAGGACGAATGACATTGCATTGCTAAAGTTATTCGAGAATACCTGAGCATTTCCATAATCGTCCCCCAGCACTGGTGAAGTACTATTATTTCCTCTTCTCTCAGTCATTTTGTTTTGGTACAAATATAAACGTTTAGGGTATTCTATAGATTCCTTGACAAGTTCTTCGTGCAACCTACTAGACTTGCGGAGGCTCGAGGCACAAATATTTCGAGCTTCTCGATATTGATAATTTGTTCCGTCATTATCCAGTGACTTGAATCTCCCATATTCTTCTCTCCTCAGTAAACCACGGTAGGGAGTCACTCGAACCCCTTTGTGTAGTTCAAGGGATATGCGGTGCAGCGAATTTTATGTAAAAATCTCTGAATACTTCCCAAGACGTTCCAATGGTGTATTCTGGTCCTATTGTCCAATCTACTAAGGATAGTGAGTATATAGTCTCCCGTATATTTAATTTCCACACATTTGGTCCGGCTTGAGCTGACGCATTTTTGTTACTGACCAGCTATTTGGAAATCAAGGCCTAGAACTGCATGGTCACTTTTACCTGGAGGTGTGATATAATCCAGGTTTGTGACGTCACCATCATAATGTGTCAATATGAGATCTAGTAAGGATGATTTGGAGTCCGTGTCGTACCTAGTTGCTTTCACATGTTGCACTACGTCATATGCGATAACCAAGTCAGCTAGTTCCTGTTCGAAGAAATTTTCTAATAATTCAGTCCTAGGATTTCTCCATTTCATCGTAGGTGAACTAAAGTTTCCTAAAATTATACATCAACCACTTGATGACCATGTCTAGAAACCGTGTAGTGAGACCTCATTCACCTCACAGTTCGAACTGTGGTAGACCAAACCAATCAATAGTTCTTGTGTTCCAAGCAGCAGCGAACAAATTCGCAAGTCCCACTTTCATGGGATACGTTATCAATAACGATAAATTGGATAATACTTCTAATAAATAGAGCTGCCCTTCCTCTTTCACGCTTCTGGATTTTGTCGACTCTTATTAATGAGAAAGTTTCAGAATCATGTTCCCTATTGTCTACGGATTGGGTCAGGCAAGTTTCTGTGACAGCGATTTCATCTGGCTCAGTTGAATCTATCTATACACCGGGCTCCGGTCGCTTGTTAAACACTCTCAGGGCATTTATGTAACAAATCTTAAAACCATCTAAATTGCTTCATGCTGCACCAAAAATGGCCTCGGTATCACTCTAAGATCTATCTCTCCAGTATCTAACCTTAGGTTTTGCTCTTTGCCATCTCGTCTCTTTGTACTGATCTATCATTATGATCACTCTTCAATTTCTCAGCTACCTTTTAGGGAACCGGTTCTTTGACAACATGATGTCGCTTCTTATTTTTCATTTGTACCCATTCATCAGCAGTCACAGTCGCATCATACACACTGGGTTCCTGGATGATTGTCGATGTCTTGGGTGGTTAGGTTTTTCTTCTTTCTGCTAGAAACAGACGTAGTCTTGCGATCAGATTTTTTAGACATTTCTTGCCCATTGCCATTTGGAGGACACGGGACAGAAAAAACTTCCTTTCTTGAGCCCCCAAATGCCCTGGTACGGTTGAGAGTGGGGAGAGTCCGCTCTCCTCGAAATGCTCTCACATGGTCACGCGTAT